CCGGTCCGCGTGTTTTCGAGCAGGGCTGGTGAACAAGAGCGTCCCAATCAGACGCTAGAAACTCTCAGGTTCTTACCCCACATTCTCTGACCGGCTTCCAGCGTTTTTCTTCTTCCCTCGCACAACGGGAGTTGCGGTCCCGGGACTGCTTCCGTTCAGGGAAAGCTGGAGGTCGTCGACCCGACAAATGCTCGCCGCAGCTCCGGCATCTGGTGAGATGCCGGCCGATTTCCATCTTGACCAGATTCGAGCTCCCGCGTGGCAGAATCGGCATGGGACGACGATAAAGTGGCCTTTCTTCACATTTTTCGACCCGGCTATGCTGGATATCTTCTGTTTGGGAGAAAGATCCTATTTCTAGTATGGGACGGCTCCGCTGCGATTTTGCCCTGTATGGACGAATTATCAACAAGCGCGTTGAGATGTTTGTGTGTGCGTGTGTGCCCAAGTACCGTGTATTTTTAGCATCTGCGGTTGGCGGTTTCCAGAGCAGTGGGGTGTGTCGCACGTGTCGAACAATGCGGGTCTTGCCATCGAAGCAGTCACCCCATCTCCGAAATGAAGATGTCCCAAGATGTCCTTCGCAGGAACACCTCCAGCGACTTGCTGCTCTTCATTCCGCGCCGGGGTTCCGTTGCGGAGTTCGTCGTTCTAATGGAGCACGGCACGCCCGATTGGCCCGTCCAAAAGTTCTTTTGTTCTTCGTTCGCATGGCCTCTGAGGTCGATTCCGTGCTCTCGCTGTACATCGAGTTTGTGGCCTGCCAACCTCTGCCATATCTCCGCAGATACCACCGCGCCGCTTCGTTTTCCTTGAATAGTGTAACTGTCCGGTCGATCACCCCGCTGACCGTTTTTGTGCTGGGCTTCTTCTGCTGGCTGCTCTTTGGGCTGCGATGCCTGGTTGTCCTTGTCTTGCATCGACTTCCCATGACAAGGTTCGTTTCTGGTGAATCCATTTTTTTACCCGCTTGTGAGTTTCATGCATGGGGGGAAGGGAAGAGTGCGTTCAGTTGCCAACCAGGGCCGCCTGCCCTGGAAATTGCCCGGCAGTGTCCGGTTTCTGCGCATTTAATCTGGAACAATCTGATTGGCTGGCTGGTCTAGGGTCTCCATTCGGTTGTTGCTGTCTCTTTGGGAGCTTGGCTCTGGCACCACGCCCTTCGGATCTGCCTGGGTGACTTTTTTTCTCTCATAGCCCGATGCAACATGTAACCGTTCGATTAGCGAGCAAAGCGAACACCCAAATCGCCCGTCACCCGGGCAAGCGCAGCAGCGCCACGACCATCGCCTAAAACTTGGCTCCGCTTCGCCCTTTCATCTCGTGACCCTTACCCGGGGAGAAATGTCCACTCACGGGCTCAGAAGCGGGTTCAGCAGCAGGGACACCGACAGATTCGATCGTGGAAGCACCAATAGTGTAGTGTAGCCAGCTTCAGCACTGGAGCAGGACTCCGAACAATACTCGGACGCAGCACACCCAACACACACCCGCCGCAGATCGATTCCTCGATGTTCCTATGGTCCCGAGTCGTGCGTGTCTCATTTAGCGCTATCCTCAATGCCCAGACTCCGCAGCGATCAGGCCGGAAAGCTGAACGGAAGTTGGTGTTACTCGCAGAGCCATCCATTCTAGCGAAGCAGTGGTTGAATTAATGACAACTGCCGCGCCACCCGATGGCATCCTGGCCCGGGCTGATGGGGGGTCCCACGCCTTGGGCAAAACCAGATCGCTCGCTCTCCATTCCCAGGTTCTCCGTTCCCCACCCTGGGCTTTCTTGTGGGCCGACCGTTACGAACATTTTGCCCGAGACCCGCCCCCGAACGCCGAAATGGGGAAACAATTCTCCTTCCCAGCCGCTTCGACCCCAATCGAGCGAGCTTGGGCGCTGGGTGCGTTGTTTGTTCGCAACTGCATTTTGGACCGGTGCTGAAGGGGTCCAGTTACACGGGGCACAGTACGGAATCACCACGCAGCACAACACAAGGATGGACAGCCGCCCGTGGCCATCATCGGGGGGATGAAAGGGGGCGATCGTCCAGATTGTCTTGGCTGGTGAGACATTTCCTTCTAGAAAATCTCGCCAAGACGGAACCCCCATCGCACAGAAACCGATGAAGAAATGCCCCCCTCCTTGTGTGATCCAACAACCGAGAACAGCGTTTTCCTCCTGGCGGATAATAATGGCCAATGGCCGAGGTGGATCGAGCAATGCAGCACGAGATTATCGATCGAGCACAGCCAATGAGTCCCCTGTGTGACGCTGAACAATCGGCACAGAGGCGCTTGACTCGGGCTCCATCGAATCGCCGGCCCCCGTTGGAAGACGTTCGAGGAACCAACAGGCCGACTCCATATACATATAATATAGCACGCCGAACCACTGTACACAGTACATTGTAACCGAGAAGGCTCGCCGCCCGCCTCTTTTACGGGATGACGTTTTGCCTCCTCTTACCTCAACTTGCTGTCTATGGGGGCGCACAGATTCGGAATGCGCTTGGATCGGATGATCGCAGAGAGTCGTTGCGAGATCTCGATGCAGATGGAGTGAGCGGCGCTAAAACTAACGGCGTTTTTACCCGTCAGCCCGCCTGCTTGCCTCTCGGTCGGAGCTGGGTGGCACGAGTGGACGACAACCCTGAAAGAGTCAGCCACTTTGATGTACATAGTAGTCTCGCGCGCTCGCGACTACCGAGTTAGCGGCTAGTGAAGGCAAAATATAGCCGGCCTAGCCTGCCAAGAGCTCTCGAACGGATGTTTCGTCTCCAGTTGGACCCGCAAAGTCGAGTCGAGAATTCCGATCGATCTAGTTGTCGTCATGCGCTTTGTCGATTCGATTCCATCGAGATCAACCGGGCTGGTGGTACCAGGCCAACTACACTACACGTATGATGGATGTTGACCACTCCCGCCTCTATCTCCCTTCCCGGCCGATCGGGTCCCTCTTCCACTTCTTACATAGTATTCAGCTAGAGGCCGTAAATCTATCTTTCTGTGCATATACACAGTAGTTACGATGCATGTGAAGTCAGGCTGGAGCAATGCGCCCCCTGGGTGTGTTCGCTCGAAATCCCACTCGGAAGCTTGTGGAGCATCCTGTGCACGGGAACAGGCAGTCGGCCTTGAGGCGTCCGCGCAGCTTGCATGTGCTCGCTCATCGCACGAGGAAGAGATCGCGCGACAGCTGGCAGTGGCGCCAGACGGCTCCTCTTTCAAACCGGCTCGTCATTCATTCACAAAGACCAGAGCGTGGTCCTCCGCCACTATCTTCTGACCTCACAAAATGCGGTGGCCTCGAACGTTTCCCCTCCTCTCTCAACGCCCGCGCCTAGAGAGAGACGTAGGTGGAAGTTTCCGACGCTAGATTCCATGATAGCATCTTGACCGAACGTTCGTCGCTGCGGCTCCGATCATCCCCGCCTCCGTCCCTTCCCCGCGGTTGGGAAATATGGTTTTCCGAGGCAAAAGTTCCGTTTCCTTATTCGGGAGTATTCGTCGTGCATCTCGTCAGCCCGCGTGGCTTGCATTAATAATTAAGTCGGTGCTGAAATGCATGGGCATTGACACTCGAAAGGAACACAAGGCTCGACGCAGCGAAGGAAGCTCTGAACGAGCTGAGTCCAGCGACGGCGCAATGCGGATACACTTGTACGTAACGCTAGAGTACGAGTAATGTTCGGAAACGGCACTTCGGCCAAGTAAAATGGAAGCAATGCCAACCGTCGAGTCCGAACGGAAATGCTGTTTTCGTCCGAATCAACGAGTCAAGAGCAGGTTGACCTGTCGAGCCTGTCAGCCCAAGAGTCATGCAATTCTCCAGCTCCCCGCTGAAACTATCCTGGAAGAGGCGCCTCGCCGCGCTTCTTGCCTGCCCGACTCGAGCCTGGTGACATCAAGACAAGCCGCATCGGAGAGCACACCAAAGAAACGGAACACCCTGGCACGTAATGAAGGCTTGGCGTGTTTGGCATCCTGCCCTCCATCACGCAGACCCAGTCGCCCAATTGTGAATGGGAAACTGGACCGGGGGGGGAAGTGCCAGGGTAGACCCGGTCGAGGTACCTGGTCAGACTCACCCCCAAGACAAGGAATGGTGAAATGGGGGGAACGGCACGTTCCCACAAACCATTTCCACGGGAGCCCGGGCTGACCCACTCTGATCTCGATCGCCCCCCTCACCCGTGGACCTTCGTCGTCCACACAGTGCCCACCGTCCCGAATGTGGGCCCCGAGCGCGGCTGCAGGCCCCCCCCTGGCGACAGCGAGCTGGGTCAATCGAATCGAAAACACACAAAACCGCAGCACCCGCCACCGCCTGTCGGATTCCTCCTGCCTTGCAACCCTCACCAACTGCTCTCAGCGACCACCTGTTTCTGAAGCTTGTTGCACCGAAAAGGGATATTTCGAGTGCGACCTAGTCTCACAACTGCTCGGGCGCTTAACACAAGGCAACTAAGGAATAGGGAAAGGGAAAGAGCAAGAAGAAGAGGAGAAGGGAAAAAAGAAAGGCGAAGCAACCAAAGAAGCAAGGCTACGGACTAGACCCGCGACCCGACCATCTATCTGCCTCACGTACCCACCACCGGCCGCCGCTGCTACCACCACCCCGGCGCACTTAGCAGCTCTCTTGCACTCCGCTTGCCCATTTCGCCATACTTCGTGCTCGCATGGTGCAAAGCTCCGCGTTGTGATCAGGCTGTTGGAGGAGACATCATCAACCGATTCAGCATAACCCGTGATGGAAGCGGGTGAGTCGGGACATAGGCAAAGGTTCGTAGCACCACGCCTTCCTCCATTCATATTCCCCATGCCCCATACCCGACGCCCTCCTTTTCACTTTGCCCCAAGTCCACAACGCCACCATGGTTGCTCCGGGGCTGGTCCAGATCCTAACCCACGCTCCTTTGTGTAGTGGAAACCCAGTTGCCAGCAACGCCGAACACTCAGACACGAGATCCAGAGAGCACGTCGAGACGTCACACAAAGAACGACCAAACATGGCTACCGCCTCACTGATCAGCCCAAATACATCCTACCAACATCACCAACATCACAGCTCATATAGCTCTGGCTACCCGTACTCGGCGCCGACCACAGCAATCCCCGGCATGATCTCACCAGTCGAGCCCCGCCGACCTTCCGACGGGTCCGAACCCGGCCACGCACACAGGCAGTCGCTGCCATCGATCTCGGAAGTATTTAGCGACAGGAAACCACTTGGGTATGCTCCGCCGACGTCTGCCGCACCTGGGCATCCCGCTCCGAGCCTCCCTTCTCCCTTCACATCAGCACCTCCACCACGGCCGTTCTCCGACCTTGCTAGTCCGGACAAGAACACATCGCCAAGAACGTTTCAGCCGACATCCTCTGTTTACCCCCGCAGCGACACGCTCCCTGCTTACTCCGACCCTGCGCGACACGCGCCGGGGCCCTCCAGTCGGCCCGTTCCCCCACCATTGAACACTTTCCCCGGCCAACAACCGTCACCCCCCGTGAAAGTCGAGCAGCTCGAAGCAGAACAAAGACACGCCGAATCGCAATCACACCGCCCGCCACCACCACCACCGCCACAGCCGCAGCACCCGTCCTCGAGCTTGTATGGGGACAGTGGAAGGCTTCCGCCGGGACAGCTCCCGTTGCCAACATATCCCATCTCGCCGAGACATGGGGCACCACCTCTTCCATCACCATACGAGCAGCAACGACCACCTGCTTACGGGGAAGAAGCCGACTATGTCCACCACCGCCCATCCGACTACAAGGCCAACTTTGACAAGCACTTCCAGACCACGGGTTATCAAGGTGCGCTCGAAGCTGTAAGTTTTGACGTGTGCCCCGTTTCGGTTTATAATTGATACCCACTTGATGAACAACTGCTCACCACCAGCATTCAGATCTTCCGGGCTTGTCGCACCGGATACGACTTCGCCGAGGCGTACTCTACTGCCGCGCAAGAACAACAAGGCTCTCAACCAATTCCGTCAAGGATGCCGACGGAAAATGAAGTCACCGAATTGCTCAACAATCTTCTGTATGCGTCCAAGAAGTTGGAGGATATCCGAGATATGGTGCAGCAAAATCGACTTCGGAACGAACGCGCGCGCGATAGCACCGGCCGCAGCCCCGAGGAGGAAGACGTGTCTATGTACGGCGAGGGGATGAAGCCGGCTTACGCGATGCACGAGGTCAAGAAGCGGCGCGGCGTAAGTAATCTCCGCTCAACACAAAGCACAAAACAACACAGAGTGCAAGCCGCTAACTTTGCTCGCCCACAGCGTGCGGCTCCTCCTGGGCGGTGTCACAGTTGCAACAGGGTGGACACACCAGAATGGCGGCGAGGTCCCGACGGTGCCAGGACCCTCTGCAACGCCTGTGGTTTGCATTACGCGAAGCTCGAACGGAAGCGTCAACTCGACCAGCGGTCTATCCGGCCAAAGCCCTCCGACGACCGAAAATAAAAAACTGCGACCATTTCCCCCGAACCATTACCGACAACGATCGCGTTTTCTCAAACCGAGACCCCCCCTCCAACTCTGGTTCCCGGTTCGCTCGTTTTCCCCTCTTCAACATGGGACGGCTTCGGCAAAAGTTGCTTGATTTTTTCTTTTGGCCAATGAGGGGCCCGTGACACAATTACACACAATCGTTGATTGTGTTACCTTGTTTTCTCATTATCTCGTTCCCAATACCCCATGGTCTTATGAGCTTAGACCATTGTTGCATTGGATCATTGCCCTGGTCGGAAAGAAGGGGCGTGAAACCTTGTTTCGTTTTCCTCGTTCTTTTCTTGGTTATTTTTTCTCTCTCTTTGTATATACCCCATACCCTTCCTTTCTCATTATGTTCTGGTGAACCCGGGGCTGGTATAGGTTATCGGGGAAGGCGGTCAAATATGGAGTTACTACTCTTTCCCGCCTTTTTTGGCACTTACTGTTTCAACATTCCTATTCTCCCCGAATGTATTTTTTTTCTTTCTTTTCCCTCTGGGGTTTTTACTTCTACTCATGTTAACCCCCCGCCCCCTGTTGGGTAACCTTATTTACTATGCGAAGGAATGTGTGTATGGTGAGAGAGACTGTGTGTGTGTTTTACGAAAGAAGCCTTGTGGATAGACAACGTGGTCAATGAACGGAGTACGGGGTTGAGATATGTGGGGATGAATTCGAGAGAGGCAATTGGGTGGAAAGGCTCAAAAGGCTCAAGGATATTGGTAGATGTGGGAGAAGGATGGAGAGAGGGAGGGGTACATACTTTCGGCAGCACGAGAGGATTGGAGCGCAGTTTTTTGGGTGCCGAGAAAAACTACTGGCTCGTCTCGCTTCGCCTTGGACAAATATTACGTTTTCGAAACCATTCTGCTGCCTTTTTGCCTCATTGGCTTTGTACAATTCTGTGTCTACTATGGTTCAAATGTAAGATGATTTGAATTTCCAGCCTGTGAAGCTCTGTCACATCACGGGATGGATGTATTAACGAAACCAGTCTTGTATTAACTATGATGAGAGGTTGACAGACACAGGCACGGCACATCAGCCACTCACTCACCCCCACATCGGCAACCAGCATCAAATTCAAATTCCCTGCTGGGGAATCAGGAAATCGGTCGATCACCGCCGGCGCCTTTTCTCGGCACCGTTGCATTTCCTTTACCTATCTTCAACCCCCCCAAGATAAAACTGACAGGTCCCATTCCGTTCCTCTTCATCTCCATCATCACACTGCCCACTACGCAACACATCCCTCCCTTGCCTTGCCTTCCGGTCCGGATGTTACTTTTTCATGCAGGGTCTTCCTGTCGGATGTATCATTATCAGTCACTTCCCTACCTCCCCTACCTTGCCCCCCACCGAATCGGCAAAACGGCGCTGCAAGATAAAGATACGGGAAAAAGAAAAGGTGGGTGTGATGTGGTCTTGGCGGTGTGGTGGGATGGATGGAGTCGTGTAGGAGGGGCGCGCGAAAGCGGGAAGGGGAACAAAAAAAGAAAAAGGCAGGTAGGTGGTCAGTTATCTGATCGGGATAGGTTAGGTAGGGAGAGAAACGAAAGCTAAGAAAGAAGAAAGGAAAGGTCGGAGAAAATTAATGCCCGAACCCGCCCGTTGTCGTCGTTTTTTTCAGCCCGGCCGGGCGGGCCGCATGTAGGCGAGGAAGGCTGCTGAAGAGGGGGTGGGTTGTGTTTCTTTTTTGTTGTTGTTGTCGGATGTCGGGTAAGAGAAGGTGCTCTGTGTGTGTGTACTGTAGGAGCGTTTCGGTTGGGTCTTTTGGTTCCTTTTCTTTTGGTATACTAGTTTTTGGCAATTACGTGTCGTCGCTGAGACAGAATAGTTAAGGCTAAGGAGTTGCTGTTACGGAGTTGGCGAGGTCTCGCTTGTTAGTATAATTCACGTGTCGTGAGGTTCATTGGTGAGGCTTCGTAAAATTACCTAACTCGGCTGCTGGCAATGAGGTGGGTTGTCTCTCTATCAATGTTCCGTGTTGATGGAAGTCATCATTATTTTCTCAGGACAAGCCTGCTCAATGTAATGAATTGGTATTATTGTGCGAGGGATCATACTTGACCACGAGTCTGCACAATATGTGCCACACCCAAACATCACATCAATTCCATGTCAAATCCAAACACAGCATGTTCCTTCTCACCGGCCCAGCGCCTTCCCAGACACTCCGACCAACTAACCGGCTGGCCATTTCACGAAACTTTCAACTGTAGGTACCTCCCGAATCCTTCTCATTTCTTTATAGCAAAAAAAGAGGAAAAAAGAAAGCTCAGAACGCAAGCCTAATCCTGCACTTTTGGATCGTGGCCCGGGACAAACTCCGAGAGGCAGAGGTAACGCCACGCGCGAAGAAGGTCGGGCAAGCACAGGACGTGAGTGACTGTGTAACTGCTAACAAAGTGTTGCGTCCGGGGCTATGGTTGGTAGGTTTTGGCTGTTGGCTGCCTGGATATCAGGAAGTTGGAGTTGCTTGCCTGTGTTTGTCGTCAGCTTGTCAACGGGGAGGGATTATCACTTTTACCTACAGGACCTAGCGTACCAAAGTACATCAATAGGGTAATATCCGTAGGTTGTCGATTTGGGGGCGGACCTCGGTTGACGGAGATTTGGCTGATGCTGACAGTCCCCCCTCGTATTAGGGGGCTGAGATCGATCGAAGGTCAAAAAGCCGATTCCTCGAAGCAACCCCCCTGCTTCGTTCGACATCCAGTCATCCACCGACCCGTCCCAGCCTTGCCGACCGTTTTTGGTTCCTTCCCTCGCTCGATCTCCCCCCCTGAGAGTGCCTTTCAACGTTTTCCAGGGGCCCCCTAGACACCTGTCGAGATTTTGTCACACCTGGGCAACCCCGGTTCAACGTCCTTCTCGCCGTCCACCCCCGGTTATAGTTGCCCAGATATGATTCTGGGGTTCAGCGGCGGTAACTTTACTGATTTGGCATTCCCCGCCGTCATGAAATGTTACCTCCTTTCCGTCCCCAGTAATGTTAACTAGCCGTTCCGAGTCTGCATCCCGCGGATATCCTTCCTCTTCGCGAGACACACCCACGCATGCGGCAGCGGCGTGCGAGGACCCGACCCGCGCGGCTGCCATCACCCATTGCATACGTGAGCTATCCCGTTGCCTTGCCTTCGCCTTCTTCCATTTCCCTCCTGAGTGATCCGGGTTGTTACCTAGTACTCTCGCCTCGAGGGAAAATGGAAGAGGAGAGGAGGGGGAAGCAAAGAAAGGATGATAGGAGGAGCATCGAAGCGAGCTTTGGTCCTACGCTTGGCGCAGCTGGGGCCCGTGGCTTTCTGTTGAGACTTGGGATTATTACTCCGTACTCCGTACACAGTACGGCCTTGTGTCAGAGAGCAGCCGTGAGACGGCGCGGCATGATACGCACCCATCGCTGGGTAACATCGTCGTCAAACAGTTTTTTTCCCCGTTTCCCCCTGGCGTTGAGGGTTAGGTGGTTGGGGAGAAAGGATGATGCGCATGAAAAGGAGAGGCACTATGCGGCTGAGAGAACCGGCAGGCAAATCGAAAGCAAGACAACAGACCCCGACACCCTGGTTGGTGGCTGGGTGATCAGAAACAGATCTCTTGTCCGAAGATATCGTAAAACTACTGGCAGACCACTGAGGAAGGTGTACTGGTACGGAGGCGCCTTATTAGTTACGGAGCGGCAGTGATGACAGTGCAGATGTTCGCGTCCGGGCACCGTCTAGGAGCAGGCGATGCAGTCAGATCCAACAGTCCTGGCGCCTGGGAGGAAGTGAGACGAGATGTAAACCCGAGATTAGCCATCGACCAACATAGTATTCTCCTCGCCGCGAGAACTGTAGGTGTTTGCGAGGCTGTGTTTTCATGGGCCGGTACGGATATTCTTCGGTTAGTTATTCCCCTGATGAGCGCACTTCGAAAGGGAGAAAACGGAATGACAGATATCCTGTGAAGGGCTCGGTGTCTCATGCGGTGACGAGGTGCAGAGCGCCAGAACCCGACTAACGTTAGGCGCATCACTTTCATCTTGAAAGACGATGCAGGCCAGTCGGCCAGGTTCCGCACTGCCAGATCGAGGCTGATGCGTGGCACGAGGTGTGAAATGCAGCCCATCTCAAGCCCATTTGCAAGGGGCCGGCACGCGTCGCTTGTGCAGCATTCTCACTGGCTTCCACCTATACCTGTTTCGAGGTGCGTGTTTCTACACGGTACAGAACACCGACCGGTCTGTCGCGAATCAACTGGGGAGAGGTCGCTAAACTGTAGTGGCGGCAAGCGACATGGTGGCACGGAACAGGCCGCCGAATCGGGAGCTTGCAGCCATCTGACCATTCAAGCACCAGGTAAAAAGGGAGACGGTCCGACGATGCGCCCGCGGGGCTGAACCTTAAGTGCTATGTGCACTGGAGGTGGTGCCGTAAGACGGAAAGGAACCTGAGGCTTGCCGGCGACAACATAGCAAAAAGCAACGACGACACCCTTTTGTGTTTTCTGATCGCTTCGCCCGGGCGAGAAGCTTTGCAACGGTTTGTCGGCAACGGCCCGGACAGCCGGGAATTGAGCAAACAAGAGAAATCGCCACGAGGACAACACGAGGGCCGTTGGGCGCCGAATCTCTCAGACAAGACGGCCGGATCGAAAGGGGTTGGGGTGAAGGATCGAGATCTTGCTTGAACAAACATTTTCGATTCCGCGATCCCTCGCTTATTCTTGGAGAGCTCGGCGAAAATTGTTTGACCGGGTCAAAGTGCACAAATGGCCTGCCCACACTGTGAGCCCAGCACGTGGCGCGGCCTGTGGCGGCGCCTGTCGAAATCCGATACCGAAGCGGGAAGGGCGGCCGGCACAGTGCAGCCATAAAAGTGCTGGCACTGGTCGGCCAGCGTCCCGCGTCCCCTAGCAATCGCGACCCAACACCGTGAAGAAGGCGCGATGGGTTCCCAGTGGACGAGGTGCAGGGGTTTCCCTTGAGGCGCGGAAGGCGCGAGGGCGCCTAAGGATCCCTGTATCACCGGCCGATTTTTTGTAGTCAAGCCCATGATTCTTCATGGTCAGGATTTTTCAATCAACGCCCGACCACCGAGAAGCGGATGAGATGACAGCGCCGCCCGCGCCAGGACGCCAAAATCGTCGCAGGGTGGGACGGATCTTGCCCATCGCAACGAGATTAGCGAGGCGCGATTTCCCACCCGAGAGCCAACAGGAAGGCCCCGCTGACGTCACCTGCCATGAGCTCAACACGCGACGGGCCCGGCGGCAAGCGCGCCCAAAACCGTCGGCCGGCAGATGGAGATCGTCCAATCCGAGCGCTCGACCGGCCGGACTGGGTGGGGCTGCCCGCTGGCGGAGGCCTGGGCCTGCTTGCTGTCGGTGACCTTTTGGCCCGCCCTTTGCTGGTCGGGAAAGAGCTTCTCGGCAAGCTCGCAAGGCAACCACCGTGCTCATGCAATGATCATGCAATGCACGTCTCCAAAAGACCAGCGCCAAATCGGGTAACCATCGCCATGCAAGATCAGCCAACAAGCCGCTCTGATGAGCCTTTCTCGGGCCAGAATGCAACCCGGGAAAGCACAGGGCGTCTCTCGGTTGTGCAGGTGCCAGCAAGTCAGCTTCGGCGCCCTCGGAGACCCGGCTCCCTGACGGAAAACCGCGCATCAATCTTTACCACGATAGGAAGATGGATGGTAGGGAGAACCGTTGGCGCGGGCTCCCGCGGAGGTGCACTGATTGATAATGGACAGGAAACATCGGAGAAAACACGATCGATTGAAACTCGGCAAAAGAGGGGTGGGGGAGGGGACAGGGAGCGATTGAATCAGCAAATATGCCCTGCAATCCGCTGGCATCGGCGGCCGGTCGGTCGGCTGCCTTGTCGTACACCTGCGCCCAGTCTCAGACGGCAGAAGGAACTTTCATGCGAGTTGCGTCAATCGCTGAGCCTGGGGTACGGACGGCGGCACGATTCACTGGATGGCTTTCGGGTCCTGGTCGTACCAATGCATGACCGGGTGCTAGAGAGACGGCCGGCTGCATGCAATTTTGACAGCGAGGAGTTGATGCCGATGCCGGCGTGACGATTGACAGCGCAAAGCCCAGGGAGGGCATTCCAACAAAGTAACGGATCGACGAAGTAGTGGATGTCCGGTGATAACTAACTAACATCAGGAATATTTCGGTCACATTTGAGAACTCTGGGATGCTCGCGCCTCCTACTGGTCGGCAACGACGACGGAGCTAGGGCCGGAGATGTCAGCACCGAAGTCTCGACGTCGAGAGCGCACCGGAATGGTCGCATCGAGATGTCCAAAGCACGGCACTTTCTTTTCGCTCGCATCCACTACTTATCGCCGATTCTACTGCCCGTAATCACGGCTCAACACTCGATGTTACCTTATTTTTACCGTTGTCCTCGCTTCCAGAACCCGCATACTCGCATTTCTTTTTTTTTGTCTTCTTGTCAAACCCAGACCGGACGCGGGAAAACTAGGCAGGCCAATTTGACCAACCGGTCAGCCTGGGGTCAGTCCAGTCGTCGAATCGACAGCACCGCAGAGTGCAAACACTGCCATCTGAGGCATGGACGCCCCCGTCACTGGCACACAAGGAGGGGGGCACAACATCATCACCCTCCTCGGTGTGCATAGTTTCGACGCCGGACCCCGGGTCGAGGGAAACGAGGAAACCATGCAACTCGGAAAGTCGAGGGCACCCAGTCGAGAGACCTTAAATTGGTCACGAGTCGGGTTGTTTGTCACGTTCCAGAGCTTCTCAATGAGATGCAAGTTGCGTTGATGCCGACCTAGCTCTGCATCCCGTCATCATTTTACGCTAGTTATCAGCGAAAGCAACGGGACGGCTTCCCTCTGCCCGAGTCCCCCATCCCCGCACAAGCAACACATAGGTTGCACAGCATCGACAGCACGTACATACCACAGAAGCTGACATACATACAGACATACATACATACACACTGGTACATACACTACATCCATCCCCCGAGTTGTCCACAGCACGCAAACTGGCATCTTTTCATGCATGCATGCATGCATGTACACCCAGATTTATTGCTTTTTTCTTGTTCTCCTTCTTCCCGGTCCTCCCGTCTCTTGTCTTCCTTCCTTGTTGACGTGGCCAACATCTCGCCCAACCCATTCCTCCTCTCGTCATCCTTGACCCTCTTTCCATCCCTGCTCTTGCTATTATCTCCCTACATTGTGTGTCTCAGATACACATTGCGCAACATGAATATTTTGTTCGTATGTATGTATGTATGTACATAGGTTTGGTGGGGGGAAAGGGGACCGAGGAAATGCGAAAGCGAGAGTAGAGGGAAGAACGGGTTGTTACTGTTACATAGTTACTATAGGGAAGAGAGAAAGGAGAGTGAACGAAGAGGTTACCGAAAAAGGAAAATAAAAGAAAATAATAACTAGAATAAAAAAGATACTTTGTCCGGCCACAAGGTCTCGTGCCCGTATGTAGTTGTTCAAACTCCCATTTGCCGCCCCATCCATGAATGACCATGATTGCCCTGTCCTGTCCTGTCCTGTCCTTGTTCTATTCTATCTGCATGTGTGCCATCCCGCAAATCGATCTTGCATGACGATGGGGTCGATGAGCGAGCCCGGGAAAGCTTTCCGGGCGGCCAAACTGACGACTGGACAAGGGCCCCGGGAAGGGGGGGCATAGCCCGGTCGTCGAGAGCGGGGAAGACGCTGTTTTGGTTGGTTGATTGGTTTGTCGATTGGTTGGGTGGTTGGGTGTTTGGTGTGGTGTGGTGTGTTTGACCTTTGTTCGTTTGACACTTCGGACTTCCAGGGTAGAGCGGGGATCGGGGGTCGTCGGGGAAGGGAAGGAAAGGGAGGGTAGAGGGCGTAACGGTGATCGAGAGGGTTTCAGGTGTTAGGGAGGGGATCCTTGACTTGACTTGGGGGGGTTTGAAGAGGAGGGTGTTGAAGACAGTATTGAGGTGTGAGAGACGGACTGTGTGAGTTGCGGTCAACAGTAGCAAGCAGTCAGTCGCGCGGGTAGGTAGGCCAATGAATGCACCTTGGGAAAGTTAGGGAAGTGTAGCCGGGTATATTCTCCGTCCAACACCTAGCCCCGGTTTGCCCCGGTGTGAGCGGCGGTGAAGAAGGGAAATTAAGACACTTGATAGCACAAAGCTGTATATCTTGGGCAATAACTACTTTTTGATGGCTACCCTCAGGCTTAGATCACCGAGGTGCACCTACGCTTCTTGTTTCATAGCTAGTGGCCAGGGTTAAGCGAAACGATGCCTTCAAGGTGGAATACGCAAAGACTGTTCATGTTCGGCTGTGCTGTATATAACGTGTACTATCATGTCTCGTGTACGGAGTACAATATGTAAGGAGTAGAAAATCTTTGAAACAAATAACCGTATGTATGACTACGCGACGCGACGAGGAGAATGCAATGCCAAAAGTAATGAGACGGAGGATAACGAGACAGGAAATGAAAAGACGACCACACCTGCTAATACTGAATGAAATGTCCACTTAAGGAGAACGCAAACAAGGACTGACCGTCCGAGTAGCTTCTCTTCTCTACCCTTCTCTTAATACCCCATTTCGTAGCCCTCGATCTCATCCACGCTTTATAACCCACAATTCAACCTAACATAATCCAACCGAAAAAAAAATAAAAATAAAAAATAAATAAAATAAGAAGAAAAGAAAAAAACAACATAGAAAATCCCCTACAAAAACCTCCCCAACAACTCCCTGACCCCCCTAACCTCCCTCCCCCTCCCCCCCACAACCTTCCCGTTCCCACCACACCCACCCTGCTCAGCACCCCCCTCCCCAACCCTAATAACAGCCTCGACCAAATCCCTCGTAATCTCCTCCCCCACCACACTATCCCGTGCATACCGCGGATGGGACGCGACGAGTTGTCGAATCCAGCGGGCGGCTGTGCACAGTTCGCCGCTAGCGCGTAGACGGATGAGGTCCAGGTAGCGGGCGAGTTGGCAGCGGGTTTGCACGTCGATGTTGACGGAGTCGAGGTAGGATTCTACGAGGGGGATTAGGCCGGGGAAGAAGTCTTCGTCTTCTGTGTCATCATCTTGTGTTTCGTCTGTTTCTGTTTCTGTTTCTGGGGTGGAAGTGGATTGGGGCTTGGTCTTGAATTTCGTCGCGCGGGCGTAGGCGGTCCCGTTGATGATCTCATTGACAGACATAAGACGGTACTCATCCTCAACCGGCCCCGTCGGGGTAGGCGGACGGCTGGGGTTAGTAGTCGGGGTCGACGCCCCCGACGCCGACGAGCGGGACGGACGGAAGAGGTTACGGCGGAAATAGAAGCGGCGATCGAGGACGGCATCACGGGCGTGGGCGGTCTCCATGTTCTCGTCGACTCGCTTGATGGGGATGTAGAAGTTGAGGTTGTAGCTGAGGATGACACGGGTGATGAGCACGATGAAGACGGCGAAGGCGGCGTTTTCGAAGTCGGTGATTTGGATCTCCATCGGGCGGAACTCGACCCGCCAGCCGATGCTGTTGTCTGCTGGAGGGGGTTTGAAGCGCATGTGCTGCCAGTTGGTGCTTTGGATGTTCTCGAAGTGGTCGGTTTTGTTGAGGTCGAGTTCTTGTAGGTCTTCTGAGAAGATCACGATCGGGTCGCGGATGAAGAGGTGGGCGAAGTGGGTTGCGAGTCGGTCGTCCATGCCGCCGTCGACGAGCTGCTGCTTGATGCTCTCGTCGATGACGAGGTCTGGGTCGAGGTACTCGGGGCGTAGGCGTGGGTCCTCGGAGATGTACGTCGAGTTGGAGGCGTACCGCGACTTGGGGATTCGCCACCGGTCGTTCACCAGCGGCTTCTCGCCCATCTCCTCTGGCGTGCGGTCATCGACGGCGTTGCTGATCTGGTTCCACCGCACATCCGTGTCGGCCAAGAAGCCCTTGTAGATCGGCGTGGCCGCCGTGAGTGCCAGCATGATGGGGCCCAGCGGGCTGAGCTGGTCGTACATCTGGCGGCCTTCGGTCAGGTTCTTGGCTTGGAAGGTGATCTGTAGGCAGCAGCTGCCCATGCCGAAGGCCATGGCGTCCATGTGGATGAAGTTATCGGGGGCCGCGCCGTTGCGCACATCGTCATCCTCGGGCCACTGGTGCAGGTCGTAGTTGACCGTGGGGTCTTTCCAGGGCCACGGCGTCAACTCGTCGCGGAAGACGGGCACGTTGACCTGGACCTTGCGGCCGCGGCGAGAGCGGATGTTGGCGGCGAGCGTGGGGAAGCGGATGTGCGGGTTGGCGATCTCGTCGGGGACAAACTGAGACCGCAGCCGGGAGCCCGAGGGCGGATAATGCGGGCTACTGAACACGCCGGGGCTGCCGAGCGTGGGGAAGGTCGTCAAGGTGATGGGGTGTTCGTTGGGGCGCATGTGTTCTTTGGCAATGATCCTCCTATGGCATATCAGATCAATAAACGGATCTCATAAAAATACTCGGCTCAAAAAACCTACCTCAGCTTCATGTTCGGCTCAACCTCCAACAGCTCCTTGAACTCAATCCCCCACGGTTTCCCTGGGGTAGCCTCAAGCATGAACCGCCCGAACTCAGGGTGGAACACCGGAGGAGGCTGGCTGAGTCTGGAAAGTCTCGGTCAGCTCAAACCGTTCGTCATGTAGCAGATAGGTAGGTAAGCATACTGCGCAGCAAAACCATTAGGCGTATGAGCAGCCTTGGCCAGATCCTTATCTCCGGCCAGGGCCGCCAGGATATCGGCTTGTCTCAGAGACAGCAACACCTTCGGGTCGTCCTCCGAGTACGTCACGACGAGGTACTCAACCTAGGTCTAGGTTAGACCGACATGCCATCCCAAAATAAGATGTGATGATATGATAGGAGCGTGGACTCACCTCATCACCCCAAAGCATAGCATCCCGCTCCTTGCCCTTAGCCTTATTCCATATTTCCAGCAGTTGCTGTCTCGTGTTAGTCGTCCATCTTGGTTCACGGACCGGCCCGAGAGATCCGAGTACGAGACTGAGCGCTCGATGAGCCCTGACAGACAAAAAACGAACGAATCGGTCCACTCACCCGGATCCCCCACGATCTGACATGATCAGCCTGCTTCTTGGCATCCGGCCAATCCAGTGCCGTTCCTAATGCTCTTTGACATGCGCACGTGGGAGTCAGTTCTCTGTACAACCTACACGTGTATGTGCTGTACTATGCTGCATGGCGTGCTCGCAGGGGGTATGACGTGCCCCCTGTCTTGCAGCAGTAACACGTTTTGTTGAAGAAAGACATGTGTGTGCGTGATCGGCTTGATATGGGGAAGAGCGGGTGGGGGCGGGGAATAGAGGGAGAGGGGGGTGGAAATACGTACAGGAGGCCCATTGTTTAGAAACGTTGCTCTCCTTCTTGACTGTTCCTGGGTGGGAGGTCCTCGGACGGTCTGTGCCCGCTGTGGATGATTCCCTGCCCGGCTACGCCTGGTTCCTCGAGGGAGTTGGCGAGATGAGATGAGCCAAGAGCGGTATGTCAACGGTGGATGCTACCAAGGATAGCAGATTGATCTGCTAGCCGTGGTTCTAGCCGTCGTCGATACTCGGTACGTCCAAGTCGATGAACCGCAAAGATCGAGGGATCTCAGATCTCGAGGTGGCTTTGTCGACTGTCCCAGCCAGGAGCCAATGACCAGAGCCAAGAACGGTGTAAGGCAGCCAATAACGGATATCAAAGACCCAGAATGAGAGCGATGCGCGAAGCGGTATGACGACGAAGGTTGTTCTATCACAGGAACCTGAAACAAGAACACTGATCTGACAGAGAACGTGCTCGAGGTGCGTATGTATGTGTGTGTGTGTGTGCGTGCGCGGGTGAGGGGATTAAACGGCGAGAGGGGAAACAGAGATCTTGATGAGCGAGTCGAGTCAAATGTCAGCCAGGCAACCCACAGAGACGAGGTTTGTCTCTGCTGCTACTGCTGCAACTGCCACTGTCGTCAGTCCACTCACTCCCTTCCGTCTAGCCCGTCAAACCTCCTCCCAGACCTCGACCTCAAGCCTTCGTCCCACGCACAGTGAGTAAGTAACTCACACACGCCCTAAAAAAAGAGCGCCGTGAGAAGGCCAATTCGTCGACGTGTAAGTGCGTTTCACCCCACGCTGACAGCCTCGCAGTCGGAAGGCGTTGTCTTGGCGGTGCAAAAGCACGAATCAGAGGCTGGTGACGTTGTCGACGGGAAGTGTTGCTGGGAAGGCGTGATGTCGAGCACGCAATCGTTCTGTGCTTCAACTGGTGCGGCGGTTTTACGCGGGGGACAAGACTTGGTGTAAGTGCGGGAGTGCGGGATGAAGATTAAGCGACGACGGGTCCCATGACCGATGGTTCGATATGAGAGAAGAAAGTTGTTGCTGTTTCTCTGTTTCTTCTTTTCTTAAGTGTCTTTACTTTCCGCCGTGAATCTTCGTTTTTTTCCCGTCCTCGGGATTTCCAGTCGGTGTCGGGCTGGATCATATACTAAAGGTAACAAGAACCCCCCAAACCCTAAAATGCCGCGGGGGTGGTTCGAATGTTTAGTAATGCGTCCTTCCGTTTTCACCGGGGGCAATCCGGGGTATCGAGCAAAGGCTTGGTATCCGAAGTGTATGGAAAAGGCTGGTTACGGAAGGCGTTGTGAAATTTTCACACAACCGAAAAGGAACAGACTGCGAGGGTGACCTCCCCCAAACGGAGAACGGGATCCGGTCGCGGGGGTTATTCACTTGGTCAAGTTTTAAAACAGGAGACCAACGGGAAACTTTTGTTCTCGGGTGCTCCCGTCGGCCGCTTTGATGTTCTCCTTTCGATGTGGGGGGAGAAGGGGCGAAATTTTTGCTAGACCCGACATCTGGGTAAAATTTCTACTTGGGGATCTCGAATGCTCGATTGTCCCGAGATCTAGCTCCGGGGACGCCGTTGCCTTCAAGAAAAGCGTATTTCGACGTAAGGTAATGCGTATCACGATGTACCATAGTACAAGGAAACAGGTGCACCACCTATGACAATGGGCTGGGGAGTACATAGTATCCGAGAAAGTTACCCCGTGCCCGCCTTTGCGGAGACATGGACATTTGACCGGCGGCCCGTCCTTCATTTGAAGACAATTTTTTCTTCAGAAAAAAGGGAAACTTTACGTCTGGGCGCGGGCTTCCGTGGGTCTTCGGATGCTGGTTGCTTAGAAATCCACCTCGGGAACAAAAATCCCCCCATTTTCCCCCCTCGTCATGCCGCAAAAAACGTGCACCTCCCAAGTCGGGAGCGCTGCAGGAGAGGAGGCGGGTGTGTTGTGCGCTTTGCATCGCATCCCGCATGAACGGCTGACTGAGGTCTTTTTTTAAATAGTATTTTTTCCGATCGAAGTTGTTCGGGTTGCCAACGGACCCAACGGTGAGCGCAAGTTTTGACATGTGCCCCTCGTTGGGAAGAGGGGCACGGCGATATGATAAGACCCTAACCCTGGTGTAGCTCGTCTCACTTTGTCAACCTTCTTCATTCACACCGAGTTCGCTTACTAGGAATTTGTAGCAAAGATCCATAATGTGGATTGTATCTTATAGATATAATTATACAGCTTATTTATCTTCCCCTCCTCCATTTTTACACTCGCCGGGACTGCCTCTGGCAAATCTCCAGCCCAATTATCACCCCGATCCATGTTTCTTTCTGACAGTCCCCCCAAAGAGATCCCAGTAGTTGACCCAAACTCCAATCCATGCGTCTGTCTGTATGCCGTATGTGAGACGTGGTGGTGTACATGTTGGTCTCTGTGAAGAGGCCACGGAGTATTCGAGAAAATAGAAATAAGAAAACATGGGAAAGCGAAATAGGAAAAAAAAAAAAAGATCTCGATGATGTGGGCTAAGCCAGTCTCTCTTACATCCCATCCCGCCCTCCCCAGACATTATTAATAAGGAGGGAGCATCAAGTAAAACAACCTAAAAAAGCCCAGCCTGGAGAGAAAGAAAGAAAGAGAGAGAGCGTGTATGTGCATTTACCGCACATTCAAATATAAATCCCCCCCCTTCCTCGTGGGCGTCAACTCAGGCATCCACCCAGGCGTGATCGGCGGCGCAGCTGGCTCTCCTCCTTCCTCGCGTGTCCACCCGTTTTTGCTCTTTGTTGTTTGACTTTTGGGATTCTTTCCATCTGAGCCGGCTTGTTTGTTTTTGGGGTTGGTGAGTGTGAGGGCAGTGACTTTGTCGGCGCCGCGGCGTTGGGCTAGGAGGGAGGTTGGGCCTGTGGGTTGTTGCTGCTGCTGGGGTGGTGTTGGTTGGGGTTGTTGAGGTTGGGGCGTGGCGACTGGTGTGGGTGGGTAGATCGTCGCTTGGGAGTGGTGTTGGTGGTATGGCTGGTGTTGCTGCTGCTGGTATTGCTGCTGTTGTTGATACGGTTGCTGCGGCTGTTGATATTGCGAATAACCCTGCTGCTGATACAACCGCTGCTGCTCCGTCGCCATAAACCGCCTCTCCGCGGGCAGCTCATACGGCCCCATCGGCGACACCGGTTTCTGCTGGTACTGCTGCTGCTGTCGCGGCCGCGGAACTTGACCCAGATACTGACCCTGCCCCTGACTCTGACCCAGTCCTAGTCCCTGGCCTTGAGACGGACCCCGAGAATGACGCTGCCCCTGCCCCTGAGACGACTGATTCCAATACGAAGCCGGATTCGCCACCTGCCGCTGCCGCTGCCAATACAGAGCCTCCTGCGACCCCCCCGGAAAGAAATGCGGCGCTGCCGGGGGTACATTTCCCGTGCGTGTCTCGGGCGAACCAGTCCGGAGCTGGGCTGGGTTCCGGTTCGGATTCGGGTTCGGGTTGAGACTTGCCGGGGCGTTCCACGGTCTCCTCACCGGCCCGTTGTAGGGCTGCTGGTGTTGTTGTTGATATTGTTGCTGCTGCTGTGAGTTACCGGCCGAATTCGGCCCCAACCCTTCCCCAGTCGGACTCGGCTGTCCCGACGGACGCCAAACATTATACTGCTGCGCTACATGTCCCAGATCTGATCCCCCAGTAGACCCATTCTTTGTCGGTAGCAGGGGAGACACCTGTGCTTTGTTGCTGCCTCCCGGCCGTTGTGGTCCGTGGTGAATACGGGGGTATGTAACGGGTGATTTTCCCGCGGGTGAGACGGCGCTGGAGGGATGGGGTGACTCGGCTACGGGGGTGAGATCCCGCTGCTCACCATCATCGCGGGCGATGTTCTCGTCCTCTTCTTCGCCGCCGGATTCGATGGAGGTTACTGATCCCTGAGAAACACGACGGTTGGTTCGCTTCGTCGAGCGCCGTCTGTTGTTGTTATTGGTGTTCCCCTTCAGCCCCGTCAAATCCCGACTCTCCCTTTCGTGCATAATGGTATAAAACGAGCCACTCCCACTCCCCGAGATGGCAGTCCCCGGCATGATAATCCCCACCTGCGACTCCTCACTGATGACCGTCTCAGCCGTCTGGGACAGCCGTGCGGAATAGGTCGGGCTGGTGACCTGTGGTTCGCGACGGCGGTCTTGGAAGGCGATGGGTGAGCTGAGTTTGCGGTTGGTAGTCGTGTCCGGTTTGCGCGGGAGTCGGAGCGGTGAGACGACGGCGTCGGGCGCGAACCCGCCGTAGGCATCTCGGGCTAGCTCGGCGCGGGTTTTTTGTTGCGGGCTTGGGAGTTCTGCTGTTGCTGCTGCCGCGGTCTGGGTGGGTTGACCAGTTGGGATCGCAGGCACTGGAGGTACTCCTGTACCCTCAACCGCGCCCGGTTCCCGAGTCGACGAGTTACGCAGGATCCAGTTACCGCCCTTATCAGCAAAGTACACCGTCGTCGCAGACTGGGGATCCGACGGAGGAGGCCGCCACACACTGGTTCTCTGTCCTCCCGCGTCGGCCTCGCCGTCCTCCGCAAACTCAGTCACCACGCTATCCCTGGACGAGTCCGGGACCGACCGGGCCGGGCGAACCGGTGCACCCTGGGCTTTCGGGATAGCCAGGGTCAGCGCCGGCTTGGTTGTTTCCCCGCCCGGTTGTGGTCCGTTCGAGTCCCGTGACGGGGTGAACACCAGCTTGGGAACAGCAGGCATAACAAGCCCCAAAGCCGGTGCCGCCTGCCCGCGCACCGAGGCAGGGGACGTAGTCGGGGTTGGTTTGCGCGGAGGAGTCGGCGGGCGTGAGGCTGCAATGACAGATGCTAGAGCGGGTGACGGCCGGGCAAAGACACCTCCACGAGCAGCCGCCGGAGCGGGAGACGCGGGCAGACCGGCGCCTTGGTACCCCCGTGGGATGGTTGGTGTCCACCCGGGGTTCATCGGGTTCCGCGGCGACTGGTGTTGGATTCGAGGTAAGGGGCTGGAGATCTGAGGCCCGCCAATCCCCATCCCCATCTCTGGACCGCTGTCACGGCGGCCTTTCTTTTTGAAGCTCATTGAATCTCGCATTCTTGCGAAGCCGGATCCGGATTCTAGATCTCCGAAGCGCCTTCTGCGGATGTAGCGGGCTAAGAGCATGAGCAAGATGCCGAGGACTAGAACGGCTGCGCAGCCTAGGGCGATGCCGGTGACCTGCGCGCTGTTGAGCTTCTTTGAGTCTTGTCCCGTGGCTGGGACACTGGTAGCATCGCCTGTAGATACAGGGTCCACGGTGGTCGATGCCGATGACGACGAGGTGGTGGATGTTGGTAGTGCAGTCGAACGAGGCCGCGTCGAGCTCGTTGTATCGCCAGAGGGAAGAGTAAAAACGGGGATAGGAGCAGTAGTACTCGCAGAAATACCAGAATGCGCGCGCGTCGACGTGCTTTTTCCCGTCTTCGTCGTCGATGGTGCCACAACCGGACCTGTCTCGGATGAGGGGAGGATCAGAGTGGCCTCGAGCGTCTTGTGCGTCCTGGGCTGGGACCTCGACACCCCGATGCACATGTTATAGGCCGTGTCCACCTCACCGGCTATCCCAATGTTCGTTAGCCCCGTCATCCTAACTAACTCACCCGAGTTTGTGTCTCAATACGTGCAATAAATACATGATCGGGTAAACTCACAGAAGTCCTCCTCATCCTGGCACGCGCCGAACTGGCCCTCCCCTGCCATACACGACGCTGCCCCTTCCCCGATCGTGTACCCCGACGCTCCGAGCTGGCGACACAGACATTGCAGCGAGGGCGCGTCGCCACAGACGGCGTTGTCAAAGTTACCCGCGATGAAGGACTTGAAGCAATTCTGAGCGCATGTCGGGACAAAGTTGAGGATTTCGGGTGTGACGTTGGTTGTTTGGGCGGCAGCGACGGTCGGGAGAGTGAATGTTGTTGTTGTTGTTGTCGTCCATATCACGAACCATAACAAGGATAGCCGGTATGCCATCCTCCCGAGAGACATCTGGCATCTGGGTGTGAACAGTCAGTTATCGAGGCCGATGGGCCGTGCTGTGATGGTATGATGTTGAGCTGCCCCTAGACAGGAGCATGTGTGTGGCTTTGGGTTTACCGTCGTACCTCAAAGTGAAGTCGGATCCATCTGAAGACGACGCCAATAATATCCCACTTGATAACTCCCCAGAAGAAGGGCTGTAGGAAAGAATATGACGTGTGTGGTAGACTTGCTCAGCCACGGTAGGAGGCCTGATGATAGAGACCGGCCGATGTGGGGGGAGCTGAAGGTCGGGAAGCGGCCGACCTAGTGTTCGTCCAAGTTCTCAAGTTTAAACATTAAGCGGAGATAGCCAGCATCTCCCGTCTTGGTGTGGGTAGTTGTATGGTAAGTCGGCCGAAGCGAAGGGAGCCGTCGAGAGTGTAGAGAGGAATGACCAAAAGAGGAAATAAGGGGGGTCTACTGTATCGTCGTGTCGACTTAGACAAACACCAAACAGTACTAGAAAGAGGTACTTGAAACAAGCAAAGGAAATCAGGACAACAAGAAAAAGTGATAGTGTAGATAGCACCACTAGGAGGAAAAGGGGGGAAGAGGGGGGGGAGATGAGACGAGCCGGAGAAAAGAAAACAAGAGACGATGAGATTGAGAACCAAGGGAAATCACGGCCGATGATGGTGGCCGCATTGGCGTCCTTATTTCTCTTGCCGCCGACGATGCCAAACCACTGGCTCTCCATCAATCTGCGCTGCGCTTCATGACACAAGGCCAATCCCCCCATCGCAACCACACACATCGCCCGACACACCCCTGCTCGTGCGCGCTACTTCCAAAGTAGTACTGGACGTAGTATTCGCCTCGAAGAGAGAGCGGATGGTAGACCTAGCTCGCCTCGCCAGCTAGCCGCGGGTGGTTCGCTGTGCGTGGGATGCGTCATACTGCGTCTAGCCCCTGGTCATTGAACCGGGGGAAGAAAGTAAAAAAAGACCAAGAAACATCCCGAAAGCTGCATCCCATCAGCCACACCAGATTTGTTTCATCTAGAGCTGCGCTGGCAGACGAGAATGAGTCGAGACTCAAGCCAAAACGGTGGACAGAACCTTCGACACCGACACTGGCATCCCACTGCAGCACGCCCAGTCATGATTCAACAAACCCCAACCCAAATTCAGATCCCGCCTTGCCCGCTCAATAGGAATCAAGCGATCCCCATCGGGACATCTGCAACTAAACCTTTTTGCGAGGCACCGCCCCCGCGCCTCCTCATTGGCTGCTGGGATAGATTTGGCTCTTTTGCACCATTCTTTGTATCACGGCTCGGATTGGCTCCGGAAGTTCGGGGTTGAGGACATTTGGAAAGAGGGGGGAAACAACCTGAGCGGAAAAACAGAGAGCAGCACCAGCAGCAACAGCGCGGCGTAAACAAGTCCACCCCATCGTCCAAGTTCACCGGCCCGGCCCCGTCGGCCGCTCTGAAGATGCATCATCAAAAGACCAGACGGCCGACTCATGTAAGTAGAGATGCAGCAAAGTGGCAGCGACAACAACACAACCCTCAAAAAGAAGAGAGCGGGCGGCGGGGCGAGGTGCTTGCATTTTTGTTTCAGCGTTTGCAGGTGAACCCAGCGCTCTGGTTGGACGAAAATAGCCCGCGAAAGATGCGAGCCCGCGCGCTTGGAGCAGCACCCCACTAAAAAAAGATTGGGTCGGGCGGCTAAAAATTGCTGCTCTGCTGCAGGCGCTTCCATCTGGTTGGCCGTGCGAAGCGTGGGAGCGTGCTTTGGGCGCCAATGGAGAGATAAGATAACGAGCAGGGGGCCGTGCACTCGCCCAATGAGAGAGGTCACGTGGATTGATTTGGCGCAGGAGCCAATCGTATTGTTGGGGCGGAGCTTGTTGAGCCAGACTCACCGGGATGCCAAGCCGCCGCCCTTCTGCTTTCTGTGCTTCCGTGCTGGGCCTCGACGACACAGAGACCGTTGAGAAGCTGTTGTTTGAGATGATGCGGGTTGATACTCCCGGTATGGAGAGCTGAATCGCTTGCAGTTCTTTCAGTTCCGGATTGATTAAAGGGAAAAACAGAAAAGAAAAAAAAGTGAAAAATCAGTATCTGCTATGCAACGGTTCCACGGACCGTCGAGATCAGTTTTGGGAGCCGAGCCTTGCCTCGGAAGCGCCCAAGGGGCGGCCACCTTGCTGACCGAAACAAACATGCACTTCGACTTGTTGTGATACACCGGGTTGCCGAAGCAGCCGAGGGGCCCGGCGCCAAAAAAAAAAAAACCGACCCGGGGCCGATGCGACGTATCTCCCCTCCACATGGCGTCATAGGTTGTTTCTCATTCTTCTTCGCCCTAACGCAGGTACAGAAATTCCCATTCCCTTTTTGGTATCTATCTCATGTTCTCATGCTGCGTTCCAGATCGTGACGGATCTTAGCCCCTAGCAAACTCCCGTTTTGGGGTGTAGAATGTCTCAAGTTCACCACCCAACCAGAATCTTCCCGTCCGCTGTCGTCCGGGGAGTTGGCTGGTTGAACCCTTTATGCGTCCCACCTCGGCAGCGTACACTACAGTCTCAAATATCAACCCCTTCCTACCCCGGACATAATTCTCCCTATTTAACCCGTCCACGCATCCCCCTTATCCTTCCTCCTCCACCTCCTCAGTTGCCAAGCGCGTTGGGCGCGTAGTCGGGGCGCGCCCGGCTAGATTTGATCACCTCCTGCACCTTCTTCTCCGTGGCATCCCAATCATCCGGACTGAGCTGGACCAGGTCGATCTGGTAGTGGTCGGCAATCTTGGAGAGCGCCTCGAAGCTCTTGTGGTCGTAGACGAAGCTGATACTGACGCCGACACGCCCGAAACGACCCGTGCGGCCGATACGGTGCAGGTAGGTCTCGAAATCGGGTTCCTTATCCCCGAACCCCTTCATGGGGATGTCGTAGTTGATCACCATCGAGACACTGGACACGTCGATGCCGCGCGCCAACACGTTGGTCGTGATGAGCACCTTGGAGCGCCCGGACCGGAAGTCGTCGAGTAGGGCGTCGCGGTTCTGGCCCTCGTGCGCACCGTGGAGCGCTGAGACTTTGTGGCCATCCGCCTCCATGCGTCGTTGGATCTCGGTAGCGCTGTCACGCGTCTGCGGCCTGCCGTTAACATCTTTGTCCGCGGGCTACTATCTAACTGTGGGGAAACTGGGGGTGGACGTACCCTGACAAAGATAACCGACGACCCAATCGTCATGAGACCGTACAGGCTGCAGAGCACATCGTACTTCTTTGTCTCATCCGGGCAGTCCATGTACATTTGTGAGATACCCTTGACCGTGAGTTCCTGGTGGCGCAGCTTGATCTCGTTGGCGTTCCCGGCGTATTTTCGCGCAAAGTTCATAACCTTGTCGGGGAAAGTGGCCGAGAACAGGAGAATCTGCACCGTCTTAGGGAGCAGCCTGAGCAATCCTATCGTTAGCACATTGGTAGATTGGCGGGCCGGCCTGTGGCTTTCGTATAACTCACCCCTTGACTCGGACACACTGGTCACCCATGCCCTGCTGGTCCAGCATGTTGTCGGCCTCGTCGATAACCAATACCTTCAACTGAGACACATCGAATTGGCGGCGTTTAATGAGGTCCATGACGGTGCCCGGCGTCCCCACCACAATGCTGGCCCGTACGCCCGTCTCGCGCGAGATCGAGCCGGGAATCGCCGCCTCGACGACCAAGTTCTGGCAGAACTGGCCAATAGTCTGGATGACACCCTGAATCTGGCGCGCGAGCTCTCGGCTGGGCGCGAGAAGCAGCGCCTGGGGCTGTTGGGGCTTGGAGAAATCGACACGCGAGAGCACAGTGAGGACGAAGGCGGCGGTTTTGCCAGTGCCCGACTGCGACTGGGCGATCATGTTGGTGGGCGGGTCGCTGATCATGAGCGGCAGGGCGCGCTCCTGGATCTTGGAGGGCTTCTTGAAGTTCATAGCTAAGAGGCCGTCGTTGATCTCCTTGGGCAGGCCCAACTCTTCGAAGGAGGACACACCCGAGTAAAGCGGGCTGTCCTTGTCGGCTTGCAGGTCGCTGAGCTTCACCTCGACGTCGTATGTCGATTGGACCAGGCCGACGCTATTGGCCCCATCGTCAATCGGTTTCTCGGCGGCGGTGCTATCGGCGGCGGTGGCAGTGGCGGCAGGCGCGGCCGGAGCTGCGTCGGCAGCTGGTGCGTCGCTCGGCTTGGTGATGCGGCTCGCGAGGTCCGCCATGGTCGTGATGGTAACGATCTCTGTGGTCTGCGTTGGGGGGAAGCCGCGCGTTAGCTGGGGCCGGATTGAGGAGATGTCGGGGATTTTCTGCTCGATAAAGTAGGAGATAGAAGTAGGTGGAGGTGGAAGGAACAAGTACAGCTGGAGACAATCCCGTCACCACAAAGGGCCGAGCACCCACCAAAGGTCTGGGTGTCGACAGAGAAATGGTGGGTCGGTCAAGCACCCAGGCAAGTGTGGAAACTCCCAAAGTGAAGAAATTCCAAGGTTAAACTTACAAATTGAGCACTCAATTTTGTGTGGAGTTGGGGTCTTCAATCTCTCCCAAGTTGGAGAAGGTCGACGGGTCCCTTTGAAGTTGATGTTTTGGTCTGGTCCTTTGCGCCCAATTCAATAAACTTTGGATGAGCTCTCTGCCTTGGAGCTGAGCGCGGCGATGGATGGTGGGGCTAGGCCGCAGCTGGTTTGGCGGGGTAGTTTTCTTGAGTGCCTCATGAACAAGGCGTTGAGTTACCGGCTGAGCGTGAAATCATACGGTAAATACGTAACTAGTAATTTGACATGTGTGGATGAAGTGAGAGCTTGGGCACTTTGATCAACTCGGTTATTGAAAGAAATTGGGGTCCAAGTCAACCCACAGAACAATGAACTCCGGGTCACCTAGTAATTGCTTAGACTGGCCTCACAAGACGCCCATCAACGGCTCGGCGGGAACCTCGAAAGAACCGAAATATTGAAATATGACCCCGCGGTACGGGCTTGGCGCCCGTTGGAGCGTGGACAGGGGTGCTTGTCTCAGCCACTTCAGCAATTGGTGGGGCCAGCATTGTCCGTTGCGTTCCTCCTTCACCGGGCCGTGTCCCTGAAATCCCCCGCAAACTAACAGACCCCATCGGCGCATCTCTCGGAGGCAGCCATTTCGCATGTCGACATCGCTCCTTGCGCCTTTAATGCTCAGGGTTGGGGAATCGAGCCTTTGGGACGCGCATGGGAACCATGGCTGAGGTGGAACAGGCCCCGACGTTGGGCTCGGAGCTCAAGGTTCGACAACTTTCCCAGATTCTCAGGATCCGGGAATCACGGGAGCTGGGCGTGCGCTGACCTTGGTTTCTGCAGGATGGCTTTAAACCCGCAAACGCCTGGGTCGCCGGCGGGATTGCCTGGCTCGACGACATCCAATCCTTCTACCGCGAACGAAGTGCGATCGAAAAGGAGTACAGTGCCAAGCTCAATGCCTTGGCTAAGAAGTACTTCGAAAAGAAGACGCGCAAGTCGGCAAGCTTGAGCGTCGGTGATAGCCCGACCATGACACCTGGCTCTCTCGAGAGGTACAGCATCCAAGGCCATTGGGCGTGGAGTCCCCTTTATTCCGTCCGACCATTGGGGCTTACATTGTACACAGTGCCTCCCTTACAACATGGACCACCCATCTGACGACGCTCGAAGCGCGGGCCGACGAACACGAACGCTACGGAAACGATTTGATTGGCAAGGTGGCAGATCCGATGAAGAATATGTCACTACGTTTCGAAGAACTGCGCAAACGCCATGCCGAATATGCCGAGAAGCTTGAAAGGGAACGGGATACATCGTACGCGGACCTCCGGAAGACGAAGGGAAAATACGATGCGGTCTGCCAAGAGGTGGAGAGCAAGCGGAAGAAGACCGAGTCTTCCTTCGACAAGGCCAAGGCGCAGAGCAGCTTCCAGCAGCAGCTCCTGGACATGAACAACGTCAAGAACACCTACCTCATTGCGATCAATGTGACGAACAAGCAAAAAGAGAAATACTACTACGAATACCTCCCAGAGCTCATGGATAGCCTCCAAGATCTTTCGGAGTTCCGGACGTTCAAGTTGAACGGCCTTTGGACACTAGCTTCGCAGCTTGAAGCCGGCATGCTTCAGCAGAGTTCCGGGCAGATCGACCGCCTTGGTCAAGAAATCACACGGAACCAGCCGCACTTGGACTCGATGATGTATATCCGACACAACATGAGCACCTTCCAGGAACCCTACGACAAGGCGTTTGAGCCGAGCCCCGTGTGGCACGATGACGGGACCATGGTAGTCGACGAGGCGGCCAAGGTGTATCTGCGCAACCTACTCAACAAATCGAAGGGTCAGTTGGGGGAACTGCGGCGTGAGGCGGATAAGAAGAGACGAGAGGTAGAGGCGATGAAGCGGGTAAAGCAAAAAGTGCGAGAGGGGACGGACAACAAGGACGAGGTGGCTGTCGTGTCGCAGATCTTCTCGATGCAAGAGGAACTGCACCAGGTTGACCGCAAGCGGCTCACGGTCGAGGTCGAGACGTCAACCATCACGGCAGCGGTCGGCGACGTGACGCTGGGAGCCAAGAACCACAACTTCAAGTCGCAGACCTTCAAAATCCCCACGAATTGCGACCTCTGCGGCGAGAGGATATGGGGGTTGTCCGCGAAAGGTTTCGACTGTCGCGACTGTGGCTACACATGTCACAGCAAATGCGAGATGAAGGTGCCCGCAGAATGTCCTGGGGAGCAATCTAAAGAAGAACGCAAGAAACTCAAGCAGGAGCGCCAGGAGGCCGCCAACTCGCTGCTCAAACCAACTAGCGGCCCACCAGAACATGTGGCCGAGCTGCCCTCGATGAGCCGCTCCGACACGGTCACCTCTGGGACATCAGGATATGCAGCCAGTTCCCAGCGCTCCATGACGGGACCCCTATCACCCGACGACACACCGCCTGAGCTGCCCAGCGCGCCCCGCCCGACCAGCACAGCCCCGGCGCCGGCTGCTAGGAAAAACCGGGTTATCGCACCACCCCCGACCGCCTATGTGAGCGAGCTGCCGGGTAGTACCCCGAACGGTTCGTCGGCTCAGGGGTCAGAGCAGAAGGCTAAGATGTTGTACGGCTTCGACGCTGGCGGTGCGGGTGAGCTGAGCGTTACTGAGGGACGGGAACTGGTGGTGTTGGAGCCGGACAGTACGTTTTCTCTAATTCTTTTTCTCTGGCGTCTTCTTCCCCCCATACTTATTGAATGCCCACTGACACCTCTCACAGCTGGTTCCGGCTGGGTCAAAGTCCGAGCAGGCTATAAGGAAGGCCTGGTCCCGGCAAGCTACGTCGAGCTGATCGCGTCGGCGCCCGCATCAGGGCCACCACCACCCACAGCGGCCGCAGCAGCCATCGCGCCGCAGCACACGGGCCAGTCCACCTACTCCAACAGCGGCTCGTCGATCAGCACGGCAGCGACCGGCGGCGGGAAAAAGAAGGGCCCCGCGGTGGCGCCGAGGCGGGGCGCAAAGAAATTAAAGTACGTCGAGGCCCTGTATGAGTACACGGCGCAGAGCGATACCGAGCACAGCATGGTGGAGGGCGAGCGGTTCGTGCTGATCAAGGAGGACCCTGGGGACGGGTGGGCGGAGGTGGAGAAGGGGGGTGTGACCAAGAGTGTGCCGGCGAGCTATGTGCAGGTTGTTTAGGAGGACGGTACTTAGTTTTTTTTTGTGGAGGGTGTGTCGAGGGTAGGGTATCAGGGCGGAGGGTTGGTTGGGTTGGCCGAGCATACTTTTTTGGAGTATGTGGTTTTGGGGTTGGCGATCGGGAGGTACACATAGCACGGCCTGGGGTATGCATTGGTATCGAAAGTAAGGCATATTATCTGTGTTGCGAAGCATGATAGCAGGCGTCGGCAATAAAGTATATATTTACATCTTTGTTCTGAACTTGGTCCATAGCATCCTGCAGGGGCGGAGCTATATTATTTTCAGTTGGGAAGTCGGGAGTTTGAGATTATCCTTGGTAACCCTTGGACAACTGGAAGAAGATTGATTGCGTTGAGGTCGTGAGGTGATAATTTCGGCCGTTTTTGGTTTGAAGATCAAGAGATGCTGCGCCACCACGATAACCGTGGTGTTCCCCGTCAAAAGAGAGTTACGACTACCCGTGGAGTGTCTCGGCTCCGTTGTCTCGGTGTGTCTGAAAAGTCAAAAGGCAGAACGAAGCTGGGGAAGAAAAGTAAAAAGTGGAATAAAGCGGGTACGGGTTCCACGACGGGCTGGCTGTGCTTGGTTTCCGACCGGCAATCGGTTGACAATGACGTCGGTAGTAATTTATGCCCCTGTCTATCCCTTCCATAACGTCCACACAAATCTTTTGACGTTTCCTCTTTTTTTGCTCTTTGAAGAGATTGGGTTAGATAAACAAAGCGAGATGCAGGTACCCTCGCGGGCCGCCCTGGAATGCAACTACCGAGACTAGTAACGACATGCAGCTACCCCCGAGGGGCTTAAGCCACGGCAAAAGCACGGCCATACTGGGAAACAAACAAACAACACGGGAGGTCGGTTCGTCCGGTGTTACTGGCAACACATCGTGGTACATAGGGTTTGGGTTTGCACATTGACGGGTAAAGAGTCAATATGAGGTTCCTCAGGTCGGGTATCCGTGACACAGGTTGTGTTAAGTCGTTAAGCTGAAAAGGGGAACGGCTAAAATATCGCACATTCTGAGAAATACTAAGGACTCTGCCAACTGAGTTATATACCTTTTATTATCTGTTCCCCATCCTCCTCAATGTTTCCCTTGCTCTAATACATCCAAGCCTGTCACACTATAGCAATACACCGGAGTAGCATGAACAGAGTGGACCTCGATCAGCGGGTGGCGGTATCCTCTCGTGCCTTCCCTAAATGTTTTGGACGACGAGCAACCGGTTTCAGCTGGCAAAACCTCGAGGTTGCCGTGCCCAGTTATCTCCCACAAAGAGAGTGATTGGATGATCCGCCTGCTTCCCAACGTGCCTTCCCAGTTCCTGTTTCCACACCGTGGACCGCGTGGAACTCGTGGAACTCCTAGGTAACCGCTGGTTGATCAGTCCCTTCCCCTATAATCTCTCTCCGGTTTCACGCTCCCTTTATTGTCCTCTTCTCTTTCAACAACAACCACCACAATCGTTCAGGTGTTCACTCATTCCCTTCCTTTCTCAGACTCAACTCCAACTTTACCATCACCACACTCGTTTCTCTCCTTGTTTCATTCATCATCTTGGCATTCTGCTTGGCGATCGATCCTCCCACGCCAAGATGAGATCCTCGACCCTGTTTCCCGCCTTGGCGACCCTCCTCAGTTTGGGGGCCGCCAAACCGACTGCCACGACCCCAGAGCCGCCCAGCAAGCGGGCGACGCTGCCGACAGTCACAGTTTCTGGAAATGGTACGCCTTGTGTGGAGAGCCGTGGATAATGAAAGAGACCCAAGAACGGAGATAGTAACATGACTTGCAGCATTCTGGCAGGGCAACGAGCGATTCTATGTGCGGGGCATCGACTACCAGCCCGGCGGGTCCTCTAACATGGCCGACCCCCTGGCGGACACCACGGTCTGCAAGCGCGACATTGCCGAGTTCAAGAAGCTGGGCGTCAACACCATCCGCGTGTACATCACCGACAACTCGGCGAACCACGACGAGTGCATGAAGGAGTTGGCGGATGCGGGCATCTACGTCGTCATCGACGCCAACAACCCGCTCTACTCGATCAACCGGCTCCAGCCCGGTCCGTCGTACAACACCAAGTATCTCCAGAGTGTGTTTGCGACCATCGACGAGTTCATCAAGTACGACAACACGCTGGCGTTCTTCTCTGGTAATGAGGTTATCAACGACAATACTAAGAGTACGCTGTCGGCCCGTTACGTGAAAGCCGTCACCCGTGACATGCGCCAGTATATCAAGAGCCGTGGCTACCGTGCGGTGCCCGTTGGTTACTCGGCGGCCGATGTGGCCCAGAACCGGATGCAGCTGGCGCACTACATGAACTGCGGCACGGAGGACGAGCGCAGTGACTTCTTTGCTTTTGTGAGTGCTCCCGGAGAGACAAAGACGGGGCTTTACTAACACAGTCCAGAACGACTACTCGTGGTGCAATTCCAACTTCCAACAGTCCGGCTGGGACCAAAAGGTCAAGGATTTCACCGGCTACGGTATTGCCATCTTGTAAGCTCCTTGCTGAGGTATCCAACACAGAATATTAAGCTAACCTCTCAGCCTTTCTGAGTATGGTTGCACCACCAACGGCCGTGACTTTGGCGAGATCGCTGCGCTCATGAGCGACAAGATGAGCTCTGTCTACTCGGGCGGTCTCATGTACGAGTACGCGTTGGAGGCGAACGGCTTCGGTATTGCCAAACTCGGTTCCAGCGTTAAGGAGCTGGATGACTTTTCCAAGTTCCAGAAGGCCCTAAAGGAGAACCCGATGCCCAAGGGTGACGGCGGTTTCACCTCGACCACCAAGGCCGTGGCCTGCCCTACCAAAGACGCCCACTGGCTTGTTGAGGGCTCGCTTCTGCCCGCGATCCCGACCGATGCCCTGAAGGTTAGTTACTCTTGGCCTGGGGATTGAGTATTCATCTTGCTAACAAGTTTGATAGTTCATGTCCGACGGCGCCGGCAAGGGCCCGGGTCTCAAGGGCGACGGCTCGCAGAACGCCGGCGAGGGTACCAGCACGGGAGACGCGCAGCCGGGCTCTGGAAAGGTGACGAACGCCCCCAACTCCCCGCAGTCGTCTTCTAGCGACAACGCGGCTCCCGGCTCGAACCTCGGACCGGTCGACAAGGCGCCTTTTATCATCTCGGGGCTGGTTGTGATGCTAAGCCTGACCGGGACTCTGCTCCTTTAAGGAGGTTAAGAGATAGGGATATTCGGTCCATATGGTGCCATTTGGGCCGATTGAGCTGAGGTGCTGCGGCCGGCTACCACTTCTATGTTGTTTTGATAGGGCAGTTGCTTAGCGGGGGCGGTCAGGCGGGAATTTTGCCGTTACATTGGCCAGCAGGCCATTCTTGTTAATTTATAGAATCCTTTTCTCTGGCTTTTTTTACTTTGTGACTGCAAATACCCATTCTAGGACCATGTCAGTCCTTGACTAAACTCAGAGACTACGCCATGTCAACCCTTGATTTAAACTCTAAAACTACGGCCAGTCACACGCCTCCCCAATCACCTTGGCCAACTTCTCCAACCACTCCCGGTCGACATCATCAAACCCATCCACCTCCGCACAATCCACATCAATAATCGCCACCACTCTCCCTTTCTTTTCCTCTGTCCCTTCTCCCCCCTCCCTCCCACTCTCCTTGTTATCCTTATCTCCAGGAGGAGAAGAAGAAGAAGAAGAAGCAAAAGGAACAACAATAGGTACAACAATCTCACTCCGACTCGCCCCGTCACATGCAATATGGCCCGGAAATGCGTGGACGTCCCGGACGAGTTGGGTTTCTTGCGAGGCGGCGGCTGCGCCGCAGACGCCACGGCCGTAGGCGATGGTTTGGCAGGCGACTTTGCCTTGGAAGGGACCGAGGATTAGTTGGGGTTTTTGGGTGGGGGTTTGTGTCGAGGTGGTGGTGGGGGTGGATTGGTGGGTTGGGGAGAGGGGGTCGTGGGTGTAGAAGCCTGGGTGGGTTAGTATTGTAAGTGGTTTGGGGGTAGAGGGGCGGATAGAGGGGGGACGTACCGGCCCAGTTGACTTGGTTGCTGGGGGAGGGGAGGGATTTGTAGGCGTGCCAGAGGAGGGAGGCGGCGTTGGAGAGGTTGCTGGAGGGTGTTAGTTGAGATGTTGTTCACGGGGGGTTGTCAATAAGCAGTGAGCATTGGGAATCAGGGTTGCGTGGGGAATCAGGGGTGAAAAAGGAGCAAAGAGTTGAGGGGAACTGACCAGACCTGGGATGCTGTTAGTTAGTTATCCTGAAAAGTTCCTTAACGCCAGAGTGATGAATGAGAACATCTGAAAATAACAGCACACAGACAAAAACCGGATACACTTCCCATACAAGAAAAAGAAAATGCATGTAGCCCCGTGTTCAACAACCTTCAACAAAACTCATACCCACCACGACAGCCCACAAGTCAAACAAGGCAAACCCAAACAAGGAGAACAAAAACATACCCAATTCCGCTGCTCAAAAAACAGCCCCTCAACCTGGTCCAACACTTGCTGGTAGGCCTCCGCTTTGGTTACCCCCTCGGCAAACGTCGAGGCGTCGGCGTGGACCTGGACATTGTTAGTTTCTTATTCTTTCTCTTCCTTATTTTAAGGGTTCTTGTTATCATCTCCTCTGAGGGGACTGGAAAGGGACTCGGCCTTGGAGAAAAATAACAAAAATGAAAATAAAATTGGATTGAGGCGGGAATACACACCATATTGACTGTTTTGAGAGAGAAAGGTTCGTCGATGTGTGGTGTGTGTGGGTGTGTGTGGAGTAGCGTGAAGCAGTGGATGCAGCTGATTAAAGTATACCTATCCAACCTCGCGTGGTAAATTAACCAAACCTCAACTCCAAATCTAGTGATAAATAGACCGAATCTGTCACCGCGGATAGGGAGTAACTGTAAATTCTCGGGTGAATGAGTGAGTGAGTGATACGGATTAGACGGAGGTAAAAAGCAGAAAAGTGAGGTCGTTGTGGGTCTTCAAGAATGGCGCAATTTTGTCTCCATTTCGGGAACGCTCTTATTAGTCCCTCACTTAATAAATTTCAGATAATGTTGAACCACAAACATAATACAAGGGGGTGTTATACGTTCGATCTTGATTACCCTCTGTAACAAAAAGACAGTCATCTTTCGACACAAAGATTGGACCCCTTTGTACTGTGACCTCTTCCTTCAGCAGTCACCCTGAATACATCTTTAAATTGTCAGATTTGTTAGCTAACCCCGGCCATGCATCAACTCCCTATTAAGACAACGGCAACAACAATAACAACTACGACGACGACCACTGCTGCAAGCTAGAACTGGAACTGCACACTGGAGCTGAACTGAGAGAACTCAATAAAACTCAAATATGCCACACGCAATCATATTTACCTCGGCTCATCTACAGAGTGTTAACAGCCAAAGCTCATCCAAAAGAACAAACTGCGAACAACACCAGGCGGCACACACATGAATTACTTCAATCAAAGCCAAAAAACGACAAGCCGATTCGTTCATCTGTAAAGTGCTCTATACATATCAAAGGGTATAGACTCTAAGAAGGTAAGCAACCCAAAGTAACTTCTCATATCCATCTATATCCCAACGCCGAGTCCAAACGTCATGAAATAAAAAATGTAAGAAATATAAGAAACGTCGCAATAGCGGAGTAAAAAAGGCGTAGAAAATATAAAAGAGAAGAAAAAAGAAAAAAGGGACCAAAATCAAGCATAACTCCTCCCCATCCCCACCGTCCCCGCCCTCCCAGCCGTAAACCCACAATGACTAACCCCATACCCATTCCCTTCCCTTGTGACACCCCACATCACCGGCCGCCGCCACAACGCCGTCTCTCTTATCTCTCTTGTCTCTCTTGTCTCTCTTATCTCCACCCCCCTTTTGTCTACCCCCCCAGTCCTCGTTTCTGCCCCCGTCCCGGTGGTCGTCCCACTCCCCTCGGTAGTCATCTCCCCCGTCCCCTCACTCGCCATCTCCCTCGCCATAGACAACCTCACAGTCGACACCCTCACCGGCACCACACTCTCCGACTTCCGCCCCGGCTTCCCCATCGACCCCCTCCCAGGCGGGGCCAGAGACTCCCTCCCCCCAACAGGCTGACACCGCGCACTAACCACCGCACTACACGACCCCCCGGGCATGACCATCGGGTTTCCGATCATCTCCCCCTTGACTGTGATTGCTGAGGGCGCACGACGCATCCCGAGGGTTACTACCGCTATCGCGAGTAGACCGAGGGCGATGAGCAGCGCGACGAGGGCTTGACCGCTTGTGCCGAGGGCTACGAGGGATGGTGATTCACCCGCCGCATCAGGGGATGCGGTAGGAGAGACGGAGACGGGTACGGCTCGTACCACGACGGCGACAAAACTCTGCCCCGTGAGAAACGACATCCCCGCGAACAGCACCGCCAGCGGGAGGGACACGACATGTGGCAGGGTGAGTCGGACACCCGTGGTCTGGGCGCCTACAGGGTCGGCAGAGACACGCAGGGGGCGGCCGACGGGACCGACGGGGTGGCCGCCCATGGCGAAGAGGGAGGATTCGTGGGAGAGGTAGTAGGTTGTGAGGAGGGAGTTGACGGAGAGGTAGAGGACGGCGAAGAGGAGTTGGGGGACGGCGGCTAGGACGGCGATGGCTGCTGGTGGGAGGGTTGTTGTAGAAGAAGGGGTGAAAGGGAAGCGGATCAGGGCGTGGGGGTCGGCGAGACCGAGGGCGGATAGGGAGGAGGTGGTGTCGGCGGTGAGGTGGTATACCAGCGCAGCCGCGGCGAGGCCGGCGCAGAGGGCCCAGAGGAGGAAGGTGGATAGCCAGCCGGTAAAGGGGACGCTGCGGGCCCAGTAGTGGGAATCTGGGATCCAGTACTTGGCCTCGGCGCGGGGCCAGGTGCGGCCGCGGACGACGTCGGACTTGGTCAGCAGACAGGCGCCGCGGGTGGTCGGGTCCGGGTCCTGCAGGAACGAGGCGAAGGCGTCGCCGAGGGTGACGAGCGGGCGGAAGGCGGAGCGCCGGCGGAAGAGCACGGCGGAGGTCGCGACAACGGCGATGGAGTTGAGTAGCGCGACGATGCCGAGGAGGGAGGCGTTGAGGTTGACCTGGCAGGTTGGTGGTGGTGCGGGCAGAGCGAGGCAGTACTGCACTTGCATGGCCGACGGGTCGACGAGGGCGGGCGCTAGATCCCGGGCCGGGTCGGTGCCGGAGCGGCTCAACCGGGCCACACGGGTCACGCGGGACATACCGGTCGACGTCGTCTGGGTGTCGGACACTAGGAGAACGGCCGAGTACGCCGTCTCGAAGGCGCCACCGAATTGGTCCATGCAGTCCGGGGCCGACAGACGGACTAGGTCGCCGTCCACCACGCGCCGCTGCAGCGCCAGAAGGTCGGGGCGGCTAAACCCGCTGCCGTCGGCCGCGAAGTCGCCGCTGAAGGCCGCACCGCGCACAAATGGCTCACTGACCATGGCCGCCTTGAACGAGGGGGCCGTCTGCGAGACGAAGACGACGGCGTGGTACAGAATCTGCGTCAACACGGCCATCACCACAACCAGCACAGCCAGCGCGGCCCTTCCCCTCCCAATCCACTTCAGATTCCTCAACGACGGCACACCAATATCCACCCAACGCTCCTGGCGATGCGCCGCATCCACCTCAGCCCGCGTCGGACTGGTCAACACCTGGAACACATAGTTCGCGCCCGCTAGGAGCACCACCGCGGCCACCGTAATGGCAGCGTGCACGCCCATGTTCACCGCCGTCGCGGTCCCGCATGCACCGACGTACACCGCTGCTGCTACGGACGCTGACGACGGCTTCCCGGAGATGGCCACCATGAGGCACACGAACCCGGCGATGAGCACGGCTAGGGTGGCTAGCACGGTGAGTGCCACGCCGGCGCGCCAGCCAGAGCGCAGGGCTTGCCAGCTGGTGCTGCGTCGGGAGCTGCCGTAGCTGCCGTAGCTGCTGTTGCGGTGGATGGTGTCTTTGTAGCCTTTTTCTTTGCTCACGTCGTCGTCGTCGTCGGTGTCGGTTTCATCACTATCATCACTATCGCCGTCATCTTCCATCTCGCTGCTGTTGTTCCGAGACCCTGCTGGGAGGAACATGTGGTTTTCCTCAGCACCGCCGGAGCTGCTACGGCTTGGTGAGCTGGAGCTGTGGCTTTCGGCCCGGTCGAGAGATACCCGCTCGAACAAGTCGCGTTTGAGGTCGGGATCAACCTGGCTGTTGCTGCTGTCGCCGCTATCACCACGGTCGCCAGCAGAATCACCATTGCTTCCACTCTCGGGACTGACATCGTGTGCGGCGTTCCTTTCTCCACTTCCTCCTGACCCCTCCTCATCCTCATCGTCATCCCCCATTTCCGACACCGGCGCATACCCATACCCAGCCTTGGCTAGCTTCTGCCGCGCACTCGACTTGCGCGGAATGGGGATATTCAGCTCCACCTCCTCAAACGGCGGTGACACTGTCCTGCTTCTGCTCCCCATGAGATTCCCACGTCCACTCCCCATTGAACTCCCACTTCCGATCCTGCTGTGGCCCCGACTCCTGCTCCTACTCCGGGCCTGCTCAGCAATTCCCTGGCTCACACGCCGCTGCCCCGCCGCACCGCCAACCACAATAGCAGCGGTAGCAACAGCCGGCAGGCCTGGACTATACGGCGGGCTCTCGACATAAGGCGGTGTATCATCATCACTCGCCCCATACGGCGGCGATTCATCCCGACGACCAGAGCCGCGGCCGTGGCCGTGGCTGTGGCTGTGGCTGTTGTTGTTGCCATCGTCGCCACTCCCACTCCCATCCTCATGCCGGATAAAACTGCGCAGATAATCCGGCACCACATCGTCCGGACTATACGGGTACTCCGATGCCCCCGGCCCGGCGCTCTGGGTATACGGCTCGCCCGTGCGCTTGTCGAAATCGGGGTACGGGTCTGGATACTGCTGCGATTTCGGGAGCGACGGCTGCCATGATGGTCGGTAGCGCCGGTAGGAGCCGCTTCTTCTTTTTATCCCTCCTCCTGGTTGTTGTGCTGGGGAGCCCGGGATGGCCGGCTGCTGGGACTCGCCGAGGTCTGGGGGACTGTTGTTGGCGACAGCGATGTTTTGGAAGCGCCATTGGCCTGAGGACTTGCGACGTTCGTGGTCGAGACGGAGACGTTCGGCTGAGAAGGACCGGGATTCGCGGATTCTAGTTGTGTTAGTGTCTATCTGTACAGCGACGAGAGTGTGATTGTGTGGGTGTGAGTGAAGGATGGGACGACATCATCGAGGCACTGCGCCGTACATACCGTGTAACCTCCGCAACCTTCCCGTTCTCATCCCATGTGTAGCGGTACGACGACGGCCGTTGGGCCCGAGGCGGTGATACCGGCTCCATAACTAATGTATGGCTGAGTCTAAGTCGATGTGGATGGCCTTAAACAAGAGGCCACGGAGCAGGGAGACCGGCTTGCTTGCTTCTCCAAAGAGGCTTGCAGTCGACTTATGCAAGGGAATAATATAATGATAGCCCCGAGCTCGACTTTAAAGACTCCTGGTCCGTGAAAACAACTTCCTGCAAGGCTGGGCCGCAAAGACAGAGGCCAGGGCGCAGGCCGGCTAGATCACAACTTATACAACACCAGCTCATAGCCTGCTGACCTGTTGTTTTCTTTTTACCCCCATTTTTTTCTTCCCCCAGCCCAGCCACGGCCATGGGAAGGATCTCTTCGTCCTGCCGTTGGGAGTCCCATCCTGCACAACCTCCTCACAATGTCCGCAGTTGACTCAGTCAGATGCACAGTATAGCGCGACCACCGATCACTGCCCCCTCTGGCTTGTTTCCCAACGGCTTGGAGATGAGACCCATAACGCGAGCTCCCCACCCCAAGAGCTTTTCGCTGTCCGTCATGTCCCTTTTGGGAACCATTGGACACCCATGCTGCGGCCTGGTGGAAGAGTGGGCTCGAAGGCTCGGAAGGCTTGAGCTGGGGGTGCGAATGGGGCGCTGCTAAATTAAGACCCTGAGTCTTGGCAACGCCCCAGCCGTGCATCAACCACGCCGGCCAGCGCAGCGAGCGGGGCAGCAGTGGGAAGACGTTGGGAAGCTCTCTTGAAATCTTTTTTTTTTTCCGGCCCCCGAATTTTGGCGGGGTTAACGGTCCCGGAGCTACGGTTGGCCCATCGTGGTTCGATGCTACTGAATCCTCCGGTCCGTTCGGCAGCTAGTATCAGGTATCTACATGCGTAGTGTAGTTAGGTAATTCTTCACAAACTCACAACAACGCCCCGACTACTGTGGACACAATACAGCAGAAACAAACCCTTTGTTTGCTCACTTCCGGAATAGGGACGCTTCCTCGGAAACCATGTCCTGAAATATACACTGCAAGATGACAGCGCTTCCAGAGCCCAGGGATCGATCCAGTTACCATGGTCCCGGTTATAAGAGCGAGCCAATCGGCAAAGAGCTCATCGTGAGGGGAAAAAGGTCATACTGTTAAGATGAGAGTCCACAGCTGGTGAGGCTCTGTCTTGTTGGAAGGATTCTATTTTCGAGCTTGGGCCTTCGGGGTTCGCGCGTGTTTGCAGCGGTCTGCAGGTGGTGCAATCAATCGCCTGCAAGGTTGAAGCTCCCGACGATCCGAGGGCCACACCGCGACTGGGATGGGAAATCAAATTCTTAGGGCGGACGATGCAGGTGCCTGGCGTAGCCGGAGCTGGGAGGCAAGGCTCGCTCTGTTGGCTGCGATGCGGTGAAGGAGGGAGGCTTGTGAATGTTTGATGAAGGAAGTCAGTCGACGAGTCAAACGTCAACAAATGTCGTCCAAGTCCAGAGGATTTTGGGCCGCCCCACTGTATTTGGGTCAAGCGAAATGGCCCTCATCTTCCGCCATTTCTCTTTTTGGTGTTCAGCTCCAAGGGGCCTTGTCGTGTATAAAGCTGTTGGCGGGCATCGCGGCCGCCGTTGTGGTCGGGTTGTGGGTTTGCCAACCTCCTTACCACATGTCGTCGCAGTTGCAGCCAATCTCGAGCCGTGTGAGACCAGCGCAAGGCTCCCAGTTTCAACTCGAGACATGCAGAGAGGTTAGTTATTCCTAGCTTGGTGCATTGCATAATGCAGTGTTTGGTGCATGTCAGTTATTCGCGCTGGATGGGGCCATCCTCGAAGTCTGGTCAATGAGATGCGTCTTTTGGTGATTGTTAAGCGCGACAAGTCTTGGTGTTCTCGAAGCAAACCCGAATCCGAAAGACCCAACCGAACCCACGCTGCTCAGCCTGCAGGCGCTCCGCCGCCGCTCCTTCGCTCACCAGATTGATCCAGTGGTGCTCACGGGGCTCGAATACCCTCAAGGCACCGACATTTGGGAGCTCGACAGTCCCGCTTGGGCATCTCGAGCCCCGCTGAAGGTCGAGAGGGGGCCATTGTTCGCGGTGTCGCCTCTGCGCTTGATGTTTGTCCTCCGTGCGGCCCGGTAATCTTGTAGCAAACAATCGAGTCGTCGGCTTGTCCAGCCGCGTGGGTCGGCAAATTAGAATCAACGAGGTGCGCGGAAAATAGATGATGAGCTTTACACTACGAATGACGATGCGGGGGAAACTGAGGAATGTGCTCAAGTTCTTCCGGGGCAACGTCAAAAGTTCTACAATGAAGTTGCCGTCAAGTTGGGAAGGTGCTAAGGAGGTTGCATCGGAAAGCGTGACTTAATCAGCAAATCGAACCTCACTCTTTAACCCTAACCCTAATCTGTTATCGCACGCTGAGCGGATCTCGAAATCTTGGCGCGGCTGCCCCACATCGCCGACATGTGGCATGAAGCTCCACGTCGGTCAATCAAGCCCACCTCCTTGACGACCACCAGCACAAGCCGAAGCCGTATTAACACCGGGCAACCACTCAACAACCCAATCAACAACACGACCGCACGAGACATACCCCGAACCCCCTTGAGGAACATAGCAAAGTAGAAAAAAACATAAAAGGAAACGGAAAGAAAAAAAAGCGAAACCACCGCCCACCATGGACCCCTACTCCGCCGAAGGCGAGCTCATCAACATCCACAACCACTTCCACCAAGGCCAGTTCCCCGAAGTGATCGACTTCGACACCTCCTCACTCTCCCCCGAAAACGCCCTCCCCGCCCGCGTCCTCCAGCTGCGCGCCCGCATCGCCCTCGGCCAAGCCGACGACGTGCTCGCCGACATCCAGGGCGAGACCGACGCCCACCCGGAGCTGGCAGCCGTCGCCGCGCTGGCGGAGCTAGCCCTGGGCCGGGCCGACGAGGCGGCGGAGAAGGTGGAGAAGCTGGTGCAGTCGGATGCGGCTGGGGAGAACGCTACGGTGCAGGTGTTGGGCGGGACGGTGTTGCAGGCGGCGGGGAAGAGTGAGGAGGCTTTGGCGTTGTTGGGGAAGCATCAGGGGAGCTGTGCGTTTTTTTCCTGCCTGTTTTTGATTTTGGGGGGTTGAAGATTAGTTGGTTTGGGGAAATGGGTTGGTTGCTAACTGGCGTCTGCAGTGGACGCCGTCGCCCTGATTGTTCAGATCCACCTTCAGCAGAACAGGAATGACCTCGCCGTCAAGGAGGTCGCTGCGGCCCGGCGGTGGGCACAGGACAGCCTGCTGGTGAACCTAGCCGAGTCGTGGGTCGGTCTGAGGCTGGTATGTATCTCTTGTCCTGGTCATTCCCAGAACTATCCTCGCCAGTTCCGATATTAATGGTTGCTAACCTTATCCTCATGATTAGGGTGGCGAGAAATATCAACAAGCATTCTACGTCTTCGAGGAACTGGCACAAGCCCCCGCAACATCATCCGTCCGGACCCTTGTGTCTCAGGCTGTCGCGGAACTGCACCTCGGCCGCACCGAGGAGGCCCAGGCTGCACTAGAACAGGCGCTTAAGAAGGAGCCCGAACACGCCGATGCGATCGCGAACCTCCTGGTCCTGAATGCCATCACAGGGAAGGACATCACGGAGTTGACAAGGTACGCTTCGCCATTCACAGCCCCATTGGTTTCATAATCGTCCGTTAACTAACACACCCCCTCCTTCCCTAGCTCTCTGCAAAAGACGGACGCTGAGCACCCGCTCTTGACGGATCTGGCGGAAAAGAGCGACTTGTTTGACAAGGCCGCGACCAAGTACAAGGCCAAGGTGGCGGCGGCTTAGGTGTTGTTGTATGACCGCTAACGAGTAATGATATCCTTCAAAATAAACTGGTCTTGGGGTAGACAAATATTCTGCGGCATATGGGTTCTGTAAATATGTGATCGACGAGCGGGAACGGAATCCTAAACTTAAGCAAGCGGCTTGGTGGGTGGCCAATGGTATGCCTAATCTTAAGAGATGACCGTCCCTAGTGTGTGAGCCCGCGGGAAAACGACCTTATCACGAATGATCTTGTGTGCGGCGTGGCGTCAAGAAGTGGGAGAGAAACTGGACATTCCGCGTAACAAGGCAAGTTGAAAAGGTCTTGGCCATGTTCAAGTCTCGCATGTCCAAACAACACGCCTTACCTTCGGGAAGCCTGTCACTCCGAGGGGGCACAGGAGGAAGAAGGAACTGTAATCTAGGAGATTCTTTTTAGGATTTTCTTTTTGTTTTTTTGTTTTTCTTTTGAGTTTTTTTTTAGGTTTTCTTTTTTTTATTAAAAAAGGAAGGAAAAGAGAAGAAGTATTAAAAACTATTGGGAAAAGTATTTGAAAAAAAGGGTTTAAAAAAAAATCTTTTTTTTTAAGAAAAAACAGTATTGAGGATATGGAAAATCACAACAAAAGCATACAACACCGGGGATTCCCCCTCTCTAGCAGGGATGCCTCGCCAAACGATAACCCGCATCTACCACCGCACTTGCGCTCACCGAAGCTGCAAATCCGGCCCAAGGTCCCTCCGATACATAGTGCTGGTAGAAGCCCAAGATCACACCATCGCCGTTCCATACCGCCGACCCGCATGTACCGTCTGATGGCTGGACCTTACTATCATTTCCCTCCACTTGCCCCGTATGCATCCAATCATACACCACGTACCGAAGGTCGCGTTGTGTACATGTAGTAGGCGTGTCGGGCTTGAAAAGACGAACCGATTTGTGGACCAAAGCTCCCACCATGTTGCCCGTGTATGTACTGTTTAGATAGCAGGGGCCGCATGGCATATCGTCTTCCGAGGTTCGCAAGCATATAAACTTGGGACTCGGCCCAGCTGCTTCGGTTTCGAAGGTTTTGTAAACGAAGGCTACATCTTTCTTCGGCTTCAGGAGGCTGATATCGGTGAACGGTATCTCCACGGCAGCCTTGCCAATGATTCGATCGGCCCGCCCTCCTTTCCACACCGTCCCGTCCTCCCCAATTCCATGGGAGGCGGCCGTCATGAAGGCCTCGCCAGCATCGTTTTCCACAAGAACACCCGCAGTGGTGGACAAGACTGACGAATCTGCCTGGTCTCGGAGGGATTTGCTGTTGATCTGGACTCCGGGCCGAAGAACGTCGTAGGTGGTATTGTCGATGATGCCTTGGTTTGGCTGTGGCTGAATCACACGCTTGTCAGGCATATCAACCCACGCAGGCCGGTGAAGCTACCGGTTATTTATGTACCCAACAATGCGGTTAGCGATCCAGCCAGGAAACTTGTTTCTGTGAACGTTAATCACTACGTGATCCTCGAGGACGATGAAGATGGTGCGTTCGCATGTAAACATCAGCTCCAACATGCGAATGTCCGGCATGTTCTCCTCAAAACATCTGTTGACCTCGGCAGCCAGTCGGCGAAGGTTAGTGTCGGAAATTAATGCTTTGCTAAGGTCGGGGTGCCCTTCTTGGCAGATCTTGATGTTGGCGTGCCCGTGAATCTGCCTTGGGAGCATGAGAGCACGGCCCTGGCCGTCGTTTGACGCTATGGTGAAGGGCAAACTGCCAACCGTGACGGGCCAAGGACCACGGGGGAGCTGTTCGACCTGGAACAGCAGGTGGGATCGGTACCGAACTTCGCCGACGTCCCACGTTGTGGGAAAGATGCTTCGAAGCTCATTCGGGAAAAATGGCACCGACAGCAGCTCGTCGTCAGTCCCGCTGGGGCCCCCGAAGCACCTTCACCACTCCTGCCCTTGCCGGCCTCAACCTTGCGATCAAAGCTACGATGACGGCTGAGCAGGTTGAGGCCTATGCTCTTCATGTCCGTATCTCCGAGATCACCCAAAAGTTAGAAACGGACGATATTGTCCCTGCTAATCCGATACGCAGGTCAACATCCCCGACGCCGGAATATGACATATGTCCGGTCGACGAACTAACACGCGCCATCAGCGCTACCGAGAGAGCCTCACAGCGGAGCGCCAGTCATTAATCAGCCAAGCAGCACAGGTTATGCCGAACTACCACCCCCCTGCGGGCTTCCGATATATGACCCCGCCGAGAATAACGGAGAAACTATACCTCCCCGTCAAGGACTTCCCCGAAGTCAATTTCATCGGGCAGATTCTCGGTCCCCGTGGTCGCAGTCTAACAGAAACGGCTACAGCTTCCGGCGCGACGATCGTGCTACGCGGCAAGGGCTCTGTCAAGGAGGGCTGTGGGAGGAAGCTCCACGGAAGTGACGACATGAACGAGCCTCTCCACTGTCTCATCACGGCAGACAGCCGGGCTAAAGTCGAAAATGCCAAGTCGCTACTTACGGAGACCATTGAAATGGCGATTACCACCCCGGAGCACGCTAACACCAGGAAGCAAGAACAGCTTCGCGCCCTCGCTAGGGCCAATGGTACTTTTCGAGATGACGAAGGCTTACACTCTAACTCAGGTCTACCCGGAACGTTCGTTGACAGAAAGCCCTCTAGTATTCCGGTTGTCTGTCGAGTCTGCGGTGGTAATGGCCATATCGCACGAGACTGTGTAGAAAGACAGGCTGGTAGGTTGTTACACGGCGGGAGTACTGTGAGGTCGAAGACGCCTCCATGGAGGAAGGCGAGGAAGCATGAAGCTCAACCTGAAGCGCACGGAAATATCGACTCACTTGATGTCATGTACTCTAGCTTCCTGTCTGAAGTATGCGCTCGACAATGAACAGGTTTCTAGTTAGTTGATAGTTTATGATGGTAGTATAGTTGTATACACACTCTTTACAAGCAATCCAACAGTTCGTTAAAGCACCAGTAGGTACTGGGGAAAATGGAAAAATGGAAGCCGGAACTTCCAACTCCCTTTCTTGGTCTGGGCATTCTAATCCATAACCCTAACCCTTGATATCGAATAGCCAGTGCTCTCACTTCTGAGTATCTCTAGAAAGTAACTATTTGCAACTTGAGTTGGGGAAAAGAATTTGCCCTCGATAAAAAAACTGAGGTTTTTTTGCGGACGACCGTGGATGAGGCCCAACCGGGGTGCTTCTGCTGCGTGATGTTCTCAAAATCGGGAGTGGTTATGAGGGTCACATGTCATAATTATTTGTCCATTGTCCGGGTGATCTAACTCAAATAAACTCGCAACTACACAAAGACCGGAGTTTAAATGGAATTTCAGGTCAGTGGAACAGTGCCATTTGCTTTTTATGACAGAGTCGGCTTAGACCAAACAATGGTTCCCAGTCGACGCTCAAAGCCCACTTTAAACCTGGGTAAACTCGTACGGTACATACATACAACGACAACTCCAACTTGTTGTTTACCATGCTGCACTGGAGTGACTGGGCCCGCCCTGGACCCCCATCACTCTGAAACTCACAATCTGTGACGAGGATATGAACCCGAGAGCATGAATCGTAGCATAAACTAATTTCGTAAACGCGGGCGACCTGCAGTGCGTGTGGGGCCCTGGCTGGCCGCGTAATAGTTCGAAGCTAACTATTTACTATGCGCCTTTTTTTATTTCACGAAGATCGTCCCCCAGGCCTCATCGGTAGCAATTACATCACCTAGGGAGACAGATACACACCACTTTTTACCGACCTGATGGATCCAGGCGAGACGATGGACAACGAAAATGGCCTCACCTTGGCCCAGCAAGCGGCTATGGAGACCACCTCTCGACTCGTGGCGTCCCTACTCAGTGACGGGTTGATGGACATCGCGGCCGAGAACGACCAGCTCACCGCCGGAAGGGTCTCGAGTCTCACCTTGGTGAGTCCCAAAGATTGGGACGGGAGTCCGATTCGCATAACGATCTCATTACGCCGGGAGACTAGATACAAGCTTATGTTGCCGACAAACTCTGAGGAAGTTTCCCCAGTCCTCACGCCCCCGCTCGAACCAGCTGACATAGTCGGCCCCGTCGTTGTAATCCACTGCACGGCTGAATCCAATGGATCGTCGCAACTTGTGTACCGTCCGGAAAAGGTGTTTGATGTGGTTGCGCCGTGGGTTTGCCCTGACCAGGAGATGGCGACGAAGCTACGCGGCGAGCTTGAGAACTCGGCTGATAACCAAGGCATGCACCGCCATTTTAAGCCCAACCCCTAGATGTTACTTTATTTGCCCCCCACGGGTTCACGTCACTAATCATGAGAATAGAACGGTGGTTGGAGTTTGAAGCTTCTCGGCCCCATCCACAACTCGGTTCACCTCTCATAGTCTGGGAGCAGAGCCTCATAAAAGGCCACCCAACTCACCCCGTAGGTGCCCCGTTCCTCAGACTTAGCGTTCTTAGATGATGATGACTGACTAACCACCCCAGATGCATCGCTCCTTTTGCGCCAACCCACCTCCCAATCCCAAAATCGACTCCATCGAAGAGTTCCTCACCGCCAAAGTCATAATCATCTCCCTCCCCCGCGACCGCATTCACCTAGACGGACCCTTCGAAGAGTCCATCGCCCCTCTAATCCAACGCCTAAACATCCCCACCGAAACCATCCCCCCCAACCGTGTCCTCCTCCCCTGCTTCGCCGCCCAACTCCCCACCATCCACCGCTACTTCGGCAGCACCGACGCCGACATCAAGGTAGAATCATCGTCAGAGCTCCACGGCCAGCACCAAACCTCCATGCGCACCATCTCCATCCCGGACTTCCCCTTCCACCTCAAAATGGCCCTAAGCTTCACCATCACCAGCGCCACGCGTACCATGACGCCCTGGACGACCCGCATGTGCATCGAGGTGTCCGGTCTACTGGAGGATATTGTGGATCCAGAACTGCTTTGGATTGCGCGGAAAAGGGCCGCGGCGTGTAGTGCGGATCCTGATTTTGAGCGCGCTAAACACTTGTCGGTTATGCTGCGTGAGGACCCGGAGCCGAGGGCGAGTGGGAGGGGGGAGTGTTTGGTTTTGCCGGCTGCGTTGTTTGAAGTCTCCAGCCGTGGTGGCGAGGAAGAAAAAGAACGTGTTGGGCGGGCTGTGGAGCTCTTTGAGTTGGGGTCGTCCGTTGAGGCGAAGAGGGAATGGTTTCGCAAGTGTGTCTTTTTTTGTTTACTTTACCCCCTTTTTTTTCTTGGCTCTTTTCTTTCCCCATTTCCCCCTTGTCACTACGACAACCCCCCCTCACCACCCATATAACAAACAACCCACTAACCCCCCCCCCAATAGCTACACCCACCTCTACTTCCTGTCCACCCTCCCCCTCCTCCTCTCCCACGGCATCTGCCTCGAATCGCACCTCCAAAACCTCCTCGCCCGCTTCGACACCACCACACACACCCTCCGCGGTTTCGTCTACCGCGACATGGGCGGACTACGCATGCACAAACCCACACTCGCAGCACGCGGCATACGCGTGCGGTCCGCAGACCTAGTCCCGGGAGCAGTAACGTTGATTGAGGATTTGGAGCCGGCGTGGGCGAATGCGTATCATTGTTTGGAGAATCATTTGGGCGGGGCGATGAGGGGGTTGGGGTTGCAGTGGGGGGATGGGGAAGAGGGAAAGGGGGGTTGGGGGGTGGTGAGGGAGGAATTGAGGAAGGTGTTGGATGGGTGTGCTGATCCGGATGGGAAGCGGGAGGAGTTGTGGGGGTTTTTGGTGCAGCCTGTTGTGAAGAGGAAGGCGTTTTTGAGGATGAAGGTTGCGGGGGTTTATCGGGGGGTGAGTAACTGCTTACTTTGTAATGGAAGGGTGATATCTGCTAACGAAGTTTGGTGTTGTAGAGAGTGTACTCTATGCTTCCAAATCCTTTGGCCTTATAAGGTAAGTGGACTGGGTCGTCATAACCTCCCTAAGTTAGACTTACCTTCAGAACTGGGGGTAAATATGGTTGGGTTGGGGATTTTCAGACCTGAGTGCTGGAATACGTGTGAGATTATACAAAAGAAGCGTATAGATGGAAGGAGCAAGTTCTCCCCACTCAGGATCCTGACGACAACTCCGTTGTCCATGGATAGTTCTGCCGGCGGGCGATCTCGCACCGCTGGAGATTGGTTTCCTTTCGGCCCCCCGTTGAAGCTTGGTGGTCAACTGGGGTCTAACAGGCGTGGCTATTTTCCATGTTCTGAGAGGTTATACTTACCCCTGCCCTGGTAACCACAACGTAATAGACTCCCGCCGAAAGCGTCATGTTCATCTTAGACTTGTTGTGAAAAATGTTGGCGCAGGCTGCCTTCTTTCGGGGTTTGAGAGTGCAGAGAAAGAGACAGGCGACGACAGCGGGGGACGGCAGGGTGCTTATAACCTACACAACCTACGTTCAGGCCACCCATGTGCGCTTGACCTGGCGACTAAAAGTTTAGCTGACCTGCTTCTCTTGGCTTTCTGGCATGCAGAGACAAACAAGCCTGCATCCTATCCAACCTTTGCTCGCGCTCTGTGAGTGGTACTTACTTGGGGCACCAGGACTTTGACAAGCACATGGTATAGTGATGGAGTGACCTTGTCACAATTATTCACAGAGGAAGTACCCGTGTTTTCGAAGGGATCGAGCTATGAGGGAATCCAATCCCAAACATTGGAAACGTTTATACCTAGGTATCCTCACTCAACTCTTGTGCATTCCCGCGTCTCCACTACCTACATGCACCTTTTGGCCCCGAAGATTAACGCAGTATAAATCGAGAGTCCCTCATCCACCAAGCAAGCCCAAGAGCACCGCAAGCAACCTGCAAGTCCAAGAGGAAGGGGAGAAAATGAAATGGAAACCATCGCCTGCCTAACCTTGTCGTGCCAGGAAGGACTAATAAACCAAGGGTTTCTGCCCACGCTTTATTACGCCAGAGAAGGGGCGGAAAGAAATGGAACCTCGAGCTTCCTCCCGTGAACAGTGAACACGCACCGGACGGCCCTCTCGAAACAAGAGACCATCCATATCCTTGTAACTGCCGTCACTCCTTTCTGTACTCGTCTGCAGGAACATCGTTATCATGGACCCAGTACAGACGGTCGGGATCACCATCTGGCCCGACTCTGAACTCGACCTTCCAGAAACTTGGCCCCTGATCTGTACCCACCCATCGGCCACGCCGCGACAGCTCGTTACGCGGTTGGAGCCAGGTGAAAATATCATCCTCGTAGTGTGCGAGACGGAACTTCTCCGACTCGAGACCCTGTAGAGCCCAGTAGAGGTGGTCGCCCTCTACGGTGATGGCGACCTTGACGATGTGGAGGTGGTCCCAGTATGTCCCCACGTAAGCGCTGAGGTTCCGTGCGGATGTCCCGTTCTTCTGAGCTCGCTGAAGCTCTTCCACGAGATCAGGGTACCACTGAAGATTCGTAGCCACCGACGTCTTGGCCGCCGCGAGATAGTCGTTGCGTTCCGAGGCCGGGACCTCGAGGAACTCTTCCAGAACCATCTGGCCCACCCAATCCGGGACATCGTTGAGAGCCAGGGCGTTCGACGTGATGACGATGGCGCTTTCGGTATCTGGAAGAAGCATGTTGAGGGCGAGAGCGCCGGGGAGGCTTCCCTGGTGGAAAATGACTAAACGTGGCGGCACTCCCTTGCCGACAATGGGCATGCCATGTGGCATCAGACCTGGATTGATGCCGATCTGACCCATCCTCCCGGGAAGCTGGACGCGGGCCCAGCCGAGACCATATGACGCCTCGTTTTTCGAAGGCTGGTCCATGAATATCTTGGCCGACATTAGCTGCGCGACCTGCTTCAACGGGATCCCGTCGGTAGACGTGTTTCCTGTAGAGATCTGATGGTTGAACCCTTTGATGAACGCCTTATACAGCTTCATCAGATCCTTGACGCAGGTGATGGGTGCGGAGGTCCCGTCGTCGAGAGCATTGTAGCACTTTCCGACATTGTCGAGGTCAAGTGGCGGGGTCTTGAGGAAGGTGCGTGTCATGCCCAACGGGTCAAAGATCCGGCTCTGGATAAAGTGGAAGAAGGACTCCTTGCTCAGAGACTCAATGACCTTGCCGGCAAGCTCGTATGCCAGATTGTTGTAGGCAAACTGTCCACGAAAGGGAAGGAGGCGCGTCTGGCTATTGAGCTAGGCCATCGAGTCCTTTCCGCTGACGATGATGTTGTTGTCGGTGCCGATGAGGAGATTGTCGCCCCACGACATGCCTGACCGGTGGCAGAGGAGATCGGCGATGGTCATCTGGTTCTGAAGAGTCTCGTCCTTGATGTCCAGCGAAGGCAGCGCGTCCTTGACCAGCGTGCCCCAACCGGCCTTGTTCTCATCAACTAGGATTCCTAGGGCTGCGGACGTGACGGCCTTGGCCAAGGAGCAAACAGGGAGAATGGTCTCCTCGTTTGGAGGCAAGCGTTGCTCCACGTCGCGGTAGCCGTAGCTGGCGAAGTACACTTGGGTTCCCTGGTGCATGACACCGAGCGAAAGGCCGGGCGTGCCGCCGATGCGCATCAACTCCTCGATCTTGGGGCGCAGAGCGTCGAGTCGGGATGTGAGGCTCTCCATGATGTTCGTTGGCTTGGCTGCAGCCGATGATGGTACTGGTGCTGGTTAGTATGAAAATGAAGGCAGATCGAGAGTGGGATGGGCGGGGAACCCAACATTGGGAAGGAACGATGGGCAAACATACAGGGTGACTCGTTGGTGATGCACGGTGCGGCACACACAGCCCGATACAGCTCCTGGTCACCTGCTACTGGGAACTCCAAGGGCATGGGAAGTCTCGAAAGTATTGTGGCATAGGTTGAAGGGCAACGAATTTGGTCTCCGCGATGGTTATGACGATGTGAAGGCCATCAAGATTGCGAAGCACGGTGGTAAACAGGCTATCATCACTGCCGATAGGTATAGCGGCGAACGATCGCACATATCGGTTGGACCCGACCACTTCGGCAGACATACCGCACAATTTGGGCCTCTAACCGACACAAATATCACATTTCAGCAACTTGAGGCATCAGATGCGATCAACTCGTTGGATGTAATCAAGGGCATGTTCCTTGAGGACCGACGTGACTGCGATTGTGATAAAGAGACAGGCAGTCGCAGCCTTTACGACCCAGCCAACCTCGCCCCTTCGGCATAAAAACACGGCCGCACGGAATAGAACATGAACAGATCAAAAAAAGAGTATGAAAAACCAAAAACATACAACACCGGGGATTCCCCAGTCGTCACCGACCTGAGTACTGATCCGGCGGTCACCAGTTTGACTAGGGGAGAGCGGACGGGATCCCGTATTTTCTAGTGCCTATGGTCGTATGTGCCAGTTTGAACCCAAAGTTGTGGTTATATTGACGGCCACCTTGGTGGGCAGGTATCGAGATGCTGGATGTTGAGGTAAGCGGTTAGAATAGGGGCTGACTTCGGAACAGGACCAGACTCGTGTCACTTACTTCCTCTAGAGAACCGAGAATACTACAAACCGTCAACCAAATATTCGTATTGTCCTCGTTAAATCAATCGGGAGTTGAGGCTGTGATCCGACAATATATATCATCTTGGGCTGAATACCGACACCGACATGACATGTTTTAACTATTTCTGGTCTTGGCTGTGTTATTTCGACTCATTGGGGGGGAGACGGCCATCAGCTCGGTCAAATTGGACCGTTTCAACGTTCTTGTGCAAGGAGCAGGGACCCAGAAAGGCCGAGGGCTGACACAATTCCGTTTGTCGAGCCCAAATAATTGTTTGTCGGCATCAAATATGGCCGTTTGCATTGGGGAGAAGTCGAATCGGTCTTGCAATGTTCCGCATCACTTTCTAAATCGGGGTTCCGGCCAAGCAATAAACCGAAATACGGGCGGTGCTCCGAGCTTGAGAGGCCGCCGGGCATTGAATCTACGAAACTCTAGATTTACGGAATACTAGTTTAGCTCAGAAAAGGATTCGACGGGCGGTAAAATGCGCATACTATCAAGCTGTGATTTGTGTCACATGTGGTTGGTGGTTGTTACGAACAGTTTGTACTGAATACCGCGCCCAAATTTCAGGGGATGATCTGGAACATTGGCCCTTCGCCAGTTTCTTGCTCGGACCCCAACTTTACAGCCAAGTCGGCCGGGCCGGATCGCGCCGCCTGTTGGTAAAAAGGTGCTGCTCTTTGCCGTCTGAGCGTGTTGTTCAAGCGCGGCACATGTCAAATTGTCGACGAGTTTGAAACGGGGTCGTGGAACCATTTCTTACCATTCCTCTCATCCTTATGACCTTCCCGGCCCGCTCATGCTCATTTCCTGAGGCTGGTCCCGAATCTCGCCTAGAGATGTCCCCTCGAGCTGAACAAGCCAGTCAGCCAGTCCACAGGCAGAAGCGGCTTCCACCTTGACGACAAACCGAAATATTTGAGGAATGAGGGCAACCCCCCCAGGCAAAACCCCAGACAGCTGAAAGGTACTCCCCGGCCGGCGCTCGGTAATTACGCCGTATTTCCCCTTTTTGGATCATTTGGTGGGGTTGCGATCCAATCCCAACGGCTTCCGGGTTGCTGAGAGCCCGGCGATCCCTGTCCCAGTCGAGACCCCACTGACTTTTCCACCGCTAAAAAGTGAATGAGCATGTCAAACGAAGCAGTTTATGACGTCCTTATTCCTGCTCGTCCCCAAGCGACCCTGTGCCTGACGTGTCGCAGAAACTCATCGATCCCTCGTTTTCGAACTTTTTCCCCCTAATCCCACCAAGCAAGACCGTCGATTTTGCCGATTGAGTGGAGTCTTGCTGCTGGGAGTGCTGCAGGTGTGGTTGCTGCATCTCCCAGTGTAACAAGATTTCCGGCCAAGCGAACACAGCAGCGTGCATTGAGCTGCGTGGGGACGATTCGATCGATTGGAGCAAGGTCAGCCCACCTGCACTCCTGCAACAGCGTCACCGACTAGCACACGGGGAGTTGTGGACACGCGCAGCCCGATAATCACTCTCCCCCCAAGCCCTTCGACCCCGCCATCCATAACGCTTTGCTGAGCTCCTACTCGTACGAGATACAGTATACGTACTCCATACCGCCACTGAAAGGGACCCCATCAGCTCGAAACTTGGAACCCCTTCCAGGTTGGAACCTTGGAAACCCGATTTGGGTGCAGGGAGAAAGATTGGGGGAGCACCGCACTTGCACCGCACCCAAGCTCGATTCCCGTTCCAGGGATTGATCGCACCTAGTTGTTCAAAAACGACCCTTGACCCCGCGTTGCGCCCACCCCCTTTGCCCGCCATGGTTCGCATTATCCCCAACCGCTTGAAGCCCAGCTTCTCCAACAACAGCAACACTCCAAACGCCAATTCCACCGCCAACAGCCGAAGCACAAGCCCAATGGGGTCCAAGGGAGACATCGCAAGCCCTGAGGGGCGCAAAGACACCGGCCTGGTCCTGAATGTTGTTATTATGCGGGTACGGGACACTAGTTGATTCTTCACTGTCTTTTTGAACGAGGGAGGAAGGGACAAAACGGAAAAGAAGGAGAAGGAAAAAAGAGAGCAAACAAAAGGGGCAACAAAACGGAGCATAGCGCTGACGATTTGTGTGAGCTACACAGGCCAGGAACCTCGCTGCCAAGGATAGGGGGGGCACATCAGACCCAGTAAGTGCAACACTGCGTATCTTGAATTGCAATGGCCAAGAATAAAACGGGCCATGGGCCGTGGCCCTTAAACCTTGAACGTTGCGGCTAACCGCTGTCGTGTGCCGACCCGTAGTACCTCGTCTTGACGCTTGGCGACTCGAAGCACATCACGCACACCGAATCCAAGACACTCAACCCCGAGTGGAACGAACAATGCGAGCTGCCCGTCAGCGGCGTCCAGAGCCTGCTCCTTGACGTGTGCGCCTGGGACAAGGACCGCTTCGGGAAGGACTACCTCGGCGAGTTCGACCTAGCGCTCGAGGAGATATTTGCCGATGAGAAGACCGAGCAGGTGCCCCGATGGTACCCCCTCAAAAGCAAGAAGCCCGGGAAGAAGACAAGCATCGTCTCGGGCGAGGTCCTGCTGCAGTTTACTATATTCGACAGCACCAACCCGCAGGCCACCAACGGCCAGATCTACGAAAAGTTCACCACCCTTGTGAGGTCAGCCCCGGGCGCCGATGGTTCGCGGAACCCTACGCCGTCGCGGACTCCAGTGCTGGGGCCGACCGCCGCCAAGGGCAAGACCCCGTCGCCTTCTCCGCCGCTGGGGGGAAGGCGGGCGGACGAACCTGACGAGGACGATGAGTACGACGTGTACGACGACGAGACACCCGAGGACGAGGATCCCAGCAAACCCGGAGCGGCCGAGAAGAGGCGCAGGAAGCTGCGGATCAGCGGTCTGAAGCGCAAGAAGAGGGAGAACCCTTACGAGTTTGTCAATAGCGGCAGTGACGTGGTGGGCATCATCTTCCTCGAGATCGGCAACATCACCGACCTGCCGCCAGAGTCCAACTTGACCAAAACCAGCTTCGACATGGACCCCTTCGTCGTCGCCTCGCTGGGCAAGAAGACGTACCGCACCAAGACGATCCGCCACAATCTGAACCCAGTTTACCACGAGAAGATGATCTTCCAGATCCTCGGCCACGAGCAGCAGTACAGCTTCTCCTTCACCGTCATTGACCACGACAAGTACTCGGGCAACGACTTCATCGCGTCGGTCAACTTCCCCGTCAAGGAACTCATTGAGAAGGCGCCCAAGGCCGACCCGGAGACGGGGCTGTACAACCTGAAAGACGTGCCGGACTTCTCGGCGCCCGCCCAGCGGCCCCGCTTCATGCGGCTGGGCCTGTCGCGCACTTCGTCGTCCCAGAGCCTCAGCAAGCTAACCCGGCCGGGCCTGTCCAAGAGCCCGTCCGCGGCCACAACGGCCACGATGGCGGCCGCCACCCCTGCGGCCACGCCGGGCACCGAGGGCATTCCCGAAAACGCCCAGCCAGCGGCCCCCAGCCCAGGCTACCTCCAGCCCACGGACAACGCCGTGGCCGCGGCGGCTTCTTCCCTAGGCGAGACAACCCCGCCTGACGGCGATGACCCTGATTTCCTGCCGTACACGCTCCCGCTCAAGATGAAGAATCAGGAGAAGTGGGAGGCCAAGCACAACCCGCAGCTGTTTGTGCGCGCCAAGTACATGCCGTACCCGGCGCTCCGGCAGCAGTTCTGGCGGTCGATGCTGAAGCAGTACGACACGGACGAGAGCGGGCGCATCAGCAAGGTCGAGCTGACCACGATGCTCGATACGCTGGGCTCGACGTTACGCGAGTCGACCATTGATAGCTTCTTCACGCGGTTCCCTCATAAAGCGACCGACAATGATGACGCTGAGGACCTGACCATGGACGAGGCTGTTATTTGCCTTGAGGATCAGCTGGAGTCCCGGTCGCGGCCCCAGGGTGTGGCTGAGCGCGTGAAGAATTTGCTGCCGGATGCTGACAAGGTCAAGCAGTTGCTTGTGCCCAAGGTAGGAGGGAGTGCTAGTGCGACTGGGTCTGAAGGGGCAAACACGGCTTCAGCAGCAGTAGCAGAAAGCGCGCAGACCAGTTCCGAGTCTCAGGCAACCGAGTCATCCACCATCTCGGTGCCCGAGCTTAGCACGCCCGGCGAGGAGGGCGATCTGCTGGACCGCGACGACCTGAACATCAGCACGGGCGAGGAACACGTGGTTGAGATTCGGGAATGCCCCATCTGCCACCAGCCGCGGCTCAACAAGCGTAAGGACGCCGACATCATCACGCACATCGCAACGTGCGCGAGCCAAGACTGGCGGCAGGTCAACAACCTCATGATGGGCGGGTTCGTCACGTCCAGCCAGGCGCAGCGCAAGTGGTACTCCAAGGTCATCACCAAGATCTCGTACGGCGGCTACAAGCTGGGCGCCAACTCGGCCAACATCCTGGTGCAGGACCGCCTGACGGGCCAGATCAACGAGGAAAAGATGAGCGTGTACGTCCGCCTGGGCATCCGGCTGCTGTACAAGGGCCTCAAGTCCAACAACATGGAGACCAAGCGCATCCGCAAGCTGCTCAAGAGCCTCAGCATCAAGCAGGGCAAGAAATACGACGACCCGGCCTCCAAAGCCGAAATCCCCAAGTTCATCGCCTTCCACGGCCTCGACCTGTCCGAGGTGCGCCTCCCCCTGCAGGACTTCAAGAACTTCAACGAGTTCTTCTACCGCGCCCTCAAGCCCGGCGCCCGCCCCTGTTCCGCCCCGGACAACTCCCGCATCATCGTCTCGCCGGCCGACTGCCGCTCCGTCGTCTTCAACCGCATCGACATCGCCACCAACGTCTGGATCAAAGGCCGCGAGTTCAGCATCAAGCGCCTACTCGGCGACGCCTACCCAGAAGACGTAGCCCGCTACGAAAGCGGCGGCGGCCTGGGAATCTTCCGCCTCGCCCCGCAAGACTACCATCGCTTCCACATCCCCGTCGACGGCGTCCTCCGCGCCCCCAAGATCATCGCCGGCGAGTACTACACCGTCAATCCCATGGCCATCCGGTCGGCGTTGGATGTGTACGGCGAGAATGTGCGCGTGCTGTGCCCCATCGACACGGTTGATTTTGGACGGGTCATGGTGATTTGTGTGGGTGCCATGATGGTCGGCAGCACGGTGATCACGCGCAACGAGGGCGAGACGGTGCGTCGTGGTGAGGAACTGGGGTATTTCAAGTTTGGCGGGAGCACCATTGTGCTGCTGTTTGAGAGCGGCAAGATGGTGTTTGACGATGATTTGGTTGATAACTCCAATGGCGCTCTCGAGACTCTCGTATGCCCCCACCCCCCTCCCGTTTTTTTAAACCCATAACATAACCATAAGGCTAACAAACTCCTGCTAGATCCGCGTCGGCATGTCCGTAGGCCACGCCCCCGACGAACCCATGTGGACCCCGGACATGCGCAAAGACGAAACCCAAATCACCGATGCCGACAAGGCCGAGGCGAAGCGCCGTATTCAGGGCCAGGTTGCCGAGGAGGAATCGTCGTCCCCCGACGAAGGGGACGATGCGGAGGGGTATGGTTATGGCAATGAGAATGACAATGATGAGGGCGGCGGACTGCGGTTGCCTGTGCGGGGGGCTGCTGCGCTTAAGGTGCCGCCTGTTGCTTCGCTGGTTCCGTAGATGGGGACGAGGGGAGGTAGGGGAGGGGGAGAGTGGGGTGGGGGTATATATGTTGTTGGTGATTGTTTTAGCGTAGCGTTGAGGTTTTTGGTACGTACTTGGTTTGGGCGAGGTTGAGAAGGTCAGGTCGGGTCGGGTCATCGTCTTTGGCTGTGGCTTGCCCGTGGTGGCCTGTCAGTCTGTTAGCGTTGGCTATGGAGGCCTGCCTAGCTAGGTATGCTCTGGCTCAGATGACTCGGCCATGGGGTGGGTGTGAGTTCATGTGTGCGCACAACAAGCCGGCCTGCCTGTTTCTCCCCTGATGCAATTGGGTTTATTTTTTCAGTAGCAGCTGCATATTTCTCTTTTAGTGTTCTTTTTTTTCTAGTTTTTTTGCTTCTTTTTTCTTCGTTACTGCGGCATCGAACACAGAGAGAGGAGATGAGAGAGGATGGTGAAAAGGGAACAGCAGAGGATCAGGGGAACAGAACCCGATCACACAGACAAGGAGTGATAGTTGGACGAGGTGATGATGGGTGAGAAGATGGATAGAGAATATACACATATGGTATACATTCATACATGCATACATACACACACCTTGGTGGCAGTTGATGAGGACAACGGACTTGTGGTTTGGGGATTGAAAGTCCGGTGTGACTCATGTTGTTTTGTGTAGCGTTCGGTGTGGGCATTCCAAGGGCGTGGGGACTAAAAACACCAGTTTAGTCATCAAGAGTTGACATGGTGAAAGTTAGGTGTGAGAAAGGTATCAATTCATGGAAAAGGTGAGAGGGCAGGGTGAGTGTGAGGGAAGAAAACCGAGTAATCCGCTGTTATCCCCCCTCTTCTTCATAAGCTTACAACTTGACAGAACGCCTTGCGTGTTCATCTCATCCCTCATCTTCGCTTATCAAGCAAGCCACAGCAACTCGAAAGGAACAACGGTCCAACCAAGCTAAGACAACAACACCGTGACAAGAGGATGGCTGCTTTTGTGTGGCTTGTGTCGGTTCCCCATCCCACAACCCTTTTCACCCTACGCTTCCCCCAATATTGCCATTAACATGATCGTGGGAAGTGGGAAGATGGGATGCGTTCATCTCAACAACCACACGACGACGATGACGAACGGAGCGGTTCGGCTAGCCCCACTTGCCAAACTAGGCAATCACCCACGAGTCAGGTTGGCTCTCACAGGAACAAGACTGATCTGACGACACACACACAAGCGAAGCCGTTTATCCCCAGGGGCCCGTGGGGGTGGAAGAAGGAAGTAATGTATTTTTGGCCTTTAGTACTTCCATCTGGAAGAATGAAGCCCCGGACACACATACACATACATCTCTTGCCTGCCGCAGACAAACCGAGACCGAGTTCCCCAACCCACCACCTCCAAGCCCCAGTTTTTGTCATAACGACCCGTGATGGCGACATTCCAATAGAACGGCCATGGAACTTGGACACACCTCCGCACCTTGGGAAAAACAGACAAGATGACGGGATTGAAGGTGTGAATGGTGTGTTTTTTAGGACTACACTAGTTCTCGTCTTGCTCTCTCTGGCTTTCGCTCAGTTGATGACAAACCCAACCACAAGTAACAGAAAAAAAAAAGACCAAAACCAAAAGCCAAAGCTACCTTAGCCTTAACGCCGGGTCCCCCAAGCCCTGCCGTGCCGTATCCCATATAGTGTCATGCATGCAAACAAACGCCTGCCTGTATGCCCTACCCGCTCCTTCCTACAAAAGATAAACGCCGGGTTAAATGATCTGAATTACGAGAAGTCGTGTGTTTTTTTTTGGTGGTTTTTTTCGTTTGGTGTCTCTTTTCCATCGAATGCATCCTGCCTTCCAGACGACGTCGTCCCAAATCCAGTATTATGTATCTCGTGAACCCCCAATCTGATGCACTCTCGCGGCCCTCAGACCTCCGAGCAGCCAACCAGTAACCTCAGCGCGACCCCCATCGCCAGTTCTGGTTCTGATTCGACCCCGCGGCAGGAGACGACTGCCGAGTCGCGGGCGTCTCGCTGCGATCGCTGTCCATAGAGCGCTTCTCACTGGCGTTTGGAGACGACGCCCTTTGGAAGTAGGAGGTGGCGGTAGTGTACTGGTTGTTGAGGACTGCAGACGGCGACGGCAGGGGGTTTGGTTCGGGAGAGGTCTGGCGGGCCTGGCGCCAGGAGGAGTAGATTTGCTTGCACAGGTGTGCAGACATTGTGTAGGTGGGCGACATGGTTGGGTGGTTGTCAGGTGGGTTGAGGTGAAATCGAATCGGTTGAGAAAAAAGAAAGGACCGGACACGATCCTCGGGGTTGCTGGTTGCTCAGCAGCAAGCTCAGATGATGGCGGTGGGCGGACTCGGTGTAAGTAAAACAGGCCTTCAAGTAAGTCGTGGAGCGGTGCGGTTTGTGTTAGGTCGCGTGTGCGTTTATGTGTGTGTCTTTGTGTGTGTTGCGAGTTGAGCGAGTGAAACGTGTCTGGACACTGTGAAAGTCCGTGGACGAGAAGACGGAAACTCGAGAATATAAGTTAATAAAGGATCCAAGCACAAGGGGAGGTCTCGTGGCACAGAAGCGGGCAGAAGCAGCTTTTTAAATAACACACCACATTCATCAGCAATCCAGCGAGGTACCACACCTGGGTCGGTACCTGAGCCAACTCCCCCTGCCAGGCTGGTCTCCCGCCAACAAAGCACCATCCCCCTTGCGCCCGTTGCGTCCCTGTGACCAACTGATCGAAAGACCGGCCTGACTGGGCAATCCCCGGATGCAAGACCGGGAGGCAGACACTCCCCATTTGGATGGTATTGACCAATCAGCGATGAGGTATTACCAAGAATGTGGCTCGACACGCCAGTCTGTGCAGCAGGCGGCCAGTGTGGCTTGTCTCAGTGGGCTGATTTTTGCACGGCCAAGACCGCCTCTGGCGCATTCAGAATCGACCCATTGTCAGGCCACGGATCCCTTTTCTTTGACTTTCTTTCCGGGGAACGGGTACATTGACTCGAAATTGACAAGGCAAGTCTAACCGGATTGGCACCTAGAGTCAAAAGGACAACAAAACGTGCATCCGCAAAATAGTACTTTTACGAAGAGGGAAAATAGTCAGAGTCATCCAGACTCCCATCCCAGCCTTCCCCACCAATCTCGTCAGACTCGAATAATCAGCGAATAAGCAGTCCCAACGCCCAGAACATTGTTGCTAATTGGCAAGAAGGGACGAACCATGCAGCGTCTGAAACCGAAATAAACAACAAATCAATGACAACAAACAACAAATCGTATTGCGCTACTGATTAACCTACGTACCAAGTTTCCCTTCCTGCACCTTGTTAACTAACCAGGTGCCAAACTCCATGAGCACTTGCCCGTATGACTCGGAACTATCATCGGTGTTCTGTCTCCTGTATCAAAGTGTCTCAATACAAGCGCTTTCTGTCCACCAGGAAGCTCTGTAAATCTCCGTTGATTGAAGCATACTAATTACCAACCCCCAGCCCCGTGCAAGCAAGAATACCCGAAGCCAAGGCAGGGAGATGCACAATAGTTTGATAAGTCCGAATGGATTTGTATTTGATTTTTTGGTCTTTTTTCCGTTTTAGATTAATAATTACATCTAAGGTCATCAATACGTTAGGGGTGTCCTCCTTGCATCCCCAATATGCACAATACATCCCAACTTCTCTAGTTGGTACTCTTCATCCTCTCAACGCTCACGGCCCGGTACAACGTACTCTTACTTCCTCCCAAAGCCCGGGATGAGTCCGCGGCTCGGCTCTGATGAAGTCTAAGCTCTCCTGCTGGCGCCTGGCGTGCGTTGCAGTGTCAGCCCCAAAGTTTCCTGCACACCACAGGATGCGAAAAAAATCTAGCACGACGCCATGTTCGGCAAACCAGTGTCGCTCTGGGGTAAGGTATGATGATCAAACAGCGCTTCCTAGCGCGACACGACTATGGCGCAAAAGAATCGTCGTTGGTCGATGATGTGGTGGGTGTTGCTGCAAAACCGACATGATAATAGATAGGTGAATCTCCCCGCCCAAGCCGCTTCAGTTATAAGACAGCCTGGAATCCGTCGAGTAACCCTTCTCCGTCGGCTTGATCTCCTTAATAGGGTGTAGGATCATAGACGGGAGACAGGGACGGCCATGTTCAGCCTCCCACTCTGCACCGCCAAGGGCGGTATCCTCATAACCGGCCCAATTGTTGTACAGCCGTTGTGGAGGGTACGCGCGGAAGTACCAAGTGGTGCCCATGAATCGGCCCTCGTGGCCCCATCCCATGGCACTGCCGAAGCCACCGCTCTCGCCCTTGGGGCCACCGTTAAACCACGCCGCCAACCTATCACCGCTCCAGGAGCGGTCGAAGAAAACTGGCATCGGGGCGTACACGGCCTTGAGGCCGTGGAGAAGGGCTGTCGTCTGGGGGGCCATCTCGGAAGCCACGTGGTTGCCCTGAAGATCCTCGTAGTGCATGGCGTCGATCAGTCGCTTTGAGAGACGAGACTGCGTGATGATGGTCCCCCGGCGGGGCAGCCTCCCCCAAGGGAAGTTCTCTGAACGGTAACCCCAGACTGTGTTGCGCATAACCCAGCCGCTGTTGACGACGTTGAAGAGCGGAGCCAACTCAATCAAGTCTGCCTCTTCGCCGACGCCCCATTTGTAATCATCATCCCGAGGGTTGGCAACAGGAGGCTTCGGGCCCTGAGGTTTGACAACAGGGATATTGGGCGCGCCCCAGATCGTATCGGTGCCAACGGCCTTCTCTACCGTGGCACGGAACTGTGAATCAAAGCTGCCGTGGAAGGAGGGGATGTAAAACCGCTCGTTCCGTTCCCAGAGGCCTCTCCGTGGTTGCTTTTTCCCGAATTCGCCTAGCTTGGTGATCACGTCGTAGTTGTGTCCTGTGATGCGCGAGTCCATCTCCCAATTCCAAACGTAGTCGAATTCCCGGAACTCCTGCATGAACATCTGGACCGGCAGGAACTGGCCGTGGTGTACCTTACGGGCCTTATCCGACAGGTTCGAATACATCCGGTCCACCGCCGGCTCGTTCCAAAGAACCGCGATGCTCCTGAACTCAGCTGGGACGTGGTCTTCCAGGGCCTTTTGGTAGGCCTCATCAGTCCACACCTCCTGCTGCGCGTCCTTGACGTGCACAAAAAGAAAAACCTCGTATTCACCGCCTGTTCGGAGACTCAGTTCGGTAATGAGAGACCGCATGACCTGCTTGTCGTTTTCGGTGTATGTTTTCCCAGAGTAGCTGCGGAGAAGTAATGCGGTCCTCGACTCGAACTTGGGCGACTTTTCGGAGGGCCGCTTCGACGTGACCTTTTTATTTTGTTGGGATGCGCGTCGAGTGTGTTGCTTGCCTGTCTTGCGCCAGAACCGCCGCACAGTCTCCATCACTTTATCTTGCTCGCTGATAGCCTCTTCGTTCTTGTTCGCCTCGCGTTTCGAGTTGGAGGAGTCGCCCGCCTTCGCAACGGCCTTTTCGTCTCTGGGACTTGCCGGGGCAAACCGAGCACTGTTCTTTTCCACGCAACGGTCCTGGAGCGCGCCCCAGTTGACGTTCTCCCAATTGACTTCTTGGCCTTTATCGTCCACGACCGGCGACAGCCCATACTGGCCCAGCCGAGTCTCCCGCTCAAAACAGAGATTTCGATCAAGGCCAAGGACGCTGTAGCTCCCGAAGCCGGGATTGGGGAAGTCCTTCGGGCGGCCCTTGAAAACCTGAATGTCCTCAATCTCCTTCCCATCAGCTCCCAGGCATGGCACGTAGGGGGCGTGTCGCGCCTTCCAAGCCGCGCTGTTGTAATCTGGGTAGGGGTTGAAGGTGACCGGTTGAGCCTTGCTAAAGCTGACCGTCTTGTTAACGGAACCCAGTTGATGCTCCTCGGATGGCTTCCTCGTATCTTGATCGATGAGAGTTTCAAGAGTGTTGCCGTAGATGGCCCTGTAACCGGGTTTACTGCGACAACATGTTAGTATCAGAACAATCATCCACGGGACATGTCTGGCGTACTTCTTGAGCTTATGATACTCTTCCTCGAAGAGGACCCTCTGCGCTGACAACTCCCGCATACGGCGTTCGTCTAGTAAAGTGTTAGCAGTCGGTTGAGGAACAAAAATATTCGGCTTCGTGTAAGTGTGGCATACTAGGGTCCCGGCCGGAGGCTTGGTCGCCCATCACAGGGGCGCCATGCTTTAGCTGGCCGTTGTGGTGCATCAAGCCGAGCAGGCAGAGTATGACGAAGACGAAGATGGCCGGGAGCAGTGTCCTTGGTCGGGACAGAACCCGCCGGGCCTGGGTCTTGACCGCGGCCGCCTTCACAAGCATGGTGATATCGACCAAGACTTTCCAACGGCTATGTTCTGAGAAGATGGTGTTGAAAAGGGCGTGGTTGGTCAGCCGTTGGAAGTTGTAAACAGATCGGAACCAAACGAAGACGTCGTTTTAAAGAGGCATATCCTTTCAGAAATGTTTATCGCGTTATCGATCGGGAGGTTCCGTGGAAGGAGTCGTGAGTAGGAAAGACTTAGAAACAGGGCCTGCCGAATCGCGCGGAAACGAGTGATTGCGCGAGAAGAGAAATGTAAATCGCCGAGGACAAGACAAAACGTCGGTCAAGTTGGGTGAGGAAGGCTGGTGAAACTTGCTGAACCAGTCTGAGTTTGTTGTCAAGCGAGCGATAACGACCGACAGTGGGGAGAAGGTGACAAAACGGGTCAAAAGATCGCAACTTTTGGGAGGTCGCAGGTTATTTGGCAGTTCACGATCGACGGGGGTTGCGTGGGCTCCTCTCAGGGGGGTGAGCAGGGGTCCAATTTCTGTGGCGGGGGCGGCCGAAAAGAGTTATTCCAAACGGCGCTGGGGACTGGCAACGGAAGGAGCGAGATGAGACACGCTCGCTCACAAGGAAGGCGACAACAACACCGCCGTTTCCGGTTCCTCTGTGCTGCAGGCTTTGAATGGAAGGTACACTACATCTCCTCATAAGGACGGCCAAGGGGGTGATTATTCCCCTCGGCAAGGCGTAGTTGGATCGACCTTTTCCATCTCCCTTTTTATCAAACCCGCACCTCGAAATCGCCGGAGGTCCCTGAATTTCTTTGAACCGATGAACGGCGCTGAAAACGCCCCTGGCTTGCCTGGCAAAGCAGATTTTATGTGGAGCCGTTTCTGCAAACCCCCTGCCGTCAGGGAAAGGTTTACCGCCGAGAGCCCTGGGACGACGCGGTACTGGGGCTGTGTTCCAAGGCCGATCACCATCCGTTCCGGCAGTAACGTCATCGGCTTGTCGCACCACTGTTGATCGTCGGCAACCTGCTTCTTTCGGGGCGTTTTGGGCATGGCTGTTCGCGCACTAAGTTTTCTCCCCTGTGGACAAAAAACACTGTCCTTTTCACAGCCTCTCAGCCTCATCGGCGCGACCGAGCGAGAAGGACAGAAACGGTCATCGACTCGGGCAGGGCGAACCGACACTGGTTTATTATTTTTGAGACCCTTCGAAACTGGAGCGCGATTTGAAGTGGGGCCCAATCAGCTGGGACAACCCAAGAAACCTCCCCCCAAACGACTCCCATGTGGGCTGGACGCCACCGCTGGTTCGCAACGGGACCGAATTTGCGAATGTCTGACGGTCTGACAGTCCAGGCCCCAAGTCAATTTCCGCCAAGCATCAAAGGATCGAAAAGCTCAAGCCTCATCCGGAAGGGGACCCGAAGGGGCCGTGGGGGCTGATGTTTCCGATCGCGTTGCACGATCCACGCGCGCTTGCACACGCTTCCATCAAGAACCTCCATCCTGAGAGTCTCGGGGTTCGTCCGTTGCGCGCGACGGCACAACCTGGAACTTCCCTGGAGACCCTCATCGCGTTTGTGTTTCAATATTGCTTCGTCTGAATTTCTTCGGGTGCTCCCCTTCCCGAATCCAGGCAACCCTCAAATCCCTCGAGAGAAGCAGAAAAACGACGCCGCCGACAATCGCCAAGTGGAAGAGGCACAGGTGGAAAAAATTCACCACCGTCATTTCACAACGTTGCAGTCACTCTACTAGTGGATGTACACTATTTCATCGTTATCACAGTTTTACCCGCAGCTCCACCTACTCGGCTGTTGGATCAGGGATAGTGTGGGTCTTAGGTTCAAACGGCTGAGAGCTTCGAGAGAAGAACATTGATTCGAGGCGTCGTCTAACCCGCCGGGATTTGCCGCCTCTACCTTCTCTCGCAAATGAGTCTCTAGATTAAGCTCGAAGATTCGCACCACTTGACGCTGCGTGATACTTCAGCCCCAGCGCTGAAATAAGCCGGGCCTAACACATCACTTGCCCTTCTTCCAATAACCCGCCAGTAGTGCGACGGTGCACCAACACGCAGTTGGTCTCGAACAATGTGCCTCATGTCAACACTATATCCGAGCAAAACGGACCCCACGGCCAATCCCATCACAGGGTCGTCCCCTCAACCCACCGATTGACCAAAATGGGAAGAGTGCAAGGTGGGTTCGGGGCGGAATTGTGTTGTTGATTCGCGAAGTCCGGGATACTAGAAGCAGCAGCAGCAGCCGCGGGAAACGGGCCGAGAAAAGGGGTGGAGGCTCAGGGTTGGTCAAGAAAGGAGAACCGGGTCATCCAACCTGCGATGAGCGCGCCAACATGCCGTTCTTTGCCCAATCCAACCGTCCATACTACGTACAAAATGATACGTGCTTACTATGTAGTGTATGTTCGTGTAAAGGTATAACTTCAAGGAGGTTGACAAACAAGTGAAGTCAAAACAAAGCGCTTACTGTGCAGCAATGAACCGTTGAGCAAAAAAGAAAAGCAAATTCGGTCCCAAAATCACGCCAAGATGGCCAAGACGGCCAAGACGGGGAAGACAAGAGGCTCAACATGCGGGGAGGCGCCAAAACAAGCTTTTCCCGCGCCCATTTCTGTCTTTCTTTTTTCTTTTCTTTTTTACCCCCCCAAGTGCCCCTTACCACCCCAAACCACATCTGCCGGCCTTCCTTTCTGTTCTCGAATACCCAGTCCAAACCAGGGGGGCAAGCAGAGCGGGCGATGCGAATCAGCACGACCGTTTTTTGAGGGGGATCCGATTGAAATATGCAAACTGCATCAACTCAATCAATCCGTTTTTGTTTTCCTTATCTCGAGATTCTTCATCCGCGCAACACAACAAAAACTTCCACAGAGTAAAAAAACAAAATCAACGTTTCATTCAATCTCATGATCTCCCATCCGTAAAGCCAGCGGCCGAGACTGGTCGATTCCAGGTTTTCCCCCTTTTTTTCCGGTTCCCGCCCGGCATATAACGATGTCAGGTACCGATTCCGGGTCTGGCTGTTCGCCCGCATTCCTACCCGGAGGCTCAAGGTTGATCCGGGATAGGTAGTGTAGTCAATCCAGTCTTGAGGCCCCGTGGCCCGTCCGTTCTTCAATATATATATGAACACGAACCCGGGCGCTCTCTTATCATTATCCGCACCACGGTACGGCACGGTATCGCTTACCCCGCCGTCCCTGCTTGCGGGTTAGTAAGGGAGAATAACATGCCATGGTACCAAAGATTGTTGTTGTAATATTTGTGAGTGGATATTAAGCACTACTTTACTTTGTATGTCGGTAGATACGCCAAGTATCATCGTAGGTTACACCCAGCAAAATCCCCGAACCCCGAATCATTCCGAACTTCCAACGTCCATCCATCCATCCATCCATCTGTGTCTTTGTCCGTACCTATGGCGTGACTATGCCCGCGGCTCTAGCCTAAGTATGGCTCCCATCTTCTCTGCGTTTCCCGCATATCCAAATACGCGTGATCAAGCAGTCTTATGTGTATGATGCTCTGGTGCCCTTTTGCCAACCACCCTATGTGTGCCGCATTGTTTCTTCCACCCAATACGACTAAGGGTAACCGACGCTGGATGAGTTCTTCCTCTCTCCAGGCAGCATAAATGACCGAGGGGAAATAGGTGCCAACCAAGAAACCCAGACAAATTCCACCAATTGTTGTCCCAAGGCCACGCCCAGATCCAGCTTGTAAAGGCAAATGTCCTTCCATCCACAACACCCCGGAACCAACCAGGGTTGTTTTCCATCCACTGCCCATTTCCAACCTTGAAACAAAAGAAATATGCGAATGATTATGCGAGTCCGAGTCCGGCGGGTATAAATATGATGTAAAAATAGACAGGGGTATCGAAAGTAAAATAGAAAAGAAAAGTCCGTGGCCATCTTTGTCCAGGAGGCCCAAGTGAATAGTGTCGGAAAATATTAGTACGGCATCCAGCCGTGTCGTTTTGCGTCAACGCGTATGTAAGTAATGATGACCCCCCATCAAAACGAGAGAAAAGTTGTGACCGAAAATCGATGGTCTCGTATATGCAGAGGTTCTGGGTCCTTCACATCATCCCCAGTCTCGTCATCCTCTTCTCCATCTTCGGCCGCTGCCCCATGGGGCCGAGCCTGCTCGGGTTATACCCGCCCCCCATCATCCCTCCTCTCGGCCCACCGGGCAAACCCCCACGAGGCGGACGAAAACCCATCCTCCCAGGTGGGCCGGGCGGGCCAGGTGGACCAGGCGGTCCACCACCGCCAGCAAGTCTCCAAGCGTCCCTTTCGCAGTACGCCTTGCCATTCACTTCAAAATATCCGCCCTTCAACGCCATGCCACAATCGCCGCACTTGAAGCAGCCGACGTGGTGCTTTACCGCATCAGCATCCTCGAGATATTGTCCCTCGATACCGCGGCCGCAGCTGCCACAGAGGCTGCCGTTAAGCTTGTGGTAATGCAGTTCGCAGTACGGCCGGTCTTCGTGCACGTAGAATGTGGACGACGTGAAAGGCTCCTGGCAAGTCGAGCAGACAAAGCACGGTTTGTGATAACGCCCCGTCAGACGGCCATCGGCACTAGAGATGGACTTTCCTTTGATGGCGAGACCACAAGCCTTGCAGTTCCCGCGAGCCGACGCAGCAGCCGGTTCACCTAGACCAGCTTCCGAGAGCGAACGTGTGGGTTTGGGAGGATCTCGTTGCTGCGGAGGTTGTTGCGGTGGCTGCTGCGGTGGTCGCGGCTGAGGTGGTCGGAGAAACGACGGGGGACTTAACGGCTGGTGTGCTTGCGAAGGTCGTCTGTCACCCAACCCCTCAGATCGCTCAGGAGAAAGCGATCCGGGCCATTGGGGGGATGTGGCCGTCGCGGCGTTCGGAGAGAGGCTGTCGATTGGCGAAGCGAGGCTCGGGCCCTCTTCAAGTGAGCTGTTCGGCATTGACGAAGGAAGAGGGGACCGCGCCGGAGCAAGTCTCGGGTTCTGGACTGCGGGGTCGATACGCGGGTCGTAGCCCCGGTCTGCGGACCGGGGGGGTCGAGCACTGAGCGGAGACGGGCGGCCCATGTCCCTCGGATCCCTGGCTGGTAGTTTCAAGGGTGTTACTTTGGGCTTTGGCCTGGGCTCCTTCATCGACGATTGTATATCCGTCATTAAGTTATCGATACTCGACGTATCGGATGGACTCTTTCCTGATCGAGAGGTCAAGGACCGAGACGGGCTAGTCCTTGAGCTGGCTTGACTGGCCAGGCTCGGCCGACGTTGCGGCTGAGTGCTGTCCTCTGAGGAGTTCGTAGAGGACGTCGAATCTGACGGGTTATGGTACGGGTTCCCAATTCCGAATTCCTCGGCTAGGTTGATGGTCGGTAGACCAGGAGTCACCGGTCGAATCGCGCTCGTTCGGGGTGGCGGCGGCCGAGACGTATCGGGCCCTCCTCTGCTAGGCCTTCTGGGACTCACCATCGGGTTCCTTCCAGGGGAATCCAGTGGGGGCTGCAATTGATTCGGACGCAGCGTCGACGCTGAGAGAGGGGCGGAAGGCGAACGCGATGGGGGCGCAAATCGGTCGCTTGGGCGAGGAAAGGTGTCGGACCTACTCGGCGTGAAAGGCGGCTCCAGGCCGTGTTCTGATGATGGCTTAGGTGGGGGTCCGAAACCGCCGTACCCATTTGGCCTTTGTGGCATCGGCATTCTCCCGCTTCCTGATGTTCTGCTAATGTTAGAGGCCGAAGTGCCGGGGCGTTCACTGTTGGCCGTCGAAGGGCGGCGGTCGGGTTGATCGAAGGGGCTTCCAATGTTATTCATGCGGTCCATCGGATTTAGGCCCTGCTTCCTCGGAGAGTCCGCCCCAAATGTCGAGTCTTCGTCCCCAACAGTGTCGTCGAGTCCGCCGTAACCGCCTGGTCGAAGAGCCCGTGGGGGCGAGTTGTTTGCGATCCGCGGCGTAAAGAACTGCTCCGACTTGTCGGTATCCGGCGGTGCCCCGGGGGTTAGCGGCGATATGCTACTCTGGGAACCGCTCTCTTGGCTGATGGGCGTGAGTTGGGTTTGGCCCATGTACTCGCGGTCTAGGACATGGTTAGTAGGATTCCAACAAATTGGTCGTGCTATCCGGGAATGCGTACTGGCTGCAGACGTGTCTACTTGAGGGGGTGCCCGAGGCGATTCTTTCTGTGCTAGCGGGTTGCCAAACGCCGGCATGAGCCTCCCAAACAGCGAGGTTGCGGGCATTGGCGGCGAGGCTGAAGAGGATGTTAGCGGGCCCGCCCAAACCTGGGGACTTGGGGCCATCGTCGTACCTTCTACTGGTGAATCTGACCCAGTGCAGAGATGCTCGCCCATCAAAGATATTTCTACTTGGAGGCCGCATGTGGAACACTTCACCGTCGGCATAAAGCGCGACTCCCTCCCCGCTACCGCCATCTCAAGATATCCTCCCTCACCCTCTCGTAATGTGCCGTTAAACTGAGTTAACCGGTGAGTGTCGGGGAGCAATGGCGGGATTTATTGCTAAGCCTGCTCCCCCGGATCGTCGACTTTCCTATCCTGTCCTATCCGATGGGGAGGCGAGTGTAGTTGTTGATGTCGATGTTAATGTTGATGTTCGTCGTGATAATAGCGTCCTCCGGCCGGCACTGCTTCGGCCGGGAACCAGGATAGGGGAGAAGCAGGTGTCGGTCTTGTTGTTCCGTTGGGGGTGCCCGTTTAGGTAGGCTGGAGGATTCGTCGAGAGAGCGGACGATGACTTGCAGCAAGCCCGCTTAGACCAAAGAGATATTCTACCAGACCTCAGAAACTGAGCAGGAAAACCCTCGGCGCGTGCTGGGACCAAAGTGGTTTTACACGAGCCAGGCCCTGGCGCAGCGCGAGTCTAGACCCTGCCGGGGTGCGTTATGCACAATGATGATTCCCAACCAGGCTGCACGGAATAAACGATTTGTGGGGGATCTGGACCGTGGTGTTGCGGATCGTGTTTCGAAAAAGGAGGGTGAAGTTGGCCGTGTGGTGGTTGCGGAAGCCAGATAAGACAAGAATGCGAGTGTTGCTCTCAAAGGGGGAGTGGGATAGGTGTAAAAGAGGCATCGCCCGGGGGGATGGGGCTCTCCCGTTACGCCAAGCCTGGCCCGGCCTCTGCAGGGACGTCGATGGGGTTTTGGTGGGCGGATGGCCGCACAGGGGTCTGGTGGTCTGGTGCCGAGTGCCCCCCGCTTTGGGTGGCCGTGGAAGGCACCTGCAAGTGGGAGGGGATTTGCGCAGATGGAGCGAGGATCATGCCGGACACGTCCTGGCCACAGCACCCACAAGAAGGTCGCTGTCCGTCTTGGGGCATGTGCAGCGAGTCGGCAGCAATACCACGTCCCTCGAGGAGAGGTTTTGGAGGCATTCCCAGGAAAGAGCGAGCAGGTGGTCTAGGCTTCGTGCATTAGGCTAGTCCCGATCTGTCGAGGGTGCCGTGACAGATCCCCCAGAATGCAATCACAACTGCAACCCATGAGCGGTGAGAGTGGACTCAGAAAGGAGTCGCAGGTGAGCAGGAAAGGAAGGCGCGCCGCTGCCCAGCCAAGCCAGCTTGGGAAGTGACGATGATGGCGGCTTCTGAGTGCACCATGGCAGTTGCAAACCTCCGGCCGTCATTTCGGCGGCTTCTCTCTTTCCCTCTCGTCCCCCCCATTCCCGATTACCCCTTTCCCCTCGGCCATTGCATTCTCTCGTCCGGTAAATTTGGCTTCATTATGCACCGAGACGAAAGAACCACAGCACCATCTCTCCCTGTCGACCGAGGCTTGTCGCAATCTTTCTCGGCTCCACAATGCTATCGATCAACGCCACATGCTCAGGGCCAACACCAGCCAGTCACGCCAGCGCTGGCGCGGGTACCTTGCAGCAGCAATCCGCCCCATCCAATGGCCTGTGAGGATTGGCCACCGCCAAACTAGAGGATATCATGATCTTGTCATGCCTCTGTGAGACACTGCGCGGCTGCGAGACAACTCCAGAGCTTGTGCGACCGCGACCGTTCCTGCGTCTTCATGCTCGATCGGCTTGGTCGACCATGCCACGCCATCAGCGGCGGCAATTAACCTCATTCCTACCCCAAATCACCGGCAACGTATATTGCGCTGGGGACGGCTAGTCAGGAGGTCGCCATCAATGTCACCTCGTTGTTGCGTCGAAGACTGGCGAGCGCCGCTCCTCGTCGGTCAAAAAACCCCGAGGCTGCCGGTCTCCAGGACGGGAGCACAGGATGTTGGCGCAAAAATTATTAAACAGCATCCCACATCTTCCGATCTGTCTCTGATTTCGTCAGCTGATTGGCACTGAGCGCTACGCCGACAAATCGCTGTCTTTCCGACCTAAAAACCCCATTGCTGCTGGGCATCTTTGAATGGTGTTGGTGGTTCCCGCGAGAGATTGCAAGCCCCTGACACATCCAATGATCTTGCATGGGGGCCATTTTGGCCGCCAAGCCTTTTCTGCAGCAGCCCCTGTAGAATGAAATCTGGAGAAAGGAGAATAGCGGCCGGCGGCCGAAGACCCTTGCGGCTGGGCAACCTGGGGTCGATTCCAGAACCTCGAATTTCTTCGTCGTCATCTCGCTCACCTCATCAAAAGCACATGGCCCAACGCTTTGGCGAACGTTGCTCTGGGCGAATTAACGCTCGAAGGGTACAACGACGTTATTTCTCGGCACCGATCCCGCCAGCCGCCATCGCGCAACCGCTGACCCAAGCTGATGTTGGACGATGTCTGGCCTTTGCCATTGGCCAGCGCTTTCCACGGCGGTAAATCCGACTGATGGCCAGTGAGCCGACCTGTTCAGCGACCGACTACTTGTATCAGGCCGGGCGGAAGCGGGTGATCAAAGGATCATCAAATCGCAGCGCCTCGGCCGGACTTGAGTCCAGCCAAGCCCCATTAAGGCTCTACGATCGCATGATCACAGCTACTGATATTAACCACGATTCCCAACACTATTTGTCGGCTCAAGGAAAGCAATTCCGTTTCCATCAAATAGCCAGGCGAGAGACGATTCGGGGAGCGACAGAGATGCCTGAAGTCGAAGCCATGCATCCTTGAGTCCAATGCTACCCATTCCCGTGTAAGTCCACACTAACCCCGCGCTCGGTTGGATCGCTTGTCCGACGTGGGTAATTCATGCCTGACATCCGGATGCATCGTGCACCGCTTTTGGTGAAACAGTGTCGAAGACCACCCACGACCCTCGTAAAACTACTTGAAGCCGGCTTCCGCCAGGAATTTCCATGCTATTATGGAACGCGCATAGTAGTCTTAGAGCACCAGTTGGTGTCAGGCAAAAGCCGTATTATTTGGGATGCAAAGGGTACAGTAGAATGCAGATATGCCAGCGTTCTAACCGCCCCCTCAGCTTCATCAGCGTTTGAACTAGACGATTTCGAGACACGGCGCGCTTCCCGAGTAGCCGCTCAGCAACTACAGTAATGCGAGGACGAGGACGACGGGCACCGTATTCCCAGGCTAGTGAGATGCTTGGCGGGGGAACACTCACTCGCCCATATCATCTTACCGGCTTCTTCCCTTCGCTTTCACTCGTTCCCGGAGCTCCGTCTATCATTTCCCCCCTGTCTGATGCGAGAGCCACAGATAAAATGCCACATTCTAGACTGCGTGCGACCTTGTGGTCGACATAGTCGCAGAATTTGCTACTGGTGATTCCCTGATCAAGATACTGGCATGTGGGCATGACGCCAGTGTTAGAGCACACGGACTACGAAGCGGGACGGTCGCGGACGGCAGCCACGCATTGTCATAGGGTGCTTAACGAAGGTTCCTTACTCCCTGCTATCCATGGCCGGTATCGATCATGCCGTATCCTTTTCTTGAGGCCGGGAATCCGAAGTCTTCGTCAAATTAGGCTGCACGGTCGGGCCATAGACTGTCCACTCGGTGCTTGGTAGGGCCAAACTCGGCCTCGACACAAACACCGCAGTCAAGTGTATCGGTATCAGTAGCAGCGTAACTAATATCTACCATGGCGTGGACTCTAATGAGTAGGTAGTTCCTCAGAAACATCGGTCGGCCTGGGGACGCAGAGCCTGCATATCTCAACCCGCCTCCCCATTCCAGAGGAGCAGCCGTAGAGCACAGACCGTTCCTACTTTCAAGGGTAAGGAATGAAGGACTCCCGATAACCCTCCCAACCGACTGCCGGCCTAGAATGACGATGCCATTAGGGGGCGTTCAATCGAATAGAATAGAGATTTCCGGTTTCAAGGCCCAATTTGTCGACTGATAATCATCAAACCTGGCAACTACGAGGACGTATTATGGATCTCGCATTCGCCAACACATTGGCCAAGTACGGCTTTGCGGGTGGACAGCAACCCCACGCTTCGTCGTGGCGGGGCAGATTATGAGGAAGGGAAGAAGCACACTCGAGGCACACAGCACGACTAGCAGGACGTGTAAGTTCCCAGTGGTGCTTGACCACGGAAGTGATGAGGGCATGCCCGAGCATCTCGGTGTGCTTACCATTCATTATCTGCATTTGGTGGGCCAACATGACGCGGCCGGGGTAAGCAAAATGAGGTTGCTGCATGGGAGACAATCAAGCAGCTCCCTATCGCGATCTCAGGTCCCAGAAGCATGGGTTGTTTGGAATGTTGACGGGACGGTTCAGCCGTGTGCTTGGCTTCGGGAGGGCGGGAGAGTCCGGCTCTGGGATCGCCCGCTGGGCCACCTCAACAAAAGGGACATACACTACAGAAAGGACGCGAGGGGGTTCCTGATGGTTCCAATTTGTTTGCTGGCAATATCGACGCACTCCATGGGGGCATGATCGACGGGTTCACCAGAGCGGATTTGAAGGGGCCCTTTTCTTCCTTCCCGCGCGGTGCGCTAGTGGAATGGGTTACGGCATCCCGGCATCGCGGAAGCGACGGCATCCAAGCGACAAAAGACATTCAGTCCGGCTCCGCGATCGGGAAACACCAACTTCCCGTCCCGGGCACGGCCGGACCTCGCGTGACGGCCCTGCCCCGGCAGCAGGTTCGTGGGGCCAATCAGGACAGCGGGAGCCCGTTTTGACCCACCCCCGCGCAGTCCCCTCTCGCTTGGTGCAGGAAAACATCCATTTGTTGAGTTACATCTCATTCTAGAGGGGTTAGCGGGGTCAATGGGGGAGAGAGCTGGGATGGACCAGGAAAAAATAATCTTGAGGTTGTGAGTTTGGAGAGGCTCGAGAGGTTCATTCCTCTGACAGACCGACAATGCGTGATCCAAGATGCATATGCTCTCGGTTGGTATGTGGACGTTTGGATTCCGCCATGCGAGACCGAGGATGGGACCCGCCTGTCGAGTCTTTGAATGGTGAGAAGGAAAACCACTTGGAGCCAACCCAGCAGCCGAGAGCTCCGAGACGTGGAGCCCGCTGTATGTTCGACGTCGGTAGCGCACCTTTGACCGCCTTTGGCAGGTTCTAATCAATGGTTTGCTGTAAGGTGTGTGTCTGGTCCCCGCATGGGATACAGTACAAAAAGGATGCCGTCCCGGCTCGGTTTTACTAGGTGACTTTTACTCTTTGCCAACCCGCTCTGTTAGTTTGACTTCGACTCGCACACGTTTGAACCTTTAGAACAATCTATTCCAGCCCGCATTCTTGCACACGCCTCAGGAATTCTTAGGAATTCACAGGAATTCGCGTTCCTTCCGCCACCTTATCTCTCAGTAACGTTTGATTCTTTGGAGCGAGCGCGCTCCTGCCGTCAAGACGTTTTCCAACCTCCTCAACTCGTAAGCCCTGATTCTGGTCTTTGTTTTGGTTCTTGCCTTCCTATAAATACGTGCCCTTTCTCGCCGTTAGCCGTAATCCTCGTGATGTTTTCCGGCGCCCACACACCTATAAATGCCTTCCTCGCGATCCTGATCTTGGGTTTTCACCCTGAACCACCAACCTTCAAACTCGCTAACCACCAATTCAGAGTCCACCACCCTTACGCCGGAGCCCGTTGTTCAGCCTCTCCCGGAGGAGCAGCGGACTCGATTCAGACCCAATAAAGTCTCAATCACCAGCTTAAACAAAAACATAAAACACCAATCACCAGCGCGCCGATTCTCAAGATGGCCCCGCACGCCGAGACTGATGCCGGCTCTGTGAACGGTGGTGGACACCCCGCCAATGGCACTTCTGCCACTCGCCCCAAGTTCACCGTTAACTCCCCCAACGTGGTGTACTCGGACAACGAGATCCGCTCCAAGTACACGTACCGCACCACGGAGGTGAGCGAAGGTGAGAATGGCAGCCGTGTTGTGACCCCGAAGGAGACGGTCTACGACTTTAAGCTCGACACCAAGGTCCCCAAGATCGGCATGATGCTGGTCGGCTGGGGCGGCAACAACGGCACGACCGTGACCGCCGGCATCCTGGCCAACCGCCGCGGCCTTGTCTGGGAGACCCGCAACGGCAAGCAGGCGGCCAACTACTATGGTTCCGTCGTCATGGGCTCGACCCTCAAGCTCGGCACTGACTCCAAGACCCGTGAGGATGTCAACATCCCGTTCCACGATGTGCTACCTATGGTGCACCCCAACGACATCGCCATCGGCGGCTGGGACATCAGCGGCCTGAACCTGGCTGATGCTATGGATCGTGCCAAGGTGCTGGAGCCGACTCTCAAGTCGCTCGTTCGCAAGGAGCTGGCTGCCTTGACCCCGCTGCCGAGCATTTACTACCCGGACTTTATCGCGGCCAACCAGGAGGGCCGTGCCGACAACCTGATTCCGGGCTCCAAGGCTTCGACCGCCCATGTTGAGCAGATCCGCAAGGATATCCGGTGAGTTCCTGCCTTCCCTTGAAAACCCTTCTGCTTTTCCCTAGAAAAAAAAAACAAAAAAAATGAAGGCTAACTGATGTAAAAGCGACTTCAAGGCGGCCAACAACCTGGACAAGGTGATTGTGCAGTGGACCGCCAACACCGAGCGCTTCGCCGATGTGATCGCCGGCGTCAACGACACAGCCGAGAACCTGCTCAAGGCCATCGAGGCCGGCCACGAGGAGGTCTCGCCCTCAACCGTGTTCGCCGTCGCCTCGATCCTCGAGGGTGCCCCCTTCATCAACGGTTCCCCGCAGAACACCTTCGTTCCCGGCTGCATCGACCTCGCCGAGAAACACGGCGCCTTCATCGGCGGCGACGACTTCAAGTCGGGCCAGACCAAGATGAAGTCGGCGCTGGTGGATTTCATGATCAACGCCGGTATCAAGCTCACGTCGATTGCCAGCTACAACCATCTGGGCAACAACGACGGTATGAACCTGAGCTCGCACCGCCAGTTCCGCTCCAAGGAGATTTCCAAGTCCAATGTGGTCGATGACATGGTTGCTGCCAACACTGTGTTGTATGCCAAGGACGAGCACCCGGATCATGTGGTCGTCATCAAGTACATCCCGGCTGTTGGTGATAGCAAGCGTGCTATGGACGAGTACTCCGCTGAGATCTTCCTTGGCGGTCACCAGACTATTTCGTAAGTCCTTCATGCCTCTCTTCCCTCTCATCCCACTCACCCAAACCATAAATTACACACCCACCCATACTAACGACCCCAACCTAGGATGTCCAACGTCTGCGAGGACTCCCTCCTCGCCTCGCCGCTCATCATCGACCTAGTCGTCATCGCCGAGCTCATGACCCGCATCCAGTGGAAGCTTCACTCCTCCAGCTCTGGCGAGGGCGACGGCACGGCCAAATACAAGTCCTTCCACAGCGTGCTGAGCGTGCTGAGCTACATGCTCAAGGCCCCGCTCACCCCGCCCGGCACCCCCGTGGTCAACGCCCTGGCCAAGCAGCGTGCCGCGCTGGCGAATATTTTCCGGGCTGTTGTTGGCCTGGAGCCGGAGTCGGATATGACGCTTGAGCATAAGCTGTTTTAGACGCCTTTTTGTGGGTGTCTTGACGGCGTGGTCACGTCTTAGGTGGGAGGGTCTTGGTTTAAAGATTTCCTCTTGGACTCTTGGGTCTTGGACTCTTAGGCGGTGATTTATTCGTTTCCTTTTTGCCCTACTGCTGCAAGGAGCTAGACAAAGGTAAAATACACTCTAGGCTAGTTTTCTTCTTCAGTAGCCGCTGCGTTTCGTTAAGAGGGGCTTTTCGTTAAGATGGGTTGATGAATGGATAGATCTGGGCACACGACAAGACAAGGAATCTTGGGAGCGGAGAGGGGCATCATCGATGAAGTACGATCTGATTGATGATGGTGCTTTTTTCCCGTCCTGAGCCAGGACATCATCATTCATCGCCATAGAAAATTGGAAGTTGTTTCCTGCGAATGTTTTGCTGAGTTTTTGTGATTGTGTGATTGTGTTGCTATTGCGTGAATGGATGATGTGAATGGTTTTTATCTCTGCTTGTGTTTTTACAAGATGGTGTTCTCTCCCCTGGTATCTGTTCGAGGTACCGTACAGCTTGTGCCAACTGATTTTGAAATGAACAATTCCATTCGTAGTGACACCCAGACGAGTAAAAATCCCAATCCGTGTGATTTTTCTCCCTAAGAGTTGCCCGTGTTATGTTACCTTGCCCAAAAAAGAAGCAATATCACTACCCTCTTTTGACTCTCCCTTGTTTAAGAAATGGGCAGTGAACCAAGCTTATGGCAGTGAAAGTCGGACGTCTTTCAACAAGGGTTTTAAAGAGAGTGTCGACGAACTTAAATATCACTCAACACGGCCATTTGGTCCCTTGAACCCTTAACTTTGACGACTTTAACAACTTTAACTTTAACTTTACCATCAATTCAAGCGCTTGAATATCTCCGTTCCCTCTACCTATACGAACAACTACCAACTTACAAACCCAATCCTTTCCTGCTCGTTACCCAATGCTTTCCTATCTTGCTTCTACCAGGCCCAATACCTCTTTCGATAGACCGCCATCTCTTCCTCCCACTGATCCTGACTACCCAACGGTGATGTCCCACTACTCAGAGCCTTGACGTCTTCGGCGCAGTATCACCCACCTCCTCTCTCGCCCTGTCACGCAGCTGTTTGCGTAGGATCTTGCCGGACTAGATGCAGTTAGTTAGTTGATCAAGCTATCCCAAGGGTAAAAAGGCAGTAGAGAAAAGGGAACCCACCGGATTCTTCGGGATCCCCTCCACAAACACCACCCCCCCCTTCAACCTCTTATACCTCACCACCTTCCCCTCCATCCACCCCGCCACCTCCGCCTCAGTAACCTTCGACCCGGCCCTCCGCACCACATACGCCCTCGGCACCTCCTCCCCCCCAATCGTCACCCCCACCACCGCAGCATCCGCCACCTCCGGATTCTCCAGCAACACCCCCTCCAACTCCGCCGGCGCCACCTGGTTCCCCTTCACTTTGATCAACTCCTTCACGCGATCGACAACATGCACGATACCGCCGGCGCGGTAGGCCTCAATGTAAGCGATATCGCCGGTGCGCAGCCAGCGGGTGCCGTTGGTATCAACAGTGATAGTGTCGGCGGTGGCTTGGGGTTTGCGCCAGTAGCGGCGCATGAGGGTCGGGCCGGTGACCCAGAGTTCGCCGGGGGTGTTGGGGGTGGTGATGGGTTGTCCGGTTTCGAGGGAGACGAGTTGGGCGGCACAGTTGGGGGAGAGTTCGCCGACGCCGGAGGAGGTGGGGATCGGGGAGGTTGGGTCCCAGGATAGGGCGGTGCAGGTTAGCTCGGTCATGCCCCAGCCCTGGCGGATGCGAAATTCTCGAGCGCTGGGGGAGGTGGAAGCGGTGAATTGGCGTTGGACTTCCTCGCAGACTTCGAGGGATAGCGGGGCGGCGCCGGAGCCGATGGTTTCGACGGAGGAGAGGTCGAATTGTTTCACGGCGGGGTGTTTGGCGAGGAGCACGACGATGGGCGGGACGACGGCGAGGGTGGTGATGCGGAAGCGCTGGATGTGGGTGAGCATCTTGACAAAGTCGAAGGCGGGCATCACGTAGACGGGGATGTGCAGATGCGGCATGTTGGCGATGAAGTAGGTCTGGCCGTAGGTGTGGTAGAACGGGAGGAAGGCCAGGCCGCTGTCTGTCTGCTGCTTCTGCGCAAAGTCTGGGTGTAGTTTGGTCGTGTGCACCACGCCGACGCCGTTGGCCACGTACGAGTAGTGGCTGATCTCCACGCCCTTGGGCACTCCCGTTGTCCCGCTCGAGTAGTTGAGGCAGCACGTCGTCTCTTCCGGGTTGGCGGGCTCTTCCCAGCGCCACGCTTCCGCCTGCGCGGGACTGCCCCCGAGTCTCAACAACTCGGTCCAGTGCCGGGCCCCTGCTAGATCTACCGGTTTGTTGCTCCCTGCTGCGGGGCCCTGGGCCGGGGAAGACGCCGTCGCCAGTTCCTTAACCGGCACGCTGGCAGGCCCCAGGACAAACACGCGGTCTTTCGACAGCCCAGCCTCCTTGGCCGCCGCGAACGCGGTATCCAGCGCTTGCTCAGCCGCAAACAGAAAAGTGGCACCGCTGTCCTGAAGCTGGTACGCTAGTTCCCGCGGGACAAAGCTCGGGTTGGCACCCGTGACGATCCCGCCGGCCATGAGGATGCCGAGGAAGACGGAAGGAAACAGCAGGCTGTTGCCCGAGAAGAGCAGCACGCGGTCGCCCTTTTGCAGGCCGGCGCGGAGCAGGCCCAGGGAGACCCGTTTGGCGAGCAAGCGGAAGTGCGGCATGGTCAGGAAGTTGTTGTCCGGGTCGTCCGGGTCGATGAAGGACTTGTGGTTCGGCAGCGGGTCGCAGGCCGAGCCGAAGATCCATTGCGCCAGCGAGCATCGCGGGACGTCGACCGTCCAGCGGGATTGGATCGTCATGGTGGTTGTTTCTTTCTGTCTTTTCCTTGGGGTGAAAGTAATGTTCTATAATTTATACAGCCGGATAGTCGCAGTGTTATCTTGGATTATAACACCTAGCCAAGGGGTTAGCGATGTTGTGGGAAAAGTCAATGTCCCAATTCTTAGGAGCAATTATGCGAGAGGAGGTGGAAAGTTCACTGACTGGCGAACCGTTCCCTTATCCTAAGATTCCAGCGTGAAAATTCCAAATAACTGCAAGGACGGCAGGGTGGCCAGGGAGTTTTGGTGGGTGTTCGGTATGTACATGTATGTGTACTGGACCCAAAGCACGGAACAAGGGACCTTGCGCATATAATCGGATATAAGCTGAAACCGATTCTCCAGCGGAACAAATCCACATCGGCAGGCACGAACGGGAAGAGAGAACTCGTCAATTCCACATCTTCCAAGGTTCCTAGATTCCTCGGGTTCTTCCCCGCACCAAACAGCTTCCAATTGCTCTCGTCGGAGGACTTCCATTCCTCATTCAACCACAGCCCCAAACCGTCAACGTGATCTCGGGTCTGTTCCGGGTTCCCACTCCTCCAAAAGACCCCGCAGACTCACCGCGAAGAGGTGGACTTGGCGGGGATGTACGATGTGACGTTCCGGGGAACCTTGATACAAGAGGTTGGAGATTTGTTATAAAAGCTCCTTTCTCACGTAAGGTCTAAGACGTCGTTCGACCTCTCCGTATCCGTACTACGGTACTTTCCCCCTCAGAAACCTCAAAAACCGCCTTTCTCAGTCTTTTTCGCGAGCCTGTATGAGCACTATCAAGCTGGACTCCCTCGCTGCATAACGGTCACGCGGCTCTCCATTGACAGACTTGGGGGAAGTTCTTGGAAGACCGCAAAGTCCCCCCGGCCTTGTCGCCGATTGGCGGGTTCGGGCCTGGGGGATTTCGAGGTGTCCGTCGTGTCCCCCGCAACCCCGCATGCAGGGACATGGGTTCCCCATAAAATTGGTGAGATGCCGAGGCTGTTGTTGATCCAAACCGGTAGTTTGACGCGAAGTGGCTTGTCTTCCCAACCAGGGTCTGGATGTGGTAGATTGGAGACGAGAGGTTTGTGTATGTAGCTGAGACGGGGAGACATCGGGTTGCGGATATGATGGGGTTGAACATATATATGTCTTAGTCCAAAACCTCAGGAAGTATCTTTCGGGGTTTCTAATTCGACATAGTTGTCGCAACCAACACGAATGTCAGACCTGCAGAATGGTCTTGAAAGACACGTTGTGTCCGTTTCTGAATGGAAAAACAAGGCATAGTTAAAAGAGAAACCGAGAGCCGTCGTGATATCTAGCTGGCTAACCACCCACTTACACATACTCCAAAAGAATGCCACCAGCTTGCCGTCAACCCGCCCGTCAAAATGAATGGAATGGATACAGGGCGGGCAGCTCCGGGACGTAGAGTAGGTTATTGCGTTTTAGTGTCTCGAAATCCTTCTACCTCGCAGCCTTGCAAATATCGTATGGTCCAACAACCATGGTGTCTTCTCATGAGTCGGCAAAGTACGAAGATTGGTACCTTTGCGCGGCCTCATCTTCCTATAAAAAGTCCCATGCGCAACGTTACACATATTGACGGCTGTTGTGTAATCGGGACATTTGTCTGTGGCTTGGGAAGTAAAGTCCCGATTTTAGATGATATTTGACTGTTAACTCCGTCTCAAAGTCCAGTTGGGATTTTCAACACGAAGAAAGCTATCCCACCCAAAAGCCCGGACCATCACGACACACACCACCTATTCCTTCCTCACCTCCTTACCTCCCAACCTCAAACCCCATCCACACAACACACCCTTTATAAGCCAGCCCCGCGCAACAGCTTCTCGTCGCCCCCCACCGGAAAATGCTTGACCTTTCGGATGGCGCATTCGGGGGGCTGTGGGCGTCAAACAAAGTACACCACAGATTCTCGGCCCCCGGGTTCGAACCCGGGGGCCACCACTTAGTAAAACTTGCTTGCGGGTTTTCGTAGCTTCCTACCCACCGGGGTAGGGGGTGGGCTTTTGGGGTTTCTTTTGTTTTGTGGTTTTTTGGGAGGACTTCCAGATTTGGTTGGAACTGTTTCAAAACCACGGTGTTGAAGTCCAGTCACGTGAGCGTCCATCATACCCGCGACAAAGTGGTCTCATGTACGGATACAAGCTAGCATCAAAGTTGATATCATTCTTGAGTCTTTTGGATGGCTTCCACCCTGTGTTGTCACTGGTCAGCTTAACTATGGACTTGGTTAAAGCTGAAAATAACACTTTGGGCGTCGTCCAAGCAAGGAAGGGACGACTTGCATATTTTCAGCAGCGCCCCCCACGCCGTGGCGTCGGTGTTTCAGGCGATTGGTTGCCGCTGGGGGCACGTTCTTGGTCCCCCCAAAGAACAACTTCAACAGGCTTGTTTCAGCTCTCCTTTTAGTGGAAGACCCGCTGTTGACTTCAACTCATCAACAACTGGCCATCTCCCATCTCCGTTCATCGTTTTATGAGACGATAATTTCTGGTACTATCTTGTGGGTTGGGGTTTTATCATCCAAACCCTCGATGAGACTGAATTTTTAAATTTCCCGCCGCTTGCGCCCTTGCGCTTTCACATACCGCTTCTCTCGCTGCAGCCAGGCGGGCCGGGTGTCACAACTGGATTATTCATCACTTCTGCATGAAGCACACCACTCCCGTCCCATAACTCAGTCACACAAGAAATGTCATAAAAAAGAAACCAAACAAACACAACAACAACAACCCGTCACAGATCCCTTCTCCCCACGCCCAAAATGTTCTCCCTCCCCAGAACCTGGCGCCGCTCCGGACCAGCCGACTACAGCAGCGCCGTAATCCCCCTCGACGAAGCCCACAAACACAGCCACGCCTACCGCCTCCGGCGGCCGCGGCCTAGTACTAGCACCAGCACTAACATCACCGGCGATATTCCACCTTCAGACGAGGAGGAGGAGGAAGCGCGGGGGCGGGGAGTTGGGAATGGCGGTGATGGGGCTGATGATGTTGAAGGGGAAGAGGAGGAGGAGGAGGATGATGACGAGGATAAGGACGGCGAGGATGGTGATACCACGATGTTGGTCATGACGAATGGGGCGGGGGAGTATAGTGTGGAGGGGTTGAGGAGGGAGGTTAGGAAGGGGAGGAGGGGGGAGGGGTGGACGGGTTATGAGAGTGAGTTTGAGTTTTGCTGAATGGGGTTATCCTTTTGAGTTGGAAGGGGTTGGTTGGGTTGGAGATTGGAATGAGGGGCTGACGGTGGGACAGTGAAATCGAAACTTATCAACAAGGCGATTCAGGATATTGGGATGGGGACGTATAACTGGCAGCTTTTTGTGTTGTGTGGGTTTGGTTGGTTTGCCGATAAGTGAGTTTCCTGGTCGAATCTCTGCTTGTTTTTAGAACCCCTTGACTGACTTTTCATAGCCTCTGGATGCAGGTATGCTCATGGCCGGCCATGCAATCTGAGTGGGACCCCTCGGGCAGCTAATAAGACTAGGGCGTATCACTCACCCTCCCCTCTCTCTCCGCCGAGTTTGACGTCTCGGAAAAGTCGGTCCGCTACACGACCTCGTTCCTATTCATCGGCCTGTGCTTGGGGAGTTTCTTCTGGGGCATCGGCTCTGACATCATGGGCCGGCGTATCGCCTTCAACGTAACACTGCTCATTGCGAGCGTGTTCGGAACCGCGTCCGCCTACGCCTCCAGCTGGACCGGCGTGTGTTTTCTGTATGCCGCCTTGGGTTTCGGCGTCGGGGGCAACCTGCCAGTAGACGGCGCGCTGTTCCTCGAGTTCCTCCCGGATGCCTCGAGCTCCCTGCTGACGCTGCTCTCGGTGTGGTGGCCGGTCGGACAGCTCTGCTCGTCGCTCTTTGCGTGGTTCTTCATCGCCAACTGGCCGGTCGAGCAAGGGTGGCGGCACTTTGTCGCAACCATCGGCATCATCACCTTCATCATGTTCCTCGTCCGCTTCTTCCTCTTCCACATGTTCGAGTCGCCCAAGTACCTGCTTTCTAAGGGCCGGCAGGCCGAAGCTGTTGCTGTGGTCCAAGGGATCGCGTTCAAGAACGGCAAGAAGACCTGGCTCACCGAAGAGGTCCTGGATGCCGTGGTCGACGACACTGCACCTTTGCCCCAACGACGCCTGTCCACCCGCAACATCATCCGCAACAAGCTGGCCTCGTTCTCCGCTGAGCGCATCCGGCCGCTGTTTAAGAACCGCAAGCTGGGCCTCACAACCGCCCTGATCTGGTTCGCCTGGGCCACTATCGGGATGGGCTACCCGCTCTTCAACGCATTTCTACCGCAGTACCTCTCCCACGGCGGCGATAGCGGCACTGGTAACGGCGGTGATGGTATTCCAAGCGGCGACGCCCCCGCCTCCGAAATCACAGCCGACACCTACCGCGAATACGCCATCACCAGTCTCGCCGGCGTGCCCGGCAGTCTCCTAGCCGCCTACTCCGTCGACATGAAATCCCCCTTTCTCGGCCGTCGCGGCACGCTTGCCCTATCAACCTTACTCTCGGCCGTGTTCCTCTTCCTCTTCGTCCGCCTCGGCACCTCGCCGGCCTCACAGCTCTTCTTCTCGTGTGTCGAGGCGTTCGCCCAGAACATCATGTACGGCGTGCTGTATGCGTTCACGCCCGAGATTTTCCCCGCGCCGGTGCGGGGTGCCGGCACGGGCGTGGCGAGTTTCTTGAACCGTGCGACGGGGTTGATGGCGCCGATTATTGCGGCTACGATACCTGGGGATGGGACGACCGCGCCGGTGTATTTGTCGGGGACGTTGATTCTGGCGGCGTTTGTGGGGATTTGTCTGATTCCGATTGAGACGAGGGGGAGGCAGAGGTTATAACCGAGGATTATCATGATAGGCAACTGGGTGAATCGTTAGAACTGCACGGTAGGCGTATGGTTGGGTTACTAGTGAACATTTAGGGGGATTCATCGCAGCATAGATACATATACAGCGGCCCATATGGCGGCCGGGAAGGAGGAATTATAACACAGCGTGAGTAATAAATCATCAGTCTATACTGTATATGCAGCGTACGCACGCGGTCTACGCCCCCCGATCCGGCTCTCTGCTCCCCCGTTCCCTGACCCCCACCGGCACCTCCACGCTGCGCTTCGCAAACGACTTCCCCAGCGCATCCCGCACCATCGGATCCGACCGAATCGTGTTCTGCACCAGCCACTCCTTCGCCTTCACCCACATCGAGCCGCGTGTCTCCTGGTCCCCAGAAAACGGCACCATCTCCGTGTCCAGCAGCATCGTCGCGTCGTTGTCCACCTGCTTAACCACCGCATCCAGCCGGTCCAACGCCTCCCTCAACGCCTTCTCATCATCCCCTCCCTTTTTCCCACCGCCATTTCCAGGATTATTGCCATTACCACCCATAACCAACTGCCCACTCCGCGTATCCGCCGCCAGCAACGGACCAATCTGCGAAAACGCAATATACACCGTAACACTCAACTTCCTCGCCAGGGCAATCGCCTGAAACGGCAAATAATACGGCGCCCTCCCTGTTCCCCCCAACCCAGACCTCACCCCCCATCCCAACAGCGGATTCACCACCTTCTCCAAAACCCCCGGCAACCCCGGCCGTGTCACCGCATACGTCTCAAAAACAAACAACACCGCCAGCACCAACCACCGCTCATACCGGCCCCAGTCCAAGTAACCCAGCAGTCCTAACGCATACATCGCCACCGCAGCCGTGACGTAGTAGGGTATGAGCGCGGCTTGCGCGCCGCGCACGACGTAGTCACGTATTGTGACGCAGCGCGTCCAGGAGAGGATATCGGGCCCGAAGCGCTCGTAGGCGAAGCGTCGCGCCGGGTCGGTGAGGGTGTCGGCGGCTGTTTTGAGGTGGACGAAGTAGGCGTTGATATCCTCTTCTCTTCTTTGCCCCCCTACGGCCTGAGACGAAGAAGCTTTATCCGGGTGGTGCAGCGCCGCGAGACGGCGGAAGCGGGATTTGATGTCGCGGTCGGTGGCGGAGAGGGGCACGCCGAGGTCGGTGTAGAAGGAGCCGGCGCGCTGGAGCTCGTAGTCGGCTTCGTAGACGGTGTAGGCGAGGTAGAGGGTCACGACGGCGATGTGGATGCGGCGGCGGTGTTCGGCGAAGCGCGGGGTGCCGGGTTGAGGGCGGGGGTCGCCGGCGCGGATGGTGAGGCTGTAGTAGAGGGATTGGGTCCAGCTTGTGACGAGCTGGTGGGGGGGGGGGTTAGTTTCTTGGTTTGGGTTTTGTGGTTCAGGTGCACACGGGTAGTTGAGGAAGAAGGTGGAAAGGGGGAAGGAAACCCCCGGAGGAGAAACATCAAAATGAGAAACTCCTAGAGAAATGGTGGAAAATGCAAAGGGGAATGCTGGTACAAAGGAAGAGGGAAAGGAGACCTACGCCGGGGAGAAAGCTCCAGCCCAGGAGCGAAAGGAGCGCCGACATGATGTTAGTAGTTCCAGTCGTGTATGTCGCCTTCAAAACCCTACTAAACCCTCATGATCAAGCAACCCTCTCCAAGCAACAGCGAAAAAAAACCAAAAGGGGGGTGCAAACGAGCGGCGGCAGTTCGAAACGCCAACGAAGTGTCCGAATGTTTGACGCGGTTCTTTGTTTGCGGCATGTTGGCCTATGGACCCACTTGGCTTAATTGGTGTCTGGCCGTTGACGGTCGGCTAAAGTTCGGCTTTACTCCGGCGTTTGCAACCCACATCCACCCACACTGGACACGGCTGAAAATAAGTCGAGAGCGGCCGATACATCCACTCAAGGCGTGGTGGCAGAGTGGTCTAATGCGCAAGACTAGAAATCTTGTTCCTTCGGGAGCGTCTGTTCGAATCAGGCCCACGTCGAGTTCTTTTTTCTCTTATTTTTCTTTCTCCATGAATTTCCCCAATTTCCCATCTTCAACCTTCATCCTTCCCCTTTCTTCCCCCGCAATTTGACACCGTTACATCCCATGAACGATCCCCTTTTTCCTTTCTGTTTCGGCCGGTCAATTGGACGAGCCAATGGGTTGAAACAACAAGTTTCTGGGAAACCCTGTTTCTCTTGTCCAATGGAGGGAAACCAACTGCGTTTTTTGAACCTTTTGTGAAGTCAGCCTTCCCTCTCGCGACGGGGCTAAACGGTTGCATTCGGAGGAGTTGGTCCTTTCCTTGGTGATGATCCTGGTCTCTTGGCTTTCCTGTTCCCGTTTGCTATCCAATATTCTCGCGGGAAAGGGTGATATTTAGGACTTCTGCGAACTCGTGTTGGATCTGGCTAGTCTTGGTATCGTGGCAGTTGCTGACTCCGCCTGCTTCCTGTGCCGTTCTACCCGTCTACTGGCTAGCTACCGGAAGGTGCCTGAATTTTAATCGTGTTTTACTTTGACGTCTTTCGTTGTTGTTTGTTTTGACTTCCATTTCTTTTTTCTTTTCCCACCTCGGCTTTTCCTTTTGGGGTCAAAAAAAGTACAATAAACGCGTCAAATCCCCCATGAGGGCGGACTCATCGAATGAGACTCCAATTCCTAGCCGCGGTTTTAGCCGCTTGCGTCACAGCCCAACAACAACTCTGGTCCTCCCCTGAACAGACGTCACCTCAAAAACGAGACTCATGCGACGGCCCGTCTGCCGGTAGCCCCAAGACGTGGTGGCGTTCGGAAATCAGCCACAACGGGACTACACCACATGCCGCCGACACAACATACGAGTACTACCGCGATGTGGTCAAGTACGGCGCCGACCCGACCGGCCAGGAGGACTCGTCCGAGGCGTTCAACCGTGCCATCAACGGTGAGTGAGAGAGAGTTATTTGTCAAATTATAGAATGGCGAGAAAAATGAGTGCTAACACCGGTGCAGCATGGAACCGCACGGGCAACACCGTCACCACTATGCCTGCCTACGTGTACATCCCCCCGGGCGAGTATCTCATCAACGGATCCATCCAAATGCTCGTCAACACCTACCTCGTCGGTGACGCGGTCGACCTGCCCAAGCTGGTCGCCCACCACACCATGTGGGAGGATCCTGTCATCCTCGGTTACGACGCCTACCAAGGGGAAGGCGGCTCGACCAAGAACTTCTACATGGCCGTCCGCAACCTGCACATCAACACAACCACGGTGCCGCTTGGGGCGCGTGCCCGCGCGATCGAGTGGTCCGTCTCGCAAGGCTGCAGCCTGACAAATGTGCATGTGACCATGGCGCATGGGGCAGCGCACGTTGGCGTGTCCATGGACCACGGCGGGTCGGGCACCATCATTTCGGACTGCTCGTTTACCGGTGGGGAGACCGGGGTGGAACTATACGGCCAGCAGTATATGCTCAAAAATTTGCGGTTTGATAAAGTTATCTTGGGGATATCGGTCATCAAATCGCATGTGACGACGGTTCAGAACTGCACCTTCACGGACTGTCATCACGCGATTTACGCGGACGAACCGCATAGCAGCGGGACCATGTCGGTTGTCGATTGCATCGTTCGCAGGGGCTACGAGGCTATCTGGACTGATGTGTCGGGCAACGGCGAAGGGTCGTTGATCTTGGAGGGGTTTGAGGTCGGAGGTACAGGTACATTGCCGGTCAAGTCATCCGAGGGCAAGAAGCTGTTGCGCAATTCTGTTCCTGCTGGGCAGGTCTGGGTGATGGGAAATACGTGAGTGCTCCCCTGGAAGAGAAGGAGAGTCGGCGGCGGTAGCAGGGATAGCCTGAAAGACTGACGTGACGTTACTTTGTTCTCAGCAATCCCGACGGTTACCAGTCCAACAAGACATACTCCATCTCGCGGCCGGCTGAGTTGTTAGTGGACGGGAAATACTTTACCGCTCCTGCGCCACAGTATGAAACGTACGATCGCAGCCAGATCGTCAGCATAACGGAGGACCCCGACCATCCCGTCTATGGAGACAGTAAGTGCCCGGGAAAGGGGATGTGGAAGAAAAGAAAACCGAGGGGAAACCAGGGGCAAAGCAGACTAACACCGCTCAGACTCCCACGACGACGGCCCCTCGATCAACGCCATCCTAGCCAAGCACGCCAACTGCAAGATCGTCTTCTTCCCGCAGGGCATCTACCGCACCAACACCACCATCCACGTGCCCCCGGGCTCGCGCATCACCGGCGAGGTCCTCAGCATCATCTCCGGCGCCGGCGCCCACTTCTCCAACGCTTCCAACCCGCAACCCGTCCTCCGCCTCGGCAACCCCGACGACCGCGGCGTCGCCCACCTCAGCGATCTCCTGGTAACCGTTGCATCCCCGCTCCCCGGCGCCGTGCTCCTGCAGATCAACATGGCCGGCCCGAAACCAGGCGACGTCGGCGTGTGGAACACCGTCCTGCGCGTCGGCGGCGCTGTGGACTCGTCAGTGTCCACGCAGTGTGGTAACCCGGACCCATCGTTCTGCCTGGCTGCCTTTGCCTTACTGCACATGACGGAATCCTCGTCGGCTTACGTTGAAAATGTCTGGGGCTGGGTGGCTGACCACAGCTTGGACGCACCGGACTCTGACCCGCCGCAGAACATCGCCGTCGGTCGCGGCGCGTTGGTGGAGAGTAAGGGCCCTAGCTGGTTGGTCGGGACGTCGTTTGAGCACTGCGTGTTGTACCAGTATGCGTTGCACGGTGCGGAGAATCTCTACATCGGGCAACACCAGAGCGAGAGCGCGTACTGGCAAGGGCCCGGGACACCGGTTAAAGCGCCGGCGCCGTGGAAGCCGAACGCGGCGTTGGGTGATCCAGGGTTTGAAAACTGCGCGAAGGACGACGATGCGTGTCGGCGCTCGTGGGGGTTGTATGTGAAGGGGGTCAAGGATGTGGTGGTTCATGGGTCGGCCATGTGGAGTTTCTTCCATGGGATGAACGATAACCTGTTCGGCGACCCGGAGTGCACTTCGACGGGTGGCATCTGCCAGACGAACATGGCGTATATCGAGGATGCTAAGAGCATGTGGTGGTTCTCGGCGAGCAGCAAGGCGGCCGAGAACTTGGTGTTGAACGTGGGTGGTGGGCCGGAATCGACTAAGAACGTAAATGTGTCGTCTCAAAAGGACTACCCAGGCGCGTGGGGGGCGGTTATGGGTGCGTATTTGAGGAACAGTGGTGCTGAAGTCGACGATAACGAGGGAGATGATTCTGGGGGGATCAGACTGACTCCGGGGTTAGGGTTAGCTGTGGCCGTCTTGGCGATGACGCTGTCGTTGTTTGCGTAAAGTCGCCAATTCCTGTACATACATCTTAGAATACCCATAATAAAAACTTGAAAAATAAAAAGAACGGCGGGCGGAGCTGCGCTACCATGGCTTACGGTAAACACTCGACTGAACCGTGAAAGGCCCTTTCGGGACCAAGTTGACCGACTCTCGTGGACTGATTGAACTTCGGTTCGGCATTCGGACGACCCAGAGCCAGAGCCGCGGGTATGTAGGCATGGCCTTGTGAGGCTCCCAACTCGGTGGTTTCACGGCACTGGATCAGCGATGAGCCGAGCCCCTGGCACGAGTGGCCTCGCAAGCTCGCACCTCGCAAGCTTCGCCCGATGATGATTGTGGGGGACGGGAACAATGGAAGACTGGGGGAGCCGCAGCCTTTCGCAGCGGGTGTGGGGAAACTTTCCAGGTTGGTTCAGCAAACCGCACGCGCAAAAGGAGCGGGCCTGCCCCACAGCACATGACGCCTTGCCCCCCAAAGCGGACCCGCTGCCGTCGCAACTTGCGGGCCTCTGGCCTGTCGCGGACTTTGCGCCAGCAAGGAAATGGCGGCCGAGGTCCAAATTCACATGCGGCGGCGCGTTCACATTCGGCCGATGGCTCTTCGCAACTTGTCGCCCGAGGTAGTATAAACTTGGTCCCTGTCCCCGCGATCTTCCCCAGCTTTTGGTTTTTTTCCTCTTTCATACTACTCCAACGATATACACGAGACCAAGTCCATAATTGTCACTCTTTTCGCCAATTCCACAATCAACAAACCCCGTTTCGCCCACCAAAACCACATTCACCATGTCTTTCAAGAACGGTACGTTTGTGCACTCCGCAACAACTACCCCGACCCCTCTTCGGGACGTCCGGCAACACTCAGCACGAACGACACATGCCCATTGGGGAAGTTATCAAAAACAAAACATGGAAGTCTAACCCTTTGAAATAGACAAGTTCCCCGCCTCCGCTGCCTTCGACGAGATCAGCGCGGCCCTCACGGCTAGCGAGGCCGACCGCAAGGACGCCATCAAGCAGGGCGGCGCCGTCTTTGCCTTCACCCTCAAGAACAAGGCTGGTGAGACCGAGAGCTGGCACATCGACCTGAAGGAGAAGGGTGCCGTCGGCAAGGGCACTGGCGAGAAGCCCAACGGTGCGTTCCCAGCGTCTTTTTCCCGAAAAGAAAAAGAAAGAAAAAAGAAAAGAAGAAGAAGAGAATGCATGACAATCGGATTCTAGCCCCTTACTGACATACAACGTTCACAGTCACCCTCTCCCTCTCTGAAACCGACTTCGGCAACCTCGTCGCCGGCAAGGCCAACGCCCAGCGCCTCTTCATGTCTGGCAAGCTCAAGATCAAGGGCGACATCATGAAGGCCACCAAGCTCGACCCCATCCTCAAGAAGGCCCAGACCAAGGCCAAGCTCTAAACCACTCGAACACGACAGTTGTTGAGCGGGGAGGTGTTTCGTCAAAGTTTAGACTTGGTTATTATGACACTGGAAGGCGGCTTTTTCTTGTATAATACCATACCATTTCCGTTGTATTGGTGCCGAGGCGGCACCCGGCTCGCGGCGTAATTCACAGTGTTGTATTTAGGTCTATTTTTGTTGTTGAGTCCTGATTATGTGAAACGAGTCCGCTTGACTGTCATTGTGGTGACTTGAAGAGCGGCATGCAGACGTTTGACTTTGGCGGTGACTGGTCAACTTTGACGTTGAAAAGCCAAGTCGTTATGAAAGTGATGCTAGGTCAAGTCTAGCATGTGATTGATCTACGCGCATAACATCGTGTATCCTAGTTTAGCGACTTGCAAGGAATGTCCCAAGAAGCTGCAGCCCTCCGTTTAGTGTAGAGCCTGAGGTGAGTCTGGCCAAAGAAAGAGGCAAGTTAGTGTTCGGGAACTTCTTCCTGACATTAGGTAAGAAGATGAGGGCGCCTTTCAACATTCAAGCTCATCCCTCCGTTGCCTGAGGCAAGTCCCTTGTTAGTTCATGTAAGTGATGTTGAGAACGACGATCCACGTGCCGACCTTGCCGTACCACTCCAGTATCTACGGGCACGGCAGAAAGCACCACACATGGGTCGGGGATAAAGTACTGTCTCGGCACTTGAGGTACTTTTTTGAGACACGGAATCCGAGGAGTTGAGTCGGCGTGTCACATCGTGTTCTTGAATAGAGAGGCTCGGATTGTATGAGAAACCTGGCACAGGTGTCGCTTTTGATAGGGCGGAAACTTGTGCTGTTTTCACCCATTGGACAAGACGAAAAATGAGGGGGGAAAGGAAAAGCAAACATTGGAGGGGTAAAATGAAAGGTGTGAGGAGTCGACAACTCAGCCCAAGTACATAATCGAACCAAAAAAACTCCTCGAGGAACCATAAACATTAGAGTCATCGAGACGAGGGATGCCTCGGAGAGTTTTGTTTGGTGGTCTCTTGGCTCTTTGTTGATGTGTGCTGGCACCTCCGACGTCCTGCGTGAATCAATAGAAGTAACTAGACTCGACGTCATTTTCCCGAGCCTCCGCAGCCCTCCGCTACAAGAGGGGAATAAGCCCGCGCCGTCTCGATGTCGCACGCGACCGTTTTGCAGACGGTGTCCGGTTGCCTTCGCCTGGGCTCCGTTGGTCACATGGACTTCCACCTGCAGTGATTGGAACGCGCCGCCTCCGTTCCGTCGTGCCCGCTCTCCGCTGCTCTCCGGGTCTTCCAATACGGGCTGCTGGCCGAAGGCAGACGACCCGGGCATGACCTGCGGGCATAGGGCGGACAAAGAGACTCGTCTTCGGGCGGCAAGCACAATTGGCCAGACGGCCGGCGGCTGCTGCACTTTTTGTCGTTGACTTTGGCTTTTCGGCAAGAGCCGCCGCTGCCTGTTTTCTGCTGCTCATTGGCGATGTGTGCCTGAGGTGCCCCGTGCCAACCCCACCGTGCCGAGTTTGGAAATGGTCCGTGCACACGCACCCTCTTTCGCAGGGTCCCAAGCTGCCCGCGTTTTTTTTTGGCAGGGCTCCTCACTCAAGTTTTTTTCCCCCGGCTTCCAAGCTGAGCACCGCTCAAGGGGCCATTCCTCCTCTCCACACACCACCACCACAACCACCACCACTCAGTTGGTGCTGCCGCTTTTTCATCAGCCACCTGCTTTGACAGGAGACACGGCATCACTCGGGATCTCTCTTCAATTGCCGCTTTTCCGCTGGCATCGTCGAGTCCCTTTGTGCTTTTCTTCCCCCCCATCAGCCTTTCATTGTCTGGCGCGTCGTGCCGGGTTCTTGCTCTGGGGCCTCGTCAACCAACGCGCAAAATCCATACACCCCTGGCCTCTTTTTCTTCCTCGACCAGAACAACCCGAACGCCGCGCATCGCAGCCCCGACGCGACAAAAAGACGCGACAAATCGAGGGTTACATGCACATGGCCGCTGTTCAACTTTATCCTTTCTAATTTTCAAGTCGACAAGACTCTTTTTCTTCTCACTTTCTCTTCCCTTGCGCGCACCCCCTTTTTGTCTCAAAGACCCGTTTCACGCTTGACGCGAGCACCGCTCCCTTCCTGCTACGCGCGACACCATGGATACGTCTTCCACAAAGCGAAGCATTTTCGCTTTCGCCGGCGGTCTTTTCCGCAGCCCGGCTCCTCCGGCGGACAATCGCGAGGATAATGCGAGTATCAAGAACAATACCACCTCGAACACACCGACCAAGTCTGCGGCATCAGCAGCAGCAACCGCGCGCCGCGAGATCCATGGCGCGTCGTCAGGGCCTCACAGCCCGATGAAGCGCGCCTCCGAAGCGCAACTCGCATCGCGACGCATTCTCGGCCGCCCGCAAGGCCCATCGAGCAAGTTGTCTCAGAGCATCTCGGCGTCAGACCTCGCGCACAGGCACACCAACTTGGTGGTTGCGCCCCCGAGGAGGATGCCGGGCGACAACCCGAACAAGCAGCGACCGACCACGATTTCGAACTCGGTATTGTCGCATGGGCCGTCGACGGGTACGCCGAAGTCGACGAGCTTTTCGGGTGTGGGCTCAACACCGGCGCGGAATCTGTTTCGCTCCTCAGCGCTTTACGGCCGGCCTCAGCAGCACAACTTCTCTCCTCGTATCCCTGCCAACACCTTGAACCAGAGCTTTCCGCCTTCGACGCCGGGCAAGCCACCCCGTGGCTCGACTCCGGATGTTAACGGCCGGATTCTTGCCAACACCACATCTGTCGACCTGTTCCAAATGAGGATCTCCTCGCCCCCGCTCCATCTCACCGGCGAATATCTCGCCAAAGAGGTGCCCGAGGACCCGAACCGAACGGGTTCCGTGTATGCCGATGAATACCTCGCGCATTACTGCCCTCCCGACCTGGACGAGCACCAGAGGCGCCAATTTTTCTGCATCCTCGATCTACGGCGGCTGAAATACGCAGCCGACGAGGTGTTTACCAAGAAGGACTGGAAGTTGAACGTGCTCAACTTTGCCAAGGAATACGAGAAGAGCAGGAGTTTGATCATGCTACGGTATGGTCTGTACGAGTTTAAGACGGTGAGGGCCTCGGAGGCGGTCAAGAAGGAGTGGAAGCAGAAACATGGGATCCCGGACTCGGAAGATGAGGCCACGACCCCCAGAGCGAAGGGCGCCACCAAGAGGAAGGCATCGGAAGAGCTCACACCAGCTGCCGATAACCCGTTCGCGGCGTCCGTCTCTGGCTCCAACAAGCGCGCTCGTGCTCCCGACAACGCGGCCAAGAACAAGCGCAAGGCCGAAGCCCAGCCGGAGGACAGCCAGCCGGCGAAGCTCCAGAAGCCCGCTGCCCCTCCGTCGGCCACCAAGTCGGTGTTTGAGAGCATTGCCAACAACGCGCAGTCGACCTCGGCGACCCCGACCAAGGCCAGCGGCAAGTCTGTTTTTGCTTCTGGCGCGGCGGCTAAACCCATCAGTGCCTTTGGCGCATCGTCCGGCGGGAATATCTTTGGTCACCTCTCTGATGCGAGCAAGGGCAGTGGCAACGAGGACGACGACGACGATAGTGCGACCGGGTCCGAGGCCGAAGATGAAGATGAGGATAATGCGGGTGACGAGTCGGAGGAGCCTCGGGACACCAGCCAGAGCGACGAGCCGGCGGAGAGCGGCGCCGACACACCACGGTTCCTCAACACCCACAAGCCTGCCGTCAACGGCATGTCGAGTGCCTCTTCCGATGCCGGCGAGAGCACGCAAGGCCGCAGTATCTTTGACCGTATCACGCGCGGTAGTGACGGGCAGCCCATTAGGAAGCTGTCGCCAACCGACGGGAACCTGTTTGCTGCGCCGAGCGACAATGAGCGCTCTGTGAGCCCGGCCAAGGAACAGGCTGCTGCGACTGCTCCGGCTGCTCCAGTTCCCGCGGCTCCTGCCGCTCCCGGTAACAACACGTGGAATGCTGGTACGCGTATCAAGTTTGCGCCCTCGGCAGGGTCCTCCTTTGGGGCTAGCACCCAGCAAAAGCCGGCCCTGTCCTCGGCCATTGACTTTGGCTCGACGGCGGCTAACAAGACCACAACCGCGACCACGCCTGCCGCCGAGGCTCCAAAGGAGGCGGCCGCGCAGCCCATCTTCAGGGCCCAGCCACCAAAGAGTAACGAGAGCACAAACCTGTTCGCCGCGACGAATGGCACCACGCCCAATTTGTTTGCGTTCGGCGCTAAGAGCACGGACACACCGGCCGCCGCGCCTTCGTTTGGCTCCAACACTTCATCCTTGTTTGGCCAGCCAAAGGACAACAAGGACGGCAGCGAGACTCCCAAGGCTGCTCCCGCTCCATCAACTTCTTTGTTCGGCGCCCAGCCGGCGGCTACCGCATCGGACACGGCCAAGCCCAGCCTGTTCGCGTCGTCTTCGACATCGAACCTGTTCGGAAACCAGAGCAAGCCCGAGGCCACGCCCGCTGCGCAGCCCCAATTCGGTGGTCTGTTCGGCAAGGCTCCGGCCCCAGGTGCGGAGACGCCCGCTGAGAAACCGGCCTCTTCTCTGTGTTCCACCGATGCCACCGCCAAGCCTGCGACCAACTTATTCGGGGCCAGCACCGCGACCGGCTCGGATGCATCGGCTGCGCCGAAGTTTGCCTTTGGGGGTGTGGATGCCAAACCCGCTACTACTACCTCTCTGTTTGGCGCCGCCACGCCCGCTCCTGCGGCGGCCGAGCCCGCGGTAACGAAGAACCTCTTCGGCGCTACGACTACATCCACTGTCCCTGCGACAGAGACGAAGAACCTGTTCGGTAGCACGACGGCTGTCGCACCGGCTACCACCTCCCTTTTCGGTGCGGCTTCGACTCCGGCGCAAGACACAACGTCGCTGTTTGGCAATGCCTCTACCGAGTCAAAATCTCTGTTTGGCACCAACAACTCGACCGAATCGAAGGGGCTGTTTAGCGGTGCTAGCACGGAAGTCAAGCCCATTTTCGGGGCCACCAATGCCGAGTCGAAGCCCATCTTCGGCAGTGCTGCTTCGACCACTTCCGAGAGCCAGCCGGCGACCCTGTTTACCAACACCTCTTCGGCGGCACCCATCTTCAGCTTCGGAACTAGCTCGACGGCGGCACCAGCCCCGCCAGTCGCTCCGCCTGCAGGTGGTTCCATCTTCGGCAACGCCGGCGGCTCTTTCAACTTCTCGACAGGCGGTGCCAACGACAACAACAACGGCGCGATCAAGAACCCCTTCTCGACCGACGGCAGCTTCTCCACGCCCGAGTCGTTCAACTTTGGCACTGGCGAGACCCCATCAGCGTCGACCTCGTTCACCTTTGGCGCCGGCGCCCCCACCATCAGCTTCGGTGGCGCGTCGGACAATGGTGCGCAGCAGCAGCAACAGTCGGTGTCGTTCAACGGCGTCCCGTCGTCCGGTCCCGTTTTCAACTTTGGCGGCGCGTCGCAGCCGAGCTCGGCCCCGATCTTCTCACAGAACCCCCCTACAGCAGGATCGATCTTTGGCAATAGCCTAGCTCCCGGCGGGGGGACCTCAACAGGTACCAGTAAGTAAAAACCCACCACCACGTAGAATAGAGGGCGCCTCAGGAAAGGGCGCCAAAGAAGAACGCCATCGTTTGATTAACCGGCCGTTTTTCGCATTCAGATTCCCCTTTTACCTTTGGGGGCACGTCCAGCCTCGCTACCACGCCGGCGGCAACGACGCCTGAGCCGTCTGCCACTGCCGCCGCGGCTGCTGCTGAGGATGGTAGTAAAGGAACAAACGCTGACGGGGATGACGCACCACAGGAGCAAATTTCGCTAACCGGCGGCGGCCCGGGCGAGGAGGACGAGTCCGCCGTCCATGAAGTACGCGCCAAGGCGCTCAAGCTCGTGACGAGTTCCAACAGTAACTCGGACGAGGAATCCGGGGGCGCGGCCGATAAGGACAAGGTGGCCAAAGCCAAGAGCTCCTGGAAGACCATGGGCGTCGGGCCTCTGCGCATCCTCAAGAACAAGAAGACCGGCACCGTCCGCATGCTCCTCCGTGCCGAACCTCGCGGCCACGTCGCCCTCAACAAGACCGTGCTGCCCGACTTCACCTACAAGGCGGAAGCCAAGTACGTCAAGGTGACCACCGCCTCCGACGACGGCAAGGCGTTGGAGACGTGGATGTTGCAGGTCAAGACGCCCGAGTTCGCCACGGCGCTGGCGGAGGCGCTGGAGGAGCACAAGAAGGGGAATAAGAAATAAATAATAATTTGGGGTTTTTGTTTTTCGTTTTACTTTTTTCTTCGGGTCGAGGGGCGGAAAAAAAGTCGTTTTGAGAGAAAGGGAAAAGGAGAGTGCGAAGGGGACTGGGAAGGGGGTGTGGTTATATACAAGGTAAGAGCCGGGATATCAATAATTGGCTTCTGCATTAGAGGGTTCATGCAGGGTGTTTATTCTGGGAAGCATAGCATTGCTTTTTTCCTGTTGTTGTATTTTGTCGTTGTCGCGGGGGGGAGCAGCCGAGTATTGGCGGAAAGGGGTCACTAGGATGTTCTCATGTGGGGGAGAGGGAGGAAGAAGGGGAAAGAAAGGAAGATTCGATGATGGTATGTTTGTGGGGGTTGAGGATGAGACTGGATGGATGGACGTGTGTATTGTGTATGTATCTATGTATGGTATGGTATGGTATGGTAGCGTGGGCGGAGTCCGCTGGGGGGAGGGTGGGCGGAACTGTGTGGAAGAATGTCATTTGGCGTGTGGTCTGCATTATCCTCTATGTTCTGTGTTGTGTTTGTGGAGGTTGTGTGCTTTGTTGTGTTTGTGGTTTGCGTTTTGTACTGCATTATGCTCTCTGTGGTGTGTTCTGCATCGGATTCTCTGCATTGTGTTCTTACACTCGGTTTCCAACATTTGCTCTCGTATTGAGTTTTGGTATCACATCTGTTAAGATTGTTCGACAAAATTGTTCATGGAGAGGGACAGACCGAGGTGGTCTAGTTGATGCTTTCTCTTGGTGTGATAAAGGGGGAGTTGAAGCCGGGTTGAAGCTGACTGGAGATGGATCGGAAGTAGGGTCAAGTCCAGATATAACAATGTGAAAAATGACCCATCCGTTTAATACAATAGGACGTAACCATAATGTATGTATTGGTAGACGCTATATACACACGCGGCTTCGGTAAAATGTATACCCTGATGAAAGATTAAGCACCCAGCCACATGATGTCAACATCCGGAACATATAGGCGCATCAAGAGCACGCAAAAAGATCGTTCGAGGTGGAACACATACCTTCTCACAAACGAGATGCCCGCAGATGGACTAACAAAGCAGCTTAGTCTCCACAACGGTTTGAGCGTTCCCTTGTTCTGATCAGGCTTCAGGACACTCGACAGATTGTGATCACAGAGTCGGAGGAAGAAGTAAGCACGGAAAGCTACAATTTCTTTTGTCTATTCCTCTCCTAAACGTGGGATGGGGTGTTCGGCGCTCACTTGCTTGTCTTCTTCGTGCAGTCAGGAGCTCCAACAACGCGCTAGCCACGCGCGTATGCACGCTCACCAGCGTCACCCTCCTCATCTTCCTCCTGCTCTGGAGAGCGGGCACGCTTATTCTTCTGGGCTGGGGATACGGCGGAACTGCTGCTAATGGGGGCGGGGATGGAGTCGAAATGGTCATAAAAGACCCTGCTCGCTCACAGACCCGCGAAAGCATTTACGTTAGGGGATGATAAATATCTGTCCAAGTATGTTTCTGCCACCAACACCGCCTCCTGACCTAGGAGCGAAGGTAAGTTGGACGTGATGGTAGAGGAACAAACGGAGAAAGTGACGGGAACAGGAGGGGATAAAAAGGTTATTAGTGGGAGATAAATCAAGCCAATGTTCGGCCGGTGTTTCGCCCAATACCATCCTCATTAACAGCCTTGGAAACGAGGCATGTGCGGTGGGCATGCTCGAATTCCAACCTCCCTCTCGGCCGTAAAACGAGATGTTTACGGCGGTGAGGGCGTCGGGGTATCCCCCGATGAACGCCTCGTTCTCTCCAACGGTGTTCTTGGATGCCAAGAATGGAGTCATCCACAATGCAGAGCCAGCCGAGACCCCGGGGGTCCAGTGGATCTGGCGTCATTGCCGGCCCCTACCCCTTCCCCCACCAGTTGTGGATGGTCGGTGCCGGGGGGATGGTATTTCAGCGGCGAGGGAGAAGCGGTGTTCCAGTGACGGTCGCTGACGCCTAGTTGGGAGGAGAACAGCGTTTGCAGGCGTGCGGTTAGAGGAACACAAATCGCGGATCATCATATCCCAGGCGGCGAAGTACGCTGCTGCTGCCAGATTCAACACGAACCGTGTACTGTTCTTTGCGGCTGGGAGGGTTGCAATCAAGACTACCGGGCTGCCGGCACCCTAGGCCAGCCGCTGCATGCCCACTGTGTTTCGTGCCCTCCCCTTCCTTGACACTTGTACCGTCAAGAGAGGCCATGTCGTAGTAGGTTTGGGCTGTTGGTAGCCTATGGCAAGGACGATTTTGACGTTGTCCAGGAAACGTTTAGTGAGCGCTTTCGGGAGAAGATAGTCGGATATCCAGCTAAGATAATATACCTTACAGTTATATTCGTTTAAAGGGCTGGAAAGTATATAATAGACAACCTTCAGTATACAGAGATATTCGATCGTCAAGGTATAGAAATAAATATAGCTTATGTTAATATAGAAAATTCATGAAGAAATGTATCACAGACTTTAGATTTGATAACTAAGGAGTGACTCATTGACGGAATAAATTCCTAAGCTAATCTGGACGTTTCTAACGCTAAGGCTATATCAGGGGATGAAACGACGCTCTAAGATATAAACGTGAACTTGCCTAGAGTACAACTCCAGCTAATCAACAATCTTAACAAACCACCACGACCCGCCCCACCCAAAATCCCAATTTTCAGCAGTAGCAGCAACAGGGTCAACAGCAAGCTAGACACCAACACCATCACAGAATCCAACCAGCACCACAACAGCCATGACAAGCGCTGAGGACGGAAAATATCGTCGCCCTCGCTCATGCTGGCAGCCGGGGGCCGGGAGCCGCGAGCCGGCCGGCCGCGAGCATCTGTTCTTGAGGTCGGTTAATAGAATAGTGGGCGAAGCGCCAACCTTTAGAGCCTAGAGCGTTCTGGGACCCTCGTCGTACCTCTTCCCCTCCACAAAGAGACTCGAGATCACAATCCCAACCCCGCTCCATGAGGCCCTCCACAAGGGCGCTCGCGGGACTCCCCACGCCTTTATCACCTACTCTATACCTACAACGAGGCTTGCAGGTCGATGGAAGACAGAAGGCGCTACTCGCTTCAAGTCCAGCGATATTAAAGGCAGTGGAAGCCGCGGACGCCCCGCTCGTCTGAGTCGTGTATGGTTGTTTGTGAAAGCTCCTCACCCATTCACACATGCGGACCCGGCGCTCCGCGTCGCCATGCGCGATGAAGCAGGCGAACGCGAGGCGGACTGCGTTGAGTTCCGGAGGCGTGTGCTTGTCGTCGGGTCAAGCTCAGCGCCAGCCAAGGGGTTCATGTAAAAACCACCCTCGGCCGTCCCTCTGGAGGGCTGAGATGCCCGGGACAGGCCGGGGGCATCCATCTGGATGAGGGCGGAAACTTGAAACTTGGTACAAGGAGAACGGAACCGGCCGGCGCTCCGTGTACGGTGGCGAGAGTGATTCTAGGATCTGGCTGGCTTCGGCCCAAGGGGCTGTAGTAAGACGTCCTCCCTTGGCGCTCTTTGTTCCATTCCCTCATGGTGTTCTCGCGACGGGGAAGCCATCTCGCGAACTCAGCAGCGAGTGAGCCCTTGGGTGGTCTCCGTCTCCGGGATGGCCAGTGCGGGGGGGGGGGGGGCGGGGGTGGAGAATCCATCGATTCGGAACTTACCAACAGCAATCATCAGCAGCTTGCGCGGGCGCACCATGTTGACGACGCGTTCCGTGTACTTGAAAATCTCAATCATCATCTCCTCCTCGTCCTTGGGCGCGGGCCGGTCCTCCGGATGCGAACACGGATGCACAATGCCGTTCATGTCCAGGTAGAGGTTGTCGAACTCCTCGCCGTTGGGGTTCGGCCGTGTCGTGTCGACCGGTACCACCGTGCCATCTTCGAGCTCGGTCGGATTCTCCTCGACGACGGGCGAGATGATCTTGGGATACTTGGTGGATAACCACCGAAAGGCAGCCGGAATACCCATCGTGACAGCGTCGGCCTACAGATTCTCGTGAATGTCGTAAATGTCAAAGCCGCAAGCGCGCAGGTCCGTTTATCGCTATCGTTATCGAGCCGAGCCGAATCGGGGCGAAGGGAGTCGATTAGCCGGGGTTCGCTATTGACAGGCGCAGGGCCTGGTGCGGGTATCCGATGAAAAAGGTCGCCGTGTTTGCACACATGAGGCAGTCCAATGCTCGGCGTCGATGGAAGTCGGGAGCTGGTTTAGATCCGGACGAATTCAACGATTGAACCGTCGCTGGCCAGTGCGCGCGGTACTAAACAAAGAAAGGTCAAACTAAACTAAGTTTATTTCGCCCCGCAACCAGGGTGCGATAGAAGCTCGTTTCTTTGAACCGTGCCGGGCGTGTGTACTTCCGTCCCACTTCGCGATGGCAAAATCGAGAGTTGCCTGAAAAGGGAAAAAAACGTGGTTTGCGACAAGAGCTGCGCGTTTCGTGGTTTGGGGCATGATTTGCCGGGGCAGTCTTGGCGGGTGTAAAAGTGGGGACGCGATGTCTGAGGACGGATTACCTAATTCTAATCGTATTCTACGTACGACTCCGTATGTAATAATACATTAAACATTCCAGGTTGGCCGCCAACAATTCGCCATGTTATAACTACCTAAAGATGCATGAGCTTGGAGAAACACCAGACGCGGCGCATGTTAGATCTCCCAAGCCCCAACCCTAACCCTAGGATTCCGCGATGCACCTGCTTGGCAATGGACTTAGAAAAGTTGCTGCGCTCTCAACACGACAGTCCGAGGCCGGTATACCAGCAATACAGGGAAATACCCCTCTAAAAGACCTGGACGTATATACTCGATAAGGGCGGACACGTAAACAACGTTTCCCTACTCATTTCCCTCCCATTTCCGCGCTGCCGCTCCGTTTTAGGCGCCTGCTCGACTTCTAAACTCGAGATTTGGCCGAGTGGTCGAAGGCGCTGTGTAATGGGACAGGGGTATGAGCGGCACGTATTACCCTAACCCTTGCCCGACCAACACCACACCATCCGGGTAACGAACTCCCAACGGCCATGCATCGTGGTCCGATCCACCTCCAATCCCACCATTGCCGGAGCTTCAGGGTTGCAGCGTCCACTTGTCCACACCGACGCCTTGCTTCTGCATGGCAAGACGATACCGGAACATTGAGTGCGAATAACTAAAGGCTCAAAGGGGGCCAAGACTTTTTGTTGATTTCTGTCCTTTTGTCTCGCTTCTGTCTTTCCCTTTCCTTTTCACCTCTCAACCCCTCGACCCCTCGACGACCCAACAACACGACGAGAAACAACCCCCCGCCGAGCGACCCTCCGCGACAGCAAGCCCCCGACAGACAAAAGAATGCTCCTCCATGGCAGCTAGTAACGCACGACATCCCTTTCCTTGCCCGCCATGTTCTCGACCATCACGACCGCGCCGGCCAAGCAGTCGGTGAGCGACACGATCCCCGTGCTCAGCGGCCGCCTGAGCACCGCAACGCTGCTTGAGGACCGCCGCGCCGCCATCCTCGGCCTGCGCAGCTTCGCAAAACAGTACCCGGCCTCGGTCGCCTCGGGCGCCCTGCGCAGCCTGATCGGCAGCCTGAGCCGCGATGGCGAGGACGTCGACACCGTCAAGGTCGCGCTCGAGACCTTGCTGATGCTGTTCAGCCCGGATCCGGATAGCCCCGAGGCGTCGGAGGAGATCGCGCTGTGGGTGGCCGACGAGTTCACACAGCGGCATGAGAACATTGCGCTGCTGCTGGGGTTCCTGGCGAAAGATAGGACGGATTTCTATGCACGGCTGTACTCGCTGCAGCTGCTGTCAGCCATCCTGTCGGCACGTACGGAGCGGACGGAGGAGTGCATCGTCAATACTAGCGACGGCATTTCCCGGATTGTAGCCGCGCTGGAGGACACCAGAGAGGCGATCCGTGACGAGGCCATCGGGCTGCTTACGGACCTGACGCCGACGTCGAATGTGGTACAGAACCTGGTAACCCTCGAACGGGGGTTTGCGCCCATCTTCGAGACCATTGCCCACGAGGGCGGGCTCTCGGGGGGCGCGCGGGTGGTCGAGGACTGTCTGATTCTGCTGGCTAACCTGCTCCGGCTGAACCCGTTGAACCAGACCATGTTCCGGGACATGGGCCATGTCGCGGGTATCAGCCAGCTTCTGAAGGATGCATACCAGGGGGGCGAAGATGGCGAGGAGGAGGTTGCGCAGTGGGTACAAGTCCAGAGGAACAGGAACGTATACGCCATGCTGGCCGTCATCCGGCTCTTGCTCGTCCCGGGTGCTTCGGGGACGGCCCTGAATCAGGAGGCATTCGTGGGTGAACTGGTGGTAGCCGGTGGACGGAACCGCGCACGAGGCGGCCCCGTGCTCGATAGCACGCTCCAGATCGCCTTCTCGCCCGCCGCCGAGTTGCCGATCAAGTCGGAAGCCCTGCTAGCCTGCGCGGACATGATCAGGGGCAACGCCGACGTCCAGGCGCGGTTCGCAGGGTTTCAGGTCCCATCACCGCTTGCTGACCCAGTTGCCAACGGGAACATCAGCCCGCAAGCCAACGGGGTACCCAAGGTGTACATCATCGACGGGCTCCTCGACCTCGTGCTGGCCGTCAACTCGCTGCCCGTGTTTGACCTGCGCATGGCCGCTTGCACGTGCCTGAGGGCTTACTTTTACAAACATGCCGAGATCCGGATGCACTTCCTCGACCATGCGGTCCGCACGCACAAGGCTCAAGCCGACGACCTCACCAACGCTCTCACCATCCTCCTCCAGCCACCAGACCCGGCCGCGGCCACGGCAGACCCGTACCGTTACTGGTTCGCCGCGGTGCTCATGCTCCACCTCGTGCACGATAATCCGGAAACCAAGGCATTGGCTATGAGCGTCACGGAGGGCGACGAGGCCAGCGGAGAGGAGGTTGTGACGAGCATACAGACCATGACGGCTCACCTAATCAGCAGCGTGGCCAAGTCAGACGACCCGCGCATCAGCATCGGCTACCTGATGTTGCTGTTGTGCTGGATGTACGAGGATCTCGAGGCGGTAAACGACTTCCTCGGCGAGTTCACCAACCTACAGGGGCTAATCCAAGCGGCGATCGAGAACCCCAACGGCGACGTGATCGTCCAGGGACTCAGTGCGATGCTAGCGGGCGTGGTGTACGAGTTCTCTACCAAAGACTCCCCCGTCCCGCGCACCAAAGTACGAGAGATGATCATGTCCCGCATGGGTCGCGACCGCTACGTCGACAAGCTCACAAGACTGCGCTCGCACCCGCTCATGCGCGACCACGAAGTCAACCCGCAGAGCCTCGAGCCCGGCCCGGACCAGAAGCTGCCGGACGTTTTTCTGGATGACACCTTTGTCGAGTTCTTCAAAGACAACTACACCCGCATCCTGCGCGCCATCGACCGCGACCCGGACGCCGAAACGTCCGTCATCACCAACGGCATCCAAAAGGGCGTCTCCCGCACGCTCGTCGACTCCCTCCGCGCCGAAGCCGCCGAAAAAACCACGGCACTACAAGAAGCACACGCCCAACACACCGCCCTCGCCGCCCAGCTAACCCAAGAACAAACCACGCACCGCCAAACCCAAGAATCCCTCTCCGCCGAACTCGCCCGCGCCAACGAAACCGCTACCGCACTGCGCCAACAACTCACCGCCCGCGACGGCTCCCTCCATTCCGCCGAAGCCACCCACACCAACCTAACCCGCCAGCTCGCCCACGAACAACAAGAACACCAGCGCACACGCGCCGAGATCGCCCGACTCAAAGCCCACGCCGACGCACTCCAACGCAGCCACACGCAAGAAACCACCACGCTGCAGAGCCAGCTACGCGCAGCCCGCGACGACACCCCACGGCAACTCGATGCCGCGCGGCGCCAGGCCGAACAGGAAGCTGAACGGGCGCGGCGGCGGGCAGACGCGGAAAAAGCCGATTTGCGCGCGACCATCAGTCGGCTGGAGGTGGATCTCATGAAAACCAGCAAGGCGCGGGCGGCGGCGGAGGAGCAAGCGAACCAGTTGAAGGGTGCGCTCGCGAAGGGCGAGGAGCGGGTGGGTGAGGTGGAGAGGGTGTTGCGGGCGAAAGAGGAGGAGCTCAAGAAGGCTGGGGCGCGGGCGGTTAAGGCGGAGGGGCAGGTGGGCGACGTAGAAGGGTTGTTGGGAGACGCGGAGAAGAGGGCGAAGCTGGCGGAGGAGAAGGTGAAGCAGGTCGAGGCGAAGCTTAAACAAGCGGAGGAAAAGACAAAACAGGCCGAAGCCAAAACTAAGCAGGCAGAAGAAAAAGCCAAACAAGCCGAGAAGAAAGCAGCAGCCGCCCCCTCTGCCGGTGGCGGCAGCAGCAGCAAGGCAGTCGCTGAGAAAGACAAGGAGATCAAGACCCTCCGTGACAAAGTCAGCAAGGCGGAGAAGGCTGCGCAAGAGGCGAAGAAGCGGGCGGATGAAAAGGAGGCGGAGCGGAAGAGTGCACAGAGCGACCTGGATGACTTGCTGGAGGTGTTTGGGGATTTGGAGGAGAAGCTTACTAAGTACAAGGTGAGTCCCCTTTTGATTGGAGTCTAGATGGGGTTGGTGTAAGTGAGGTGACTAACGCGGTGGTCACAGAAACAACTTAAAGCGCTGGGGCAGGAGGTGTCGGATGGGGAGGAAGAGGATGATGACGAGGATGAGGAGGAGGAGGAGGAGGAGGAGGATGAGGAGGAAGAGGAAGATGATGAGGAATAAGGGGGGTGGGTGATGAGGAGTGGAGTTACGTTGCCATACCGATATAAGAACACTAGAAAGGTGTCTGGGCCATAAAAGCTGGGGCTTCCATGTTTATGATGTGCATTTTTAGCGGGACATGAAAATAAATACCAAGGTTAGATGGATGTGTGTCGGATGCGATATGAAACAATTTGAAGCGGGCTATGGGTTTACCAAGAGAAAGTGTTTTCGAGAATTATTCAAGAAACGGCGAACTAAAATCCGAGTTTACTTGACATTCGACATCCTATGGCCGTTCCTCTTTAGCCTTATCTGCTCGTCTCCAATTTCGCTCTTACGATAGAGGCACCTTACACTGTCATCTGTATTCCTGCCCCGTGTAACAACAGCTCCCCACACTTTTTATTTCAGTTCAATGTCCCAAAATGGAAAGAACCACACTCACTTTGACACATGCCGCGCCCCACTTTTCGCCGTTTTCTTTCAAAACTGCCCCTCCAAAATTTCATGCTACCCCTCCATAAGTCAACATAAAAGACTAAATCTCACAAAAACAAACCTAAAAAAACAATCCAAGACCAAAACTAAATCCAAAATGCCGCCCCTCCAACCCCCCTCCTCCACCTCCTCCCACACCTCGGACTCAGACACCGACAACAACGACGAGAACTGGCTCACCCAGCCCGGCGCCGAGGACGACGACGAAGACCGCGAGGAGTCTGTCCCTGTAGTCTCGCTGCTCGACGACCAGGCGTTTCCCGATGCTGCGTCCATGTTGGCGCACTGCCGGGAGAAGCACGGGTTTGATTTTCTTGCGGTGAGGGACGGGCTGGGGTTGGATTTTTTGGGGTGTGTAAGGTTGATTAATTTGGGTGAGTGAGTCTGTGTACGGTATACCCTCATACTGTATGTGAGGTGTGGGGGTGTGGTGGTGATGAAGGTGTGGCTGACTTGGATGGGATAGTGCGGCGGAGTACCAAGGAGGGCAAGGCGTTGCCGGAGAAGATCACGGCCGACGATCTGGCGGATGATGCGCTGTTGATTCCTGTGCTGGAGGATGATGCGTTGATATTCTGTCTGGATGACCTTCCCGGACCGGGGCAGAGTGAGCAGGTAACTGCCCCTGTCACTACCACGGCTGGAGCGGACGGTAAGGCCCCCCAGAGCGGCGACGCCCCTGCGGTGGAGGACCTCCTCGAGAAGAATGTGCAGCTGCAGGCCGAGTTAGAGCAGCTGGCAAAGCAGTTCGGCAACTACCGGGCGGCGGTCGAGCAGACGCTGGATAAGCGCTGGGGAGTGGATGAGGAGGGTAAGGATGACAAGGCTGCTCCCCCGAGTGCTGGTGCTAGTGCTGGGGCTGGTGAAAAGAAACAGCATGATGCGTCGGCATACTACTTTGAGTCGTACGACCACAACGGTATGTATCCAGCCTACACACTCTTTCCCTTTAGCAAATTGCAATACTTACACCTCCTAGACATCCACGAGACAATGATCAAAGACACGGTCCGCACCAACGCCTACCGCGACTTCATCTACGCCAACAAGCCGCTCTTCGCAGGCAAAACCGTCCTCGACATCGGGTGCGGCACCGGCATCCTATCCATGTTCTGCGCCCGCGCCGGAGCCGCCCGCGTCGTAGCCGTCGACAACAGCGCCATCCTCGACCGCGCCCGCGAGAACGTCTTCCGCAACGGCCTCGACAACATCATCACCTGCGTGCGCGGCCGCATCGAAGAAGTCACCCTCCCCATCACGCAGTTCGACATCATCGTCAGCGAGTGGATGGGCTACTGTCTCCTGTACGAAGCCATGCTCCCCAGCGTCTTCTTCGCGCGCGACCGGTACCTCGCCCCGGGGGGTCTCCTCGTACCCAGCCACGCCAGCATGTGGATCGCGCCCGTGGCGGACTCTGAGTATGTCGCCGACAATATTGACTGGTGGCGTGACGTGTACGGGTTCGACATGCAGGCGATGCAGACGGGGATCCATACCGAGACGCGCATGACGGTGATGCCGGCGTCGGCGGTCTGCGGATCGGCGCATGCTTTCCGCATGCTGGACTTGCATACAGCCAAGGTTGAGGACCTCACTTTTGAGGATCCCTGGCAGACTACCTTTTCAGGGGCCGCGGGGGAGGATGGTTCCAAGCCAAACACAGACCCAGCCGTGTTAGACGGATTCCTAGTCTGGTTCGACTGCTTCTTTGCCGAAACCCGCGAGGAAGTCGTCGAGGCGCAGCTAACCGCCAAGGAATGGGCGTCGCGCGGGACGGAACGGGTCGCGTTCACCACGGGGCCGTTTGACACCGCGACACACTGGCGGCAGGGTCTGTATCTGATCGACAAGAAGAAGCAGAAGGAGAAGAAGAAGGACAAGGCGACGGAGATTGAGGTCAGGCCGGGGACGAAGTTGGGGGGCAAGATTCGGTATGCGACGGCTGAAGGGCATGAAAGGGGGTTGGATATTCGGTTGACGTGGGGGTTGGAAGGGGAGGGGGAGGGTGAGGAGCTGGAGCAGACTTGGTTGTTGCATTAAGGGATGTAATTAACCAAGGCATGGATATGGGACAGGTACGGGATAGACAAAATTAGTGAGGCTGGAAACGTGATTATGTACGAAGTATACGGCTTAAGATGTCTATCCAACTGTGACAGCACCGTCTACATCTTCTCTAACAACCCATTTTCAAGTACAGCGCTCCTTCATGCTCTTAACATGCTACGACAGATGCGGAACGCCAACGCTCTCCATGATCAAGCAGACAATACTCAAAAAGCCCTCGCCCAGAATGAAGCCCTGTGTTTGTCTGTTAGTAAACCCATCGCAAATAATACAAGACGGAAACAACAAGAAGAAAACTAAAAAAAAAAAAAAACAAAAAAAAAACTAAAAAAAAAAATTAAAAAAAAATAAAAAAAACTCACCGAAGCCAAAACAATCAACGGCGTCCCCCCCCACCCCCTCCTCTCCCTCCACCACCAACTCAACACTCCGCCCACCGTCCTCGCCAACGTAAACGACGGCACATTATACATGCCCACAGCAACTGCAATCCCACCGGGAATCAACGAATGCCAGCGGCTCTTGGAGGCAGCCGTCTGCGTGCGCACAGCAGTGGTGACGGCGAAGAGGACGGCCGCGCCGAGAGCCCATTCCTTGGCCATGGGTGGGAGCCCTTGGCCGGTGACGAGGCGGGCGGTGAAGATCCAGACGTAGCCGGTGGGGACTTGGAAGAGGTCGCCGGGGATTTGGTAGACGCTGTGCGGTATGCGGGTTAGCGGGGGGGGGGGATATGGGAAGGAAAAAAAGGGAAAGGGGGGGAACATACGCAGTATACATCCGGTAGATAAACGCGCTCACGACCGCGCCAACCGTGGCCCCAATAACTTGCCCCCAAAACTGCGCTTTCGGCGCAGCCCCAAGCAAATGGCCCGTCTTCAAGTCCTGCATCATATCCCCCGCCTGCAAGGCCCCAGCCTCCGATACCGCGCCCGCCACCAGGTTGATCAGCACGCTCGACTTGTTCGACTGCGGGATGATGAACGCAAAGAACAGTTGGGCCAGCTTGCTGATGCCCGACACCGGGTTCAGGTCGGTCTCGCCTAGCGCGCGCACGCCCATGATGCTGAGGACGAGGGCCATGAACACGGCTGTGATGGTTGCGTAGAGGGGGACGAGGTCGCCGAAGACGATGTGGATGCAGACGACGCAGAAGATGATGGATGCCGCGAGGCCGATGGCCACTAGTCGGTCGCTGACTTGTTGCTCTGGTGGTGCGTCCTCGTCGTCGTGGTCTTCGGTTTCTGGAGTGGGACCAGATGATAGCGCCGTGTTGTTGTTGTTGTTGTTGTTGTTGTTGTCGTCGTTGTCATCGTCGGTGTTAGTGGCTGAGTAACCCTCACGCGGCCGGCGTCCAAACAGGATTTTGACTGGAGCGGACTGTCGAAGCGCCGGGAGATACTGCTTGCCCGAGCGGTAGGCCAGATAGCCCAAGCTGACCACGGCATCAGCCAGCATGATAGCCAACGAGATCCACACAATCCACCCCTTGCTCCCATGCTCCCAGTCGCCCACCGGCGCCGGCGCCCACCCCTTATGCTTAGCCAGCGGCGAGAGAATCCCCCACCCGACCACAGCGCCCAGCAGCATGTGCAGTGTCGTAGCCGGGCCCATGATGATGCCCTGTCCGACGTACGCCAGACTAGGGTTGAGAGTCCAAAGCCAGGTCGACGCCGCGGCCGAGCCAAAGATCGGGAGATTGCGCAGGACAGGCACGAAGTAGGTCGCCAGGGTGGACACGCCCGAAACGAGAAAGCAAACCAGCAGCAGCCGCACATTCCGCCGCCACGACTCGCCCTGTTTCGTGCCCTCCTCCTCCTCCCCCCCGTGATCTCCATTCTCGTCACCCTGAACCTGAACCTCCTCCCCCTTCGCGGCCAAACTCGCAAACCCCTCCGACGTATCCCCCATCTCCCCTTCCCCCTTCCCCTTCCCATGCAACACACTAATCAACACCGCCGTACTAAACCCACTCGGAAACTTCAACCTCTCCCTAATAATCACCTGTCTCCTCAACGGCACCGCAAACACCACTCCAAAACAACACAACCCCAAACTCCACACCACCAACTTCCCCAACCCCAGTACCACGGGCCCTTGCTCCTCCTCCGTCAGCAAATAATTCATCGCCGGCAACACCCCCACAAATCCACACCCCAACGGCATGATCGCCATGCTGCTCGCGACGGTTTGGACGAGCACATTTTCCACGGGGGAAAAGGGCAGTTCGCCCAGGTGGGAGCGCAGTAGGCGGAAGAGACCGAAGCCCATGAGGGAGGAGGGCATGCTCATGATGCTGACCCAGCCGGTTTGTAGGCCGAAGTACATGTTGGAGAAGCAGATGATTAGGCCGACAGCTAGGCCGACGAGGATGCCGCGGAGGGTGAAGGGGGAGCCTTCGATGGGGGGGCGTTTGGAGGGGGGGGGTTGGACATTTTGAGTTGTTGATGATGATGATGATGGGTGGTTGGGTGGTGGTTGTTGGTGGTATGACGGGGTGGAGGGGGAGGAGGGGAGCAGCGGGGTGCTGGCGTCTATGGGCGGTGATTCATCCGGGGGCGCCATCGTGGGCGCGGGCGATGAGAGACGACGTGGTTTTTGAAGACGTTGATGATGCTGAACGAGTTAAGAACGATAATTAAAACAACGGTGAGACTCGGTAGGCCCAAGCCTGGTAAAGGGCAGGTTGTAGAGCACGCCGGATCCGTAAAGGCGAAAATTAAAGGAATACCCAATTTCAACTACATGGGTAGTTAGAAATCAATAATACACACCTTCACTCGAATGTGGATGTTTGGTTCAGACGAAGTTTCTTGGGTCCTGGGGAGGTTAATGTTATTAAGCTATCGGATGAATAATACAGCAGGGCGAGAGGCTGGGGCGGGCCGCTGAAATGCATGACACAGTGGTCGCTAACCCAAATAGGCAACTGTACCGTAACTCGTCTGTGTGTCTTACACTATCACCAGCTGAACGGAGGGGAAACATGCGACCTGGGGAAAAGCATGCATTCTCTTAAGTAAGGGAAGAAGCTCATCGTAAAGGAAGAGAAAGTTGACAGTATGCTGGGTTTGGAACTGGATGAACGAGTCACCACCGGGTTTTATCTCATAGCAGGCGTCCCGAGGTACCCGTCCCGAGTGCCCGGACGGCTGTAACATACCTTACCGTGCAGCTCGCACACATTGAGGAAGGCCACAGATCAGAGAATAGAAAACCCGTCGTGGGCGATGCTCCTTTATATTCTGACCTCGTAACATGATAGCCCGTTCCATCTTCCATATTTATACCGCCGCACCGCCAACTATGCAACACACAGACTAACCCACCCTTCCAAGGGCAATAAACCCAACCTTAAAGCCCCTACTTATTCCATTAGGTACCTAGTTAGAACCCAAAACTATCCAACAAAGAATTCGCATCCGGCTCCTCAAACGCCGTCGGCGGCGCCTGCTGCTTGGGCATAAGCCCGCCCGATTTCATCTCCGCCGGCACATTCTGCTGTTGTTGGCTCTGCTGTTGACTCTGCTGTTTCTCTTGTTTCTCTTCCCGAATATGGCTCAACACCGGCAAGTCGGCCACAACAAGCGACTCCCGTCGTCGTAGCAAACGAAGGGGATTGACCTCCCCGCCGAGACCGGTCGCGCCGGCCGTGACGGGCTGGAGGAATTCCCAGTTGCGGACTGGTGGTGTTAGTTAGTCACGGAAGCGATAACACGCACATTTCGACAGACATAGGAAAAGGGAACAGGGTAGGAGGAGAAGAGCATACCCAAATCCAACCCCAACAAATCACACCCCATCCGATCATACAACCGCGCGCTGTGCAGCACAAACTCCCACTCCACTTTGGGGGTGACTTTGCTTGCGCCCCGGAGTGTCTGCAGGGTCTTCTGCCGCAGCTGTGCGTACAAGATCACCAGCGCCGGGTCGTCGGTTAGGAACAGCCGCGCGCGGGGGTCTGGCGGGTCCGGTGGCGATCCGGGGGTTTCCAGGAGGGTGTACACGGGGGTCTGCCGCAGTTAGTCAGTCAGTCAATAAGCCAGTCTCTAGACCCAAAATGCCCTCTAGGTTCGGCGGTTTAAAGGAAAGAAACGCAAGATAACCCACAATCAAAGCGCGCACAGCCATATCCCTTCGGTGCAACATCCAAAACGCCCACGAAGCCAACCAGCGATTGCCCTCCCGCGCGGCAATGCTCAGCACTTCCTCCTCCAGCAGCCGGCGCAGCACGGGGCCTGAATCCCCTTCGTACACACGCGCGACAGCGATAGCTAACTGGAGGTCCTGCAGCTGGTTCAGGCACACGTTGACCGCGTCCGCGAGGTGGTCGGCTAGGAGGAAGAAGGCGGCTGCGTATTCTGGTTTTTGTGTTAGTAACTATCCATGTACGTCCAAGAGGGGGTAAATGTTGATAGAGAAGGGAGGAAATACCAAAGCGCCGCTTGCTCATCAAGGCATAGGCGTTCTTGAGCGCGGCGGTGCGCCACTTGGGATCGTCAAAGTTGTTGGCTAGCAGCCGTTGGGTAGCGCCCTGTTCGCGGTTCCAAGCCGCCATGCGCCAGAGACCTTGGAGGACCGTCTTCTTGCGCAGCGCGAGGTAGTACAGGCTGCAGTCGATTGGGTTCTTGAGGTCGCTTTTGGTGTACTCGTTGCGTGCGATGGTTTCGAACTGTGCTTTCTGTCTTGCTGTCAGTGTCCAGGCCTTATCTCTTTATGTCGACTCTGGGTGAACGCGGAGAGTTGAGAGCCAGAGAGAGAAAATACTCACCACAGCAGCATTATCCGCCAACCACATAAACACCCCGCTCTCCCGCGCATTCTCCCACAGCATCCGCCCATGATTCTGCCGCGCCACAAAGTCCGCCAGCACATCCTGACTCTCCGAATGATACGCCCAATTAATCTCGCGCCAGCCCAACTGGATAGCACTCGTGCGGCCCTTGCGCAGCGCGTGCTGGCGGAAAAACAACATGAACCGCGCGCCGTTCTCGTCCAGCGACCGCCGCTGCGCCTCGACCAGCCCCGCACACTCGATGATGTTGACCAGCTGGATCTGCTCGTGGCCCGACAGCTGGGCGATGTCGATGCGCGTGAGCTGCTGGTTGATGGCGGCTGCGATGTCCTCGGAGAAGGGCGTGCCGCCTTCGTCGTCGTAGGACATGCGTCGGGAGAGGTACTGGCCGGGGTCTTTGTGGGCGGATGTCTTGGTGGTGTGGTCGATCTCGTAGAAGTCTTCGATTTTTAGTCCCAGGTAGTCATCTAGCTCGTCTCCTTCGGCCCAGAACTTGAGCGTTTTGTACAACGCCATTAGCACAGCATGCACCAGCACAATCTTGCCGGCTAGAATGCACTGGCTCAGAAACTGTGGATGAAACACCGGCAACGGCCCGTTCAGTCTCTGCACCGCATCAAACAAATCCCACCCTTTCTCTTCACCTCCCCGTTGCCCTCGACCTTTCCCTTGCCCTAGCCCTCGTCGCGGCCGCTGAGGCAGCCTCAAACTAGTCACCAGAGCACTCCCCGCATCAAACTGTCGGTCCTGCACAAACAGCTGGTTCCCCGCGCCAATGACCAAATGCCCATCACCGAGCCAGACCGAGTCCCCTATAGGATGCGGCGTGGCATCACGGATAGAGATCTCCCGAATCGCAGCCCATGCAGGCCCCCCATTAAGATAATCAAACCGCATCTGCGAAAGCAGCAGCACGCGGTGCGGAAAACCAACAGCAAGGATCGACTGCGTGTCAGGCGTCGACGTCCAATCCAAGTCGCTGATCGTATGGTGGCCGCCGTGGGCGTGTCCGAAGTCCTGCGTGTACTCGAGCCGCGCGCCGCGGACGTCCCAGATCGTGAGCCCAGACCGCGCGGCGTTGACGAGAGCGGCCTTTTTGCGCGTGCTGCCGCTGACGAGCGAGGGGTTGGCGATGCCGGTGTGCGTGGCGCAAGTGGAGAGCCACTCGACGCCGTTGCTCGTCCCTTTTCCTTGCGTGTTCCCATTTGCGTTCGCGTTCCCATTCCCGTTCGCAGTGAGGTGGCCACCGTCCGGCTCACTAACCCGTGCAGTCCAGAACTCGACGCGGCCCGAGTGCGTGTACGAGACGGCCACATCTCGCGCAAACACGTCAAGGAAGCCCGAGATGTGCGGGGCTGCCCCGGCCGGGTCGACAGGGAGGACATACGCTAGGTCGCCCGCGTCTTCGAGCGTGAACTGCGCCGATTCTCGTATCGACGGCTGCTGGTGTTCTTGCTGCTGTTGTGGTTCCTGCGAGACCCCATTCGCGGCGGAACGTGGACGGGACGAATAGAACGGAAACTTGACCTCCCACACGACCCCCTTTTTCTCCGACGTGATCGTCGCGATATGCGCCGTGGTATAGTCCTCCACCTGCCGCCGCGGCAGCACCAGCAAACACAATGGCTTCCCAGGTACGTCGTACCGCTGCTCAGCCAGCCTCGACGGCGTTGACTGCCGACAGTCCCACAGCGAGATGGTCTCGTGCTGCAGAAACACCACAAACCGGCCGTTCCGCAGCAGACACATGCGGTGAATGTGCCCCTGCTCCGGGATCACGACCTGTTGTGTAAGTCCCGTCCGGCCCCGCGCACCCGGTTCGTGCTTCCATATGACCCCCTGCCCGTTGGCTGTCCGTGAGACGATCGCGCGGCCGCTGAAGTTGCGCACGATTTTGCGTATTGGTTCCGAGTGGCCCGTCCAGAGTGCGCGCTGGGTCACCCGGCTCTGAGACTGTTTCTGCTTCGGTTGCTTCGGTTTCGGGCTCGGGTCGAACAGGGCAGCCAGGTTGCTCCGATACACCTCGATTCGGCCGTCGAAGAAGTGCAATAGAATCTGCATGTGCTCGCCCGACTGACAGTAGCTGTACGCCTCGACGTGCGGAGGACGAAGACGACTCCCCACAGCCTGAGACGAGTAATTCCTGAGGAGATCCAACTCCTGCGACGTGACCTGCGCCACGTTGAAGATATTCGACCTCCTCCTCCCCGTCTTAGACCCCACAATCTCCAACGCCCACGCCGACATACGCCCGCGGCCATCCAGCACGATACATATCTCCGGACTCTGGTTAGCGACCGTGATCAAATGGTCCAACGCAGCCGTGTCTCCCTTCGGCCGGCCCCCGCCTTCTTGCACCGCCGTCTCGGCCGCAGCGGCCAGATCGCCCCCGTGAATGATAAACGCCCAGCGCAAATCATCACCCCCCGTGCCCGACCCCGCGTGCTCTTTCACAGCAGGAAGCGCCTTCCGCAAATCCAAAGTCTCCCACAACTGCAAGTGTTGATGCCCATGACTATTAGAACCAACCCACACCCTCAACACCTGGTCCTCGCAAAACGTATACAGCGCATTCTCAATCGTCTGGTCCACATGATGCGGCCGACGCCACTGGATCCCCGTCACGGGCCGCGGATGACGCAAGTAGAGAAAGTCAAACCGCACCTCACCCGTTCCATAACTCAGCCGCCGCCAGACCTTGACCAACCGGTCGTGCGCGCCGACAGACGCGATGTACGCCGAGTCGTACGACAGACTGGCCCGCCGCACGGGGCTGGCGAGCCTCTTGCGCCAGGAACATTCCGGTTCTGCGAGGTTGGCCGATGTTTGGTAGAGCTCGAGACTGGTGTGGGCTACGAGCAGTTCTTCGGATGTGCCCCATGAGAGGGAGATCGCGGGGGTGTCGTCGTCCTCGTCTGTTTCTTCCCCTTCATCTCCTTCCACTCCCTTTCCCCTTTTTCCCTCTTCACCTTTCCGATCCCCAACAACAAAACTACTCTGCAACCCCCACTGCAACCCTCCAAACCCACCCCCCTCATCCCCCTCCTCCTCCACCTCCTCTATCCCCGCCCTCCCCAGCTCCAGCAGCCGATACACCCTCACCACGCGCCGCGTGCACACCGCAATCTTTCCCGACGCCTCGTCCAGCGCGACAGCACACAGCGGTGCTGGGTCATCGTCGTAGACTGTTTGCAGTAGCCTGTCGGGTGGTGATGATTCGTGTTCACCGTCCCCATCATCGTTGTCGTTTTCGGGGAGCTTCGCGCTGTATCGGGGTTTCGGGGTTCGGGTCTTGGGACTTCGCCCGCCGAGGATGGCGAGGGCGTTGCCGGTGATGTAGGCCTGCTTGGTATCAAAGAGGGGTGTGTTAGCACCACCATGGGAAGGAAGGAATTGGAGAGGAAGAGAAAACCCCGTGTTGAGTGAGTGACAGCTGACGTACGGTGATCCGCTTCCCCTCCCAGCATCCCGTGGCCAGTGCCTGGAGGCGCGACTCGGGCCTGCCGGGTAGGATGGTGCGCATCCTCTTTTTTGGAGTATTCAAGGGGTGTATTGTATTATCGGGGGCGTGTTGCGTGTTCTTTGTCTCTGCGTTTCCTATCGGTACGGCGTGTCTTGCGAGGACATGGTCCGGTTTCTTTCCCTGTTGCTTCTTTTCCTGCCCTTTTCCTACCCCTATTTCCCTTGAACAGCCAGCCGTTTCTCAGTTCCGAATTTCGCCGTGCGTAGGGTTAGCGCACCGTGGATGCTTGGCGGTTATGTGTCGTCGTCCCTGTCTAGACGGGAGAGCTCCGTGTTGTTGTTGCTGCTGCGAGGAGCTGCGATGTCGCAAGCTCGGCGTTCGGGTTCGGTCGTTGCTGGGATAATTAAACAGCCTGGGGACTTGCGCGGCGTGGGGATTTGGGTGGGGGCTCAGCGGGTGCTGCGCCGTGGCGTGCCGTCTCACAGGGGATGATCAACTAACTGCACCTTCTTTCACCCGAGCTTCCAGGGGAGCTTCTTGTTCAGCAAGACGTAGGTAGACGATGCCAAAGCCGTCGATCTTCACCTCCTCCAAGAAGAAGCTCCCAATTATCGCTTGATCTAAACTAGCAAGACATAGAGAGCTCTAGCCTATCATTTCACCCATTCCCGATACACGTGCAGCGCATCAGGCGACACCCCGCGGCACCTGAGGTTCCTATGACGTCGGCCTGCCACGCGTGAGGGAGTTCTCCCCGCGAACATGAGGCCCGATAAAGCTTGGCATCCATCCATCTCTCCAGGTGCCAGGCTCAGAGCTCTTGTCAAAGGAGAGGTAACAACGCTCTATTAATGTCGTCTGCGCCTTCAAGTCTATCTACGAGTCTTACTCTCGACGTCTCTACGTAAAGCATTTCCTATAAAACCGTAATCCGTGAAGCCCTAGGTATCCCCTCTTTGAAACTCCTTGAAAAGCAAAAAGAAGGACAAAGACGATAAGCGAACCAGGTCTGTCCAAGGAAAATATCATAACCAAAGTTGGAAAGAATAAGAAATGCAAACCAGCCCGAGAAGAATGAAAGCATGCAAGAAAGAGAAAAACACAAAAAACATCAAAAACTGACACCTGCCCCAATCCCCGTCCCAACATACCAGACCGTTTCCGTCCACCTCCCCAGTCTCACCCCCACCACCGCCCTCGCATCCAGCTTCATACGCCCCCCCAACGCTTCCCGAAGCTTGCCGTACCCGACCGAGTCCATTGACCAGTCGACCGGCATCTTAGGCGTGACCGACGTGCCCGGCGGCGCAGCAAAGGGAAGATTATACTCGATCCTGCCAATGGGTTCCGTGTGGTTGTACAGCGCGGTTGCATTGATCGAGTCGATGAAGATGGTGTTGTGTGAGAGCGGAGAGACAAGTGTGAACGTGGCGGTGGAAGAGAAGATGTGGAAGGTTGCATCGCGGATGAACTGAGGAGCGGAGTTGTTTTGGTCATCGCGGTCTCCCCGATCTGGTAGACGGAGCCGGGGCGTAGGAAGCGTCAGGTTGAGACGGGAGAGCGCCTCGCCGAGACGGGGCAGGGAAGGAATGGAGCTGCGATGCGTGCGGATGGTGACCGTTGTGTTGTACCCAGAAATGTACTCTGAGAGGAGGTCGCGGGCATGCTGAGGACCTCCATCCCCGCCCAGCGACGGATTCCAAAGTGCCGAAAGTGCCAGGTTTGTGTTGTTGCCCGGTTGAACATCGAGATCCTCTGCAAACGCCTCGCCCAAAAGTGTGCCGTTATTTTCCACGTAGAAACTGACGAACGGAATATGTGCCGAATACTGTGTAGGGTTGGTGATGTTGACTAGTGTCCGAATAGATAACGAGCTGGGTGTCGTCTCGACAATCTCGACCTTTCCTACTCGAGGTGCCGCGAAACCCAAGAGGTCCTCCCCAAAAGCTACCGAGAAGCGCCATGTTAGCTCGCCCACCGAGAAGCCGACGCGTGGACGAGAACTGGGGAGAAAAGCAACGCCGAGCCCCGGCTGCGGGGAAGACTGGCGACCTGATTAAAAAGGAGACGGACGTTTTACGGGAATCTTCCCCTCAGCAGGAATTGCCTTGACTGCCAGCTTGCCAAGGATCGTTTGCACCTTGACATCGACGAGCGCCTTGACCGTGAGCATCACCTCCTTGCCGCCAAAAAGGAGGGCCTGGATCACATCGGTCATGACATCGGGGTCGGTAACCTCAAGCGGCGCATCACGGATTCGGGATCGAATCTCCAACTTGGCCTCCTTACCATGCGCCGCTGGAGTCTGGGTCGAGTTCGCATACTGCCACTTCTTCAAGTTGAGCTCACCAAGCTTCTTGCCTTTGTAAAACACATCCGAGTGGGCGCGCACGTTGTTGACATTGAGCGCAAAATTCATCTCTGACGGGAGTCCTGCAACAACAAGGATGGTTCCAGAGACCCGTGGGTTGGAACTCGGGTCATCGGGCTCAGCCCCGGGGTCCGGCATCTTAAAGTGGACGTCGGTCAGGGAGAAGCTCCGAATCAAGTTGTCGAATGAGCGCCCCGGGAATGGAACAGGCACCGTGATGCTAGAAAGGATATCCCCAATCCACTCCGGGGTGTCTGGGCCCTTCCGGCCTCGAACAAGAACCGTTGCCTTTTTGCCATGGAGGTACTTCTTGAAGAGCAAATCCAGGGGTGAAGACTTCGAGTTCGGGCAGATTTGCGTGAGCGAGGCAGGCAATTCCTTAATCAGGCCGTTGGCGTCCACAAACACGTCGGAGCGAGCCCGAACAGCGACTTGGCTGGTGGTGGCGTTGGCCAAAACGATTGGGTGACCGCCGGGATGGCAACCAGGAACCAAAACCTCAAACCCAAGTTCGGGAATATCCAGAGATATCGGGTACTTGTTGAAAGCCTTGACGGTGATTTCAGCTCCCATGCCTTTCCTAGCACCAGGAACAGGCCTCTCCTTAAAATTGACCCTCGTGATGTTGTACTTGGGCATGTGAGGCAGTTTGCCGCCTGTACAACACATCAGTGACACATTCGAAAAAGTAGACCGTGTAAGCGAGAGAGACAAGAGGGACGGAAAAGTGTATGGTATTATGATAGGTACGGGTTTAAGCAAGAGACTTCTCTCCAAGATACAGGGATGCAAAAGAGCGATAAAGATCTTGACCTTCAAATGTCAGCGAGTTCTCGATGAAGTGCGTCCCCAGCGGGATGATTCCCGCGTTGAACTGAACATCGGCTTCCCCGCGGATCTGAACGTTCTTCAGTTTCCCCTCCAGCCACTGGTTCGCAATCCTGCGGATGCCCTCGGCTTCGCCGGCGGCAAGCTCGGCGACAAAGTCCACCGGGGTGTTTTCGCCATCCACAATGCTGGCGCTCGTCGGGGGAACAACAGCGCTGCCGAGAAGGGCGTTCTTGTAATCAGGCAAGTGGAAGTTGATCTTAGTCTTCCCCGTCCCCATCTCCCGCACGATCCACGAGACCGTCTTGCCAATCCACCTGACGTGCTCGTTCTCAACCCGTTGCGCCTCCACCCGGAAGTTAAGCTGCACTCTAGCGCGGATGCCATGCGCTGTGATGGACTCGAGTGACAGATTTGTCGGCTCCAAAACGACGGCTGCTTTTGCGTACTCTTGGAGTGCAGGCGGTACAATAAAGGCGAGTACCAAAACGGCAAGCCCGGTAAACGCCAGAATAATCATGGCAATGATGGACGGCCATCGTGTCTTTCGGCGTTTGGATGATTTGGTAGAACCTCCGGTGCGGCGAGAAGCAATGGATGCCCCATCGCCAGGGTGGTCGTCATCGCCATCGTAGCGCGGTGTCCCAGACGAACTCCTAACGAGCGGCGTGGACTCGAAGTCGTCGTTGTCGTTTTCGTTTTCATGTGAATCGTGTGTGTCGTGTGTGTCGTGGTTGTTGTGGTGGTCGTGGTGGTCGTGGCTATCGTCAGCGGAAAGGAGCGGAGCCCTCTCCGAGTCGGCCATTTTGTTGGTGTGTTGTTATTGATGCACAAATAGTGATTGTCGAGAAGGAAAAATGACGACGACGGGGAGGGCGCAGAGGCAGATAACGGCCGGGAGGTAAATTAAACGGGCGGAGTTTCAGGTTGTATTCGGTAGGTGATACGCGGATCCGTCCAGCGGCAACTGATGATGAAATGCCTGCCTTGGCTCGCTTGGCATCGACAGGTCAAAGAGCCTGACTGCGGGTTGACTGTGACAGCGACTAACCACAAATGTCAGGTGACGCCAAGTTTCAAGTTTTCTCCCCAGGTCAAAACATTCTACTTTAGGTCAATTCCGTTTGGAGGAATTCGATCACACTTTCCACATCAATCGCATTATCAGCTACATTCTCCAGTCGTGTTTCCTATACGTTAATTCGATGTACGCAGTAGTTAGTTAACCATTCGCATTCCTAGCAAAGCACCAGAGCATGAAAATAGGCGTAGTTACCGTTCTGCATCCTGTGGCTTCACACAGTACCTCGATGAGTAGCGGGGTTAGGGTTCATAATACGTCGCTCTGGTATTAACCTAAAATAGAAGTTTTGAGAGCTTGACAGTTGCCGGCCCCCATGCCCCGGACTTCTGATGGCCACGACGAGCCAATTGACTATTCCCAGTTCGTCAGCCTACAGTGCCGATTCCGCACAAAGATCACAAACAAATCCAACAATTCAAGGGAACAACTTAGGCACCGAACGGACTAGCTTTCCACCAGAATTTGCGTTCTTGAGCCGGAACATATTCGAGATCATAGCACTAGTAATATCTCTTCCCTTCAATATCAATATAACTGCCCCCCTGTACCTTATCGCGTTCCGGGTTGAGGAAAAGCTCAACCGATAAGATCCTGGGCCTAGTAACTAGCTTCCTGGTGGTCCCTACCACAGTTGCGGGTTCGGCCGAGTCACCAAGGTTGTTGACTCACGGCCCAATGTGTACAAAACACACAGCTCCTTCCACCTCCGAATGACGGCCTCCCAATCTCCAATTACTCTAACTCACTCACCTGACCGGATTAAGACAAGTGGCAAGAGAAGGATCTAACCACGAGACCATCTCTAGGTTTAATCCTCAACAAAAGACTGTCTTCTACTTTTTCAGTCCTCATCTTATACTATAAGTGGCAATGTCTGCTCGTGCCGCTTCTCGCACCATCAAATCCGCCATGGCCCACCTTCAAACCCGTTCCCTCTCTAGCACCTCCCGGCCCAGGCATCTTCTCTCGATCAGCGACCTAAGCCCGGCCGAGTTCACCAAGCTCGTTCTCAATGCCTCCTCCCACAAGAATGCCGTCAAGGCCGCGTTTGCTACCGGAGAGCAGCCGCCGAAACCGCTTCATGGATCCCTAGCCGGCAAGACGGTGGCCATGATGTTCAGCAAACGCAGCACCCGGACCCGTGTCTCGACAGAAGCGGCCGTGCAATTAATGGCCGGTCACCCAATGTTCCTGGGCAAGGATGACATTCAACTCGGGGTACGTCTCTCACTCTGCCTACACACAACCAGCTCAATGGCATCCTACAAATATCAGGATACCCACTCCCTTTTGTTCTCTATAATACTAACTCACCCCCCAGGTAAACGAATCACTCTACGACACCTCCGTCGTGATCTCCTCCATGACCTCATGCATGGTCGCCCGCGTGAACGCCCACAAGGAGGTCACCGACCTGGCGCAGCACTCCTCCGTGCCCGTCATCAACGCGCTGTCAAGCGACTACCACCCGCTCCAGACCATCGCCGACTTCCAGACCATCCACGAGAACTTCCCCGGCCGCACGCCGTCCGACGCTAGCCTGGGGCTCGAGGGTCTCAAGGTCGCGTGGGTAGGCGACTCTAACAACGTGCTCTTCGACCTGGCCATCGCCTGCGTCAAGATGGGCGTTGACATCTCTGTTGCCTCGCCGCAGGGGTACGGCATCCCCGAAGCGATGCGCCAGATCATTCTCGCTGCGTCGGAGGGCGTAGCCCGCCCCGGCAAGCTCGCCGAGACGCAGGTGCCTGAGGAGGCGATTCAGAACGCGGACATCTTGGTGACTGATACCTGGGTGTCGATGGGCCAGGAAGAGGAGAGCCAGAAGCGGCTCAAGGCGTTTGCCGGCTACCAAATTACCAACGAGCTGGCGAAGCGTGGTGGGGCCAAGCCGGACTGGAAGTTCATGCACTGCCTGCCGAGGCACCCCGAGGAAGTCCACGATGAGGTCTTCTACAGCGATCGGTCGCTTGTCTTTCCCGAGGCTGAGAATCGGCTATGGGCCGCTGTCGGTATGTCCTCACATTCTTGGTGTTATTTTCCCTACCCCTTGAGTACTAACGAGGCTAACATATTACTTTTACTCACAGCTGCCCTGGAAGCATTTGTGGTTAACAAGGGCAAGATTTTGTAAAATACTTGAGCCTCATTTTTACCTTCACCGTCAAATTTTTCTAGTTCAAAATGAGTGTGCGAGCGTGAGTTTTAGGTGTTGGGTGTCAAAAAAGTGTGGTTCGGTATTGGCCAAAATTATTAGCATGGTAATTGGGAAATACCAATCAATTATTGTTCAGGACACATCCAGTCTAATTTCCCAATGATACATGACCACTGCCTTTTTTTTCTGCACAACGCCATATTTCTTCACTTCTTTATCTTAACCAGGGGGGAGCTGGCTAGCATCCACAACCTCATCAGCCTCCTTTACATGTGAGTCCTCGTCGGGCCCGTACAAAGGCGAGCGGGGCAGGGCCATAAGGCCGGTGCGAGCTGACTCGAGAATACCGAAGGGGGCAATAAGCTTGAGGAAAGAGTCTATCCTGGATGGCTTCGCGGAACTGTTTTCAAAGTACCAATCAGTTATCGGTTATTATGAGTCAGAGATGTGAGGATTGGGCTGAAATGGGCCGCAATCCCCATTTCTCCACTTACACTTCGACAATGCAGCTGTTAGTGCTGATGTCCAGGACCTTGCCGCCAAACTGGTGTGTGAAGTAGGTGATGCTCTTCAAGTGCTCGTGCTTGTGGCGCAGAGCCTCGCTGGCCACCAGCTTGCTCGGGTGGAAGTCCTTGGCCGCCTCCACGAGGCTCGAGTCCGAGATCTCCTGGCCATTCCCATTGTCCGGATCCGCCGATATCTCGCGGTGATGGGCCAGCAACTCCTCAAAGTACTCAGGGCCGAGGATGTTGATCTTGGCGAGCACCAGCTCGCGCTGCACAAGCGGCGACGCAGTGTAGTCCAGCACAGCCCAAACAGGCACAAGATCCTCCAACTGACGGCGCGCCTGCTCAACCACGCCATCCTGGCCGGTGAGGACAATGGTCATGCGCGAGAGGTCCTCGACTTCGGTGCTGCAGACGACGAGCGAATCAATGTTGAAGCCGCGCGCGGCGAGGATACCGGACACGCGCGAGAGCACACCGGGCTCGTTCTGGACGAGGCAGTTGAGGACGTGCCTCTTGGGCGGGGCGGTGGACGGCGTCGGGGTCTCGTAGAGGATGTTGGACACGGCGGCCTGGGCAGACCATGCTGGCGGTTGCTCGACGGGGAGGGGTGCTTGCCGGCGGCGGATCGCCTTGTAGGCGATGGCAGACGTAGAGCTGCTATTCCTGGCGGTGATCATGGGGGCCACTCGTGGGACATCTCGTGCCTGTGTCGCAAGCCTGCGCCAGGCCGGCGAGACAGCGAAGAGGCTGCGAGATGCCATCTTCGAAAGTCAATTGCGGGGCCGGAGGGCCAGGGTGGTCGGGGAAAAAAGATAACACCAGATGCCAGTCGTGGCCGAGGTGATGCCAATGATAAATAGAAGTAAACCCTACGTGAGTCACCTGCGACAAAGGCGAGGCGGGAGCAGGCAAAGAGGAAAGTTTTCGACCGCCTTGGAGGTCTCGTCACACCTCGGGAAGCAACGGCGCCGGTTTGTGGAGGACACCCTTGTATTGGTCAATTCCAGTCGATAAGTCGACTCCGAGGCCGGTGGGTTTGGTGGGGCCTAGGCCCTTCGTCGTGTCACCAAGTTGAGGCTTGACTAGCCACAGCAGCCACATGTCAGTTGTGCAAGTGTGGCTGACTCGGCTGGTTTTTGAAGAGTGCTCATTGGCCATATGGACAACAGGCGGTAACAGTGCGGATACGTTGGAGACATGTGTTTAACACCGTATTGGCCGAGTTGCATGCGCCCAACAGCCTTGTGGGTTCAACTTTTCTTTGGTTCTTGCAGGGTGTCGAGGGAAGTTTCCCAGTTGAAGATCTTGGTCGCTCGCAACACATCCCCGCCGATTTTGTCACGTCTGACGGTTGGTTGTACAACAAGCGCGTACACCTTTTCGCTTCTTCCTTCTACATCACATTAAATCGACCTCTGAAAGAATTGGCTTATACCGGCACGCACGCGATGGATGACAGCGAGCGCCGCAGCGTGAAGCGCTCCCGCTTCGACCAAACCGAGCCCGAGCAACCCCGACGTTCGCGCTTCGACCGCCGCTCCCGTTCACCCCCGGCGCGCCAGCCCGACTCTGGCCGCGATCGCGAACGAAGTCCCTTGTCCAAACCGCGCGATGCTCCCGGCGACTCTAAGCCAGCCATAGACCCTGCTGCGGCTGCCGGTATGTTGCCCGAACCGCACCACAGGCTAAAGTGAAGGCCGAGGAAGGGCGGTTTCTTCTTTTTTTCTTGTCACTGACGTTATCATACAGCTGCCGCCGCCGCCAGAATCAATGCCCAACTCCAGGCACGCAAGGGCATTCAGCACGTCGATGTTCCTCCCGTCCGCTCGAATTCCACAGCTGAAAACGGCGAATCTCCTGACCCTGGTGCAAGCACCATCAATGGGGAGGTTTATGTGTCAGATGGCGATTATATCAAGGACATCGAGGTCAACGACTTACGCAACCGATACCTTCTCACTAAGTCGTCGACACAGAAAATGGTAATTACTTCTTGGCTGTCAAACTGATTTATCATCAGCTCTCCATCGTCGTGGCCTCCACGGCAATTTGTGCGGGACAGTCTTGCTTACTCGAAGCCTGATAGTTCGCACAGGCACACACTCTTTTGCATCTGCTGACCTCGGCTACCTGATCTAGATTAAAGATGAAACTGGTGCTGGTACGCCCGCCTTGAACCTTCAAACCGTTGTTAGAGAGCGCCGATTGACTAGTTGACTTTCCAAAAGATGTTACCACACGCGGAAGCTATTTGCCGGACAAGAACATGGCAACTCCCTCGGTACGTTGAGTCTGCGAATTGGCGATTCGGGGCTAGGACTGATCCTCATCTACAGAACCCACCCCTCTACCTCCATGTTACTAGCACAACAAAGGAGGGTTTGGACAAGGCCGTGGCCAAGATTGAGGACATGATGAAGCAGGAACTTCCCCAGCTTGTTGATGAGCGGCGCTTCCGGCGTCGTGACCAAGAGCAGCAGCCGCCGGTGGAGCGCGATGAGTTTGGTCGGGTAAGTCACGGACTGGTTGCGCCATTCGGATCCCGTTTTCTAACCGCAAGCAGCGCAAATGGCCTGAGGAAAAGATTCCGATTACCCTTGAGCCAGTCTACGGCTTTAACCTTCGTGCCCAAGTTGTGGGACACGGCGGCGCGTATGTCAAGCACATCCAGCAAGAGACCGGCTGTCGTGTACAGATCAAGGGGCGTGGTTCCGGTTACATGGAAGCTTCGACTGGCCGCGAGAGCGACGAGGACATGTTCCTTCACGTTGCGTAAGTTGGGTTTGCTCAAGCTGCGCTATGTCTGCTAACAAGATGCAGGGGCCCGGATCCTAAGATGGTAGAGAAAGCCAAGGAACTCTGTGAGGACCTTCTCGGCAACGTCAAGGAGCAGTACGAAGAGTTCAAGAGCCGCCCACCCCGTCACCACGGGCATGGTGGTGGCCAGGGCGGTGGTTATGGCGGCGGTGGTGGAGGCGGTGGTGGAGGATACGGTGGCCGCGGTGGGGGTGACTCGTACCAGGGCTATAACAGGGACGGCCACCAGCACAACAACAACAACCACAGCCATAGCCACAGCTATAGCAACTCCCCGGCTCCTGGCCCTGCCACGGCATCTGCTACTCCGCCCGCTGCGGCCAACACCCCAACGTCGGCTGCCGACTACGCTGCTCAGTACGCCCAGTACTACGGCACTACCGATCCGTATGCGGCCTACGGAGGTTATCAGGCGTACGTCCAGATGTACCAGCAATGGGTGGCCGCCCAGTCCGGCCAGGCGAGCGCGGCCCCAGGGGTTCCCGGTGCTCCCGGGGTTCCAGGTGCTCCAGGAGTTCCGGGTGCTCCGGGTGCTGCGGGCGCTTCCGCATCTCCGCCGCCTCCTCCCCCGACCGAGGCCGCTCCTCCTCCTCCTCCGCCTTCTGCTGCGCCGCCGCCGCCGCCGCCTGGACCCCCCGGCGCTTCTGGGTACAACTCGGTAGGTACAGTGTTCATCTCGTTCAGGTTCCTTAGCTAACCAACATCGTACAGGCTCCCCCGCCCCCTGGGCTGTAAGCTCTCAATAACCCTGCGTTGTTGTATTTAACGCCTCACTTTTTAGATGGTGATACCCTCTCGTTCATTTAACGACGGAATTTGCAGAGCATCTAGAAAGTATGTGGAGCAGCAAGGGGGAACGCAAAAGGGCGGGTTTGCCTTGAAAAGCTTTTGCCGTTGCATTAGCGTTGCGCGAGAAAGTATGTCTCTCGGTTCAACGTTGCGTTAATGAGTTTGTCTCGTCTCGGATAACACCTTTATTTAGTTATGCAAGACGCGGCGTCCTGTGGAGGTAGGGAGTATTTGTTTAAGAATGTACTGTTGACAGCAGAGAAAACCCCCTGATTCTGTGTTCTGACCGTGATTAGCTCTCAGCTGATACTTGCCCCATACAAGACGGGTTTCCCAGCGTGAATGGTCAATTAAAAAAATTTTTGTTTATCGGGATCTCGAGGAGCATTGGTGCATACTATTTCAAAAGAATCTGGTGCCTTTGTTTCAGTACCTCAAACGGGATGACCTAAGATAGCTGGCAGAATAACATTCCATGTATGTACATATGTACATGCTGAGATATGCTGTGTTGGCCCCTGCGTTGAGCACCCCACTGCTGTGCATGAGTGAAAGACGTCCGTGCTTGATACCACCACAGCGCAAGAGCGCCTAGAAACTTGGTGGGGTATACCCAGGAGCTCCCCCAACCATCCGTGCATCACCACCATGGTAGCCCACCATGAGCCATCAACGATACCCATCCCATGATGCGGTCAAGGAACCACACGCCGTATCGCTGAAGGTCCTGCGGTAAGATCAAATACACCACCCTCCACCATGTATTCTCCTCTAGAAGCGCCGAATCTAATTCAAGCAATCACAGCCTCTCTCGACCGTCTCTCGTCGCCCAATACCCCCTCCAACCCCCCTTCTCCGCGGCCCCCGACACGCTCTCCCACCCACCCCCTCTCGCGGCCTCTCTCGCATACAGCCCCAATGGCGTCCATAGCAGCGTCGCGGGCGAAGCCGACAGCGGCCGGGCCTCCGTCCCGACAAACCCGACCCCCTTCGTCCTAAGCCCAATCCTCAACCTTCCCCCCTCCTTCGGCTCCGCATACGTCGGCGAGACATTCAGCTGCACACTCTGTGCCAACTACGACATCCCCCCAGAAGTCGCAACAAACACACCAGTCCCAGGCCCACGCGGAGGTAAAAAGACCATCCGTGACGTGCGCATCGAAGCCGAGATGAAAACCCCCTCCTCCACCCAAACCTCCGGCGCCGCCACCAAACTCGTCCTCGGCCCATCCCCCCCATCCCCATCCCCATCCCAATCTACCTCTACATCTCCATCGACATCCACCGACCCAGACCCAGCAACCGACCTAACCCCAGGCACCACCCTCCAAAAGATCCTCTCCTTCGACCTCAAAGAAGAAGGCAGCCACGTGCTAGCTGTGACAGTATCCTACTACGAAGCCACCGAGCTATCAGGCCGCACACGTACTTTCCGCAAGCTGTACCAGTTCGTGTGCAAGCCGTCGCTGATTGTGCGGACTAAGCCTGGGGTGTTGAGGGCCGCCTCCTCAGCGGCCTCAGCGGCAGCGGCTGCCGGGACGGGTACGGGTACGGAGGCTGGCGGGGGGGTGGTGGTGAGGAGGCGGTGGGTGCTGGAGGCGCAGTTGGAGAATTGTAGTGAGGAGGGGATTATGTTGGAGAAGGTGGGGTTGGATTTGGATGAGGGGTTGGGGTATCAGGATTGTAATTGGGATTGGGAGGAGGGAAAGGGAGAGGAGGAGGGGGGGCAGGGGGTCGAGGGGAGAAGCGGAAGTGGGGGGCGGCCGGTGTTGCAGCCGGGGGAGACGGAGCAGGTTTGTTTTGTTATTGAGGAGGAGGAGGCTGGTGGTGTGAAGGAGGTGGAGGGACGGGTGGTGTTTGGGATATTGCAGATTGGATGGCGGAGTGAGATGGGGAATCGAGGGTTCTTGTCGACGGGGAGATTGGGGACGCGGCTGGTCAACCCGCGGTAAGGGATTCAGGGGCTAGACGTGATAGTTGGAGCTAGGATTTTGAAGATGAAAATATCCCAAGAAATAATGGGGTTTGAGATCTGAAGAAGTAGAGGTTGTCCGGTGGATTATACTAGCTACGGCGGTTTGTAGGCGAATGAACGGACTCATCATCTTACACTCATAAGAATAAAAAGTATTTTAGCAGAGTTGAACCGTTGTTATCTTTCATGAACCTATCATCAGAAAATCTCCATTGCCAATACAAGATTTGACAGTAATCAAGGGTACCGACGTCGCACATTGAGACCTCGAGATACTCAATCGACGCCAACTTCAGCCCCTGGCCCTTCGCATCTACGGTGTTACAAGCAGTCTGTACCCGAGGGTTCGGGCCGGGTGCTAGCCGACTGGCCCGGCGTTTATGCCGCGTTATATCACCTGGTCTATGATATAATACACGAGATCCGATTTGCGATTACACAAGTTTCGGATAAAACGCAAATCCGTTGCTCATGATCATGCCTCGGTTGTCAGCACATGTCATACCACACCACAGCTTTAACACTGGGGTGTTTAGCACATAAATGGAGCAAACAGGACCGACTGTTTCGTCAATGTTCCACTCGGCCCGCAAGTAGGAGATCGGGGTTTGTTCCCATGGGCCCCTAAAACCGTGGACGGTGGACCAGCGTAGTGTAAGTGGAACCCTAGCACGGCGGTATCCCGTCGTCGATCATCTCACTAACTTAATCTCCGTTACGACGCTATAGTCCCCTTTAATATGTATTCAGGGTCTCTGTCTCCCAAACGCGCTAGACAAGAATGCGTGAGTATTTTCGGTTGGATTGACGTTCGGGTTTCGGGTGGGGGAGGGGGTCCGAGAACAACGCCCTAGCGCACGTGTCCGTCCCACGATTGTACGCAGGAATAGGCCCATAATACCGGCCGAGTAAGACAAGCAACGCCAGCCGCACAGCACGATAGGCGAACCAGATAGCTGGGAGGGAGGCCCGAGTTACGCTCCCGCTGAAGACGCTGCCTAGCCGCGTTTTCCAGATGAGGTACCTTGTTTCCGCCCAATTTGTCACTGCATGCCGTCTCTGAGTTAATTTTCGGATCCTATTAGCCAAGTCGCTGTTGTGCTACGCCCGGAGATGCCTCGAAACAAACCCATGGTCCGGATTTGGCCAGGGTGAAAGGGGAGGCCGAACATGGAGGGGCTAGAGAAGCAAGTACTTGAAAGAAAAAGGGAGAATAGAGAAAAAAGAGACGGACGGCTGAGACTGTTGTGTGTTTGCCCATGGTTTCGAGTTCTCGGAATTACCTATTTGGGACACTTCCGGCCTTTGGTTGGTTCGCATACCAATCAGCCGGGCAGCTGTCCACAGTTCCCGTCACCATGTGGGACTCGCCTCGGGTCCCGTTTGGCGTTTTTGGGCGTGCAAAGTACAAAATACGGCTGTATCGGCCGCGCGGGTGATTTCGGCTGTTATATTTCTTCTTGATAGCCTCTCTCGAAGATCGTCCGTGAGTCCGTGACGTCTTGTGGGAAATAGCAGGGGTGACCGATCGTCGCTTGGATGCAATCATCCTCCAGGGTCAAGGGCCCTGGAGATCGTCCGGGTCACGAAAGGCTAGGCGCTCTCTCTGGCCCATGCACCTCAGGTAGCGGTCTTCTTTGTCCGGCTTGAAAAAGGCCCTGTGTTTTGCCGAGGAAAGTTGCATCACCACGGGCTTGTCTGGGGACTGATCGTCGAGAAAGACGCTGCGGTGTGACTCTCAGAGACTAGTGACGGGCTTCGGCTCTGCTGAAGATGTCGGCACCTTTCCTGAGTCGTCGGTGAAGCTGAAGAGGTGAAACACAACCGACTGCGACTGTGCCATTACCTAGTGTAGTTATGGAGTGTACTTCGTAGTTACTGTAGTTATGTACACGTGCAGTTGGAACATATGCTTGCCGTGAGTACCACTCTGGCCCGTCCCGCTGGGGCTTCCATGATGCCTTTGTTGGATGGTCGTCGCGCGCTTCGGCTGGTTGAATTGAGAAAAGGGAGAAATGGCGGTGGGCGCTCCCTGCGGTTTGGCGGCAGCGAACTACATCGTATCTGCGTCCACCCATGCCCATTCTGGGCTTCTCATGGCAGTTCCCGACGAGAAATCCGGAATATCAGGTGTGATGTGAGGCTGCTGGCCCTTGAAATGTCGTCACCTGGCCTGGTTTTGGCCTAGTTGCTACTCGCCATGAGAGACAATTAAAGACAACAAACGGCGTGAAGCGGCCGGATAGGTGGCCTTGCCGTTGCCGTTAGTTAGGGGCGGGAACCACAACTAGCTGCAGGTTTCCAGGGGTTGGACTCGGAGTCAAACACTTGTCAACAAAAGGCACCTATGGGATGCACGCAACTGCGATAGACACCAGGAAGTTCCCCTGCGGTTCCTCGGCTGCGGGCACGAGGCGTCGAAGATGGCGTGGCCCAGAAGGAGGACCACGATCCATGACCCAGCAGTGCGGATGCGGCCATCAGAACAGGGGGGTGTTGTGGAAGTGCGGTGGCCGGCCTTCCAATGAGGGCTCCGGACGTCGTTTCCCTCCCCAGAGCGATGCAGTGAGCCGGACGCGTCAACTTGTTGATGACACGAGGCTCACGCGAATCGCTCGCAGAACGGAAAGAGCCAGAACCAGATCTGTCCGAGAACGAGGGGACGGCAGTGTCCAGAACGGGTTCCATTGTGAGCACTGAGAACTGTGTTACTGTGTTGATGAGGAAGGCGCCCCGGAGTCAGCCGGCAGCTCCGATTCTTCCATTGCCCAACTTGCCATTTGATCGGCAGGTGCGAGTCCCCGTTTCGGACTTTTGGGGTGTCCCTGGATCACCCCCCGGACACCCTCCACACAATGATGTCGGGGCGATTGTGGTCCGGAAGCGCCTCCTCGTGTTGGTGGGGGACCTAAGATTCGAAGACGATGAAGAAATTAGGCGGTTATTTTCATACTCAGAGGGTTCCTGGGCTCGGAGACGGCATCGCGGTTCTTCTCCTCCGTGGCCCAGTAACTCCAGATTTGAAAACTGCAGGAAACAACCAATGGCGCGTGCAGACAGCCCAAACACCACGAACCTGACGTGCAGCAACCCGGTGGGGGGCGATTCCCTCAGATGCGGACGGTCTCGACAGCAGCCATCCTCCGCCCACCAGGAAACCGTGTGGCTCCGCAGATCGACCCACTAACTAAGTGAGGTCCACTGTAAAAGGAGAAGAGGGGCAAGACAATGGAAAGGAGACGAGTGCTGTGTATCCGTACTGCTTCAAGCCGGCTCAGAATAGATTTTGAAGTTGGAAATATAAAAACCGGCGGGTTTGTTCCTCGGTTCTCGTATGGCAGTCTCGAAAAGGGGCCTCTTTGCAGTGGAAAACGTTCTGGACTGGCAAAGATTGCACCTTGCAACTTGCCAGATTGGTGCGCGTGCATAAACATGACCACGGGGCGGCTGGGGCCAGCAACGAGGCTAAGGATGCAGGGGCATGAGACCTCCTGCAGCTCAATTACAGGGGTTATGGTTAGGCCTAAATGCAGAATGCAGATGCACCAGGCACGGCAGGGAATCCAACCATCCATGGAATGGGACGAGAAGCCAGAAAAAAATAATTGAGATATCTCCCACAACCCGAACTCAACTCCAACAGGTCCATCCCAGCAGGATATCTCCCGGCCCGTTGCGAATCTGTGACCGGGACGGACGCCTGTCCTGATTCAAGAGGAAGAGGCAAGCTTCAGCAGCCGGGCAGCGTGCCCATTTTTTTCCTCATTACTCTCGCACACTTTCGGCTCGGTTGGTCGTTGATCGGTGGCCCCGACTTCCTGTTCCTATTCACTTCTCCTGTTTCTGTTTCTGGGACACCCGATTCTGTTCCTCGTGCCTGATCGACCCGGTGCTTTCCTCCGTTCAACTCACAATTACCCGTATTTTTACTCCCACCACCCGATCATTTTTTTCGCCTAATCTTGGTTTCCGGGTTGGACGCTGTCAGTTGCTCGCACCCCGCGATTCAAGTTGCACATTCCGCAGGCGGGGCCATTTATTTCGGGCTCTCATCCCGTCACGGTCGGCCTCGGGGAACCTCGATTACTTGACCGCCACCGGCTTCCATTCCGTGTTGCGGACCGACCGGCACGAGCCTCCCGAACTTTCTGCCCGCCGGGCCACGAAAACTACTCGGTTCACAACTCAACCCCGAAATCTGACCCACGAACCGAACCGACGGAAGCGGGACGAATTGGACGCAAAATAAAAGGCCCCTGGAAACACAACAGAAACGCAAATAACACTGCGGCCGTTCTGGAAGGTCATGTATCATGGCTAGCCCTTCCGCACCGCTCGCCGATTATTTCTGGATTGCGGGCATCGAGCATATCGCCTACGATGATCTTCTAGGGCCACAGCAGCCCCAGCAACTCGACGATACTATCGCCGAAGATGGGGAGGGGGAGAGAGAGGGCGAGGGTGAGGGGGAGAACGACGGCGAGGTGGATGGGGAAGGGGAAAAGGAGGGGGAAGATACCGACAGCATAGTAGCGACACCGGTGCGTAGAATGGCTCGGCATTCCCGCCAAAATTCGGGCAACACCAACCGATTGTCCACTCTCTCCAAGCTTTCTTTGTCGCCATCCCTCTCTGGCGGCGAGGGCCGCGTGCTGGAGGATATTGACGGCAACACGAGGAGCAACCGGAGTAGCGCCACCATCCGTCCCCTAGCACCGCCCAATTTCAACGCTGGTGCCCCCAATGAGAACACCATACCGGAGATCAACGGTTTGGGCGGCGGAGAAGGGATTGGGTTCGATGGTTTCCCTGCCGATTTTGACTTCGACGAGGCCCTCCTCAAGTTCGCTGCGGAGAGGGAAAACTTCTTGGACGACCTTAGTTTCAGCGCCGGGGCTAAGATCCACACCCGGCCTCCTATGGTCAACCCGAGAACGGGCAAGCTCAAGGCTGAAGATGCCGACGCGAGCGGGAGGAAGAGCCCTCTCAGGAGCATCCGTGGCAGCATCCGACGCAAGATGAGTTTTAGGGACATGAACAGCGTCAGGAAGCAGCCCATGCCCCCAAGAGCAGGTACGTGCATTTCTGTCCGTTTGTTTCGTTTGGGTATTCGCGAGGCAATGGCACCGATCACTAACTCTTTCACCCATCTTGCAGCCTCAGTTCGCACGGCGAAACGCCTCAGCAACTACAATTCCGTCATCCCACCCCCTGAACCGCTGAACCTCGACCCCGATATGCACCCGCTTAAGAGGCGGTTCGAGCCGGTCCTACTCGACAGGTACCCGCAACGAGATGCTTCGGCAGACGAGCTGGCGAGAAGGGGCAAGTTTCCGGACTACGTACCCATGTTCGCCTTCCCCAACGACATCCATATCGTATCCTCGGACGAGCGCCCCCGATCGACGTGGCACGGCTTTACCATGACCTCGGACGACAACTCCAAGATCTACGGCATCACCATCATTGTCTGGACGGCGTTGGATGCGGAAGTGGCTGAGGAGGTTGAAAAGCGATGCGAGCTGTGGCGACAACGACACATGAGCAACGAGGAAAGGGAACTCGCTGCCAGTCTGGGAGGCCGCCTAGCCGCTGACCGCGCACACCTCTCGCAGCTCCTGGCGAAACTGGGCACTGTCCCATCCGGCTCGGCAGCTCGAGACGCGATTGACGAGGAGATCAGTGCGGTGGAGGAAAAGATCGCGCTCATGACGGAGATGCTGCGGCCTTTGAGACACGGCGCGGCGTCCAAGATTGACGGACTTACAGCGGGCGAGACCGGGCTGTGGACACCGAGGGCGTTTGGCATTCTCGGCCGAGACCCGTCCAAGATGGGATTCTGGAAGGAGTGGCTGCGGGCCATTGCCGTGCCCATGACTGACGGCGCGGTGCTGCGGATCTCCCCGAGCTCACCCAAGGTTGGCCGATGGCAGCCCCTGGAACGCTATGTGGTCAACCTCTGCACCGAGGCTTTCAGCCCACTGAGCTCCCTGACTCAGGTCGAGCTAGGCGTACGAGAGCTGCGGCTGTACGCGCGCAAGGAAGCGGTCAATGAGATACCCGGGTCACGGACCATCGACATCTACGCGCTCTTCCGTTGCTTGTCGCTCGAGAACATTGTCCTCCTATTCGAGTACGCCATGTCTGAAGCGCGCATTATTTTCCTCTCCTCACACACCGGCATGTTGCACCTAGCGTGTCATGCGCTAGCAAACCTGCTCTACCCGCTCAAGTGGGCAAGCATCTTTATCCCGGTGTTGCCTGCTCGGCTCATCTCGGCCCTTGAAGCGCCATGCCCGTACATTGTCGGCGTGGAGAGGCGATACGAGAAGATTGAACTCCCCGACGACGACTACGTGCTCGTGGACCTTGACAAGGACGTCATTGACGCCTCGGCGCGCCCCATCAGCTTACCACGGCAACACCGGCGGAAACTGCTCTCGTTGCTCCAGGTATCAGCCCCGCACCGACTTCGATATGGGGTCACCGCGGGCCCCCCACCATATGCCGTGGAAGCATTCCCTTACGACGCCTTCTCCGCCGAGAGCGAGGCCATATTCAACCCGCTCGCCACCAAGAGCTCGCTGGGCAAGTGGGTGACACAAAACTCGACCACATTCGGCGAGGCAGATCCGCCTAACTCGGCCCGGACGCCGATTTTCAACGCCTTTGCCAAAGCGAAGCTCGACCCGAACAGGATGGAACGGCCGACGACGTCCAAGTCGAGCAAGGGGAGCCCCCCGTCGTCGGTCTCGCCGGTGTCGATGAATTTCCCGCCCATGCCGACGACGCCCGTGTCGAGGAGCGATTCCGGGTTCGCGCAAACCCTCCGCGAGAAGCGGTCGGGCCACTTCGACGATAAGTCTAGGAGGAGCTCGTCCTTTGGCGGCGACCGTCACCACCCGCCCATGCACCGCCCGAGTCTCCCTTTCCTGAACGGGCACAGCCAGAACCTGTCGATATCCGCCATCTCGGTCGACTCGCAGTCGTCATTCGGGGGCTACGCGCCCTCGACGTACGCGCAGTCCACCATTGCCGCCTCGACCATCATGCCTAATATGACCGTCCAGCCGGTCAAGAACACAGAGAACACTGTCTGGGTCGAGGGCCACTGCTTTAACTGGACGCCTGCTGAGCTCAACTCGACATGCACGATCTGCGAGGACCGGTCGGAGGGCGACGGGTTGTACAAGTGTACCGGGTGTGGCTCTCTGGCGCACAACCGGTGTCTCGGCTTCGTGTCACTGGTCTGCCCAGAAGCCTTCCACCCGGACCGTGTCCGCGCTGCGTTTGTGCGTTGCCTAGCGAGTCTTCTGTACACTTACCGCAAGCACCTCGGCCGCCCGACTCGCGAGCAAAAAGCGAACGGCCAAGCCTACTCGTTTGATATGGATGCTTTTATCCGCAGCCTGCCCTACGATCAGCAGGAGTACGCCACCATGATGCGGGACACTCAAGGTACGTTCTAACCTTAGCCCCGACTTATCTCTCAACTACATGTTACAGACCCAACTGACCGTTTTCTTCTCCCTTGTCCAGCATTCAACGAGTTCATCCACGAACGCGAGCGCACGCCCGCCTCCGACCCGGCCATCCGCCTCTTCGACGAGATCATCCTCGCCAAAAAGGCCCGCGGCCGCCCAGTCTTCTCCGCCGGCCTCTCCCGTCTCTCCACCCTCCGCGGCGGTTCCGGCGGAGGAGGCGGCTTCACCAACCCGGCGGCCGCCGCAGCCGCAGCCGCCAGCCGTGCAGCCAGGATCCCCGGCTTCCTGTCCGACGCGACCGACCATATCTGGCGCACGGCGTCCGTGCCGATGCCATCGGCCGCCAAGTTCCAGGGCGATTATCGCAGCGTGGTGACGCGGGTGCCGCTGCGTTTGGACCCGGCGCTGATGCGCGAGCCGAGGACGATTCAGGGCGTACCGAGGCCGAGTGAACAGAAGAAGGTCAAGGGGTTGGTGCGGAAGCAGGTTGCGAGTATGTTGGGCCCGCCGGCGGGATTTCGGGCGCCGGAGTAGAGACTGTCTCTCTCTCTCTATGTGGGTAATAAACAAAAGAAGAGAAGAAGAAGAAGGTGAAGGGGAAGAAAGAATGTGGCGTTTTAAGCGAAAGGTTGGACAACGCTGGAATCATGGGGTCGCGTCAAGCAAAAGAGTTGCTGGTAAACCCGAGACAGGGTTAGGGTCAGAGTCAGGCCAGAGAGGCTAGACCAACCGTGTAATACGTGTTTTGTTGTGTTGTACGATAAGACATCTTTTTTTGTAATCTCTCCCTCTGTCTCTGTCTCCCTCTCTCTACGGTTTCTTTCTTTCTTGTTCTCTCCGGGGAGTGTTTTGTTTTCACCACCCTTTCCTCTCGGCTGCTACACTGCGAACAGGGAGGAACGGAGAGGAAATGAAGGAAGAAACATAGAGAAGAAGAGGAAAGGGGGCTGGCAAGCATAGGTCCTCGGTGGATGGGTTATTTCCTTTGCTTTGGCTTTTGTGTTTTGTCTTTGGCTTGGTTGGTTGGATGGATGGAAGGACGGGGTGGGCTAGGATGGCTGGCATAGGACTGGAAGGGGGGGAGGATCAGGACCATCACATACATACATAAAGGGGATACAGTTTGTCGTGTCTTATTGTTGTACAGGTAATTTACTGAGTATTAGCATCGAGTTTATGGTTTGTTGTTGTCCTTGACTTGTTGGTTATTTCTGTCTGTTAGTTTGAGGGCCGGAGAGTGTACCGTTAAGAGGGGACGGTTTAGCAACGTATGCGTCAGTAGCATCAGGGTAACAGGCCCCAGGGTTTATTAAAGAGCCAATGTGAGGATTATATCGGGTTTCCGAGACCTCTTAATCAAGCGTAGGAAACGAAAGTGGGTGTGCTCGGCAACTTTGGCAACGCTGAGCGCCAGATAGGAATGCTACACATTGATTCCTTACAGCTAACGCGCGGAGGGGAACCTCCTGGTATCATATCAACATAGTTGTCACACAAATAAATCCCTTTAGTAATCCTACGCCTATCCATGCGAACTGCCTTGCCAGGCCGGCCGCTGCCCAAAACGCCGCCCAAAAGTTAACCGAATATAAAAGTTTGTCAGAAGTAGCACCATTCATCCGCCCGCAAAAAGCAAACAATCCTCTTATACTCTGTGATCTCTATGAGCCCGTCATCCCCTTCCCCTTCCCTTTTCCCTGATCACCCCCGTCGCCCCCATCTTTCCTGGGAACATCGTACTTGGGCATCTTCTCATACGCATTTGGGCTCGGCTGGCGATTCGGCCGCCTCTTGCTGCCTTCACCTCCCCTCCCGCGACGCGTGTGATGCCCGTCGCACTCGTGGTCGTGGCCGTGGTTATGGTTATGGTTGTGGCCGTTCCCACGGTTTTGGTGATCGCTATCGCCCCGTCGTCCGCCGTCGGACTCGGAATCGGAGTCGGAAGAGTCGGAGGAGGATTCATCGCTAGATTCATCCACGCCGCGCGGGCGGTGGTAGATGCAGCATACTGTTAGAGGGACGGGGAAAGGTTAGTTTCGTGTAACGAGGAGTGCTGAGAGGGGTGGGTGTGGGTGTGGAGTACTTACCTTTGGATTTCTTTCGCCCTAGCCCTTCGTTGTCGACCACATCGGAGCTCCATTGTACTGATCGCCTTGTGGGCGCATGGGCCCCGCGCAAACGGAGGATTGCTTGTGGTGGTGCGTGGGTTTGAGGACTGGTGGATGATGTGGTCTCCGTCTGGCTGGGAGCGGGGCGGGGTGCTTGTTGTTGTCGGGATTGCGGGACGGGCGCCATGGTGTAGCAAAGGTAGGGCGCAATGTTTTGTTTATGTCTCGAGAAATGTTGATTGAGACGAGGGCGAAGCAAACTCTCGGGGTCTGGGACTACGGGATGTGGTTGGCTCAGACTTGTAGTTTTGGAGATGTTGTTGAAAAAGTTTCGGATCTCAATGCAAGAAAAGGGGGGACCCGTCGGCTATCAGAAAAGAATGAAGTCTCAGGGAAGGGTTGTCATGCAGGATGACGAAGGGTGGAAAAAGAACTGGGTACAGTTGCAGAGCGTGCTGCGGCCCAAGATTCGGGTAGGTCATCAAGAGCCCCCCACCATGCCGCAACGGATGTACTTAGTAATTAACGTTACTAGTGCACGGACGATTTCACATCTTGAACGAAAGCGAGCCGGAGCTTCTGGATGCTCGCCTTGGGTCTTGGGCTAGCGCATGACGAAGGGGAACTCACTGCTTTGTGAATTGCATTAGTTATGGGTCTAGAGGAAAATATAATAGTTGTTAATTACACAAGGTAAGAGAACAAAGCCCCTGGTTAGGAGGAGCTAGCGGTGAAGTGTTTGCAATGTAACTTCATGGACCTACCTGGCCCCAGTGCTGTAATTACCGTAATTACATCAACGACATCCCCTTCCACTTACACCTCAAAGCCGAAAGTGGAAAGTCAACAATAGGAAGAAAATGAGCCATGATACTTGAAGTTGTAGACCTCTTGCTAATTCTCTCTCTGGTAACAAACTACCAGTGTTCTTTGACCATCCGTTAGCTCTCCTCCGATGGCTGTCAAAGAAGTTGTTGGAAACAGCGGTGCTGTTCTGCTGCTTCCCGCTGCATAGGGAGCGGGCAAGCCGCGTTTGAGTTCACACGCAGAATAGAAATCGGGAATCTATTGACAGTAGAATGTTTAGTTTGGACGGCTTCTTTGGCCCTTGTGCTCCTTCATGGAAATGAGGAGGTTTGGGGTTGTGTCACGGTTGCGATCTTCTTGAGCTACCTGGGTGACTTGCCCGGTTACTCAACGTGTGCTTGCACCTTCCCACAACTCCAACTGCTGTTCCGTTCCTTCCTTCCGGTGTTCTTAACGAGCCCATTCTTGTCAATGCGTTGCAAATTTTGCCCTTTGGGGGAATGAGGTCGCCCACGATCTCCGCTAAAGAGAAACCACGGCCAACCACCCTCCTCCCTTTGGCCCGCCGCCGGTCGCGACTTCTCTTTTTTGCTACATCTCGCACCAATTGGCCGCCATCACGCATCGAAATACGGGCCCGCACATCCCCGCATATCCTCAAGTCGCTTTGCGCATTCGGTCAAAGAAGGCAGGCGCCATTGTGAAAGAACACCTTCCTCGGTCGACACCATGGCGGGCCTTAAAGGTGCTTCGCAGGCGCTTGGCGGAGAAGACTTTCAACCTTCCACCGATCACCAAGCCTCCGAGGTGCCAGAACAACGACAAGATCCTGACAACCCTCTCGCCGATATGCCTCCCGGTACCAGACTACGGTCCAATGCCCAGCGGCGCGAGGCTGACCTCAGCTCGGTGTTGAACCCGACCGAGAAGGTCGAGCTGACGGCGCTCGTAACTAGGGTGACCGACACGATGCAACACCAATTGACCCGACCATTCGACCCCGCCCCCACTGGCGACAAGAACGAGACTTTGTCCACTGCATCGTGGGGTCGGCTGCCCTACCACCTCAAGGACTTGAGTTTGGATGACCCTTTTAGCCCTCTTAACACGATCAAAACCCAGCCCAGCCAACCGGAGAATCTCGCGCCCCCCCGCCCCAAGAAGGTTGGCCGGGCCCGAGACAAGCGCAACGCTGCCGCTGCCCCCGCTGCCCCGGCTGCTTCCGAAGGCCCGAAACAGGATGAGGAGGAGGTTATTCCGCTCGTGCCGGAGCTGAGAAAGGAGACTCTCGCGCACTTTAAAAAGTGGCAGGGAAGCGTCCACCGCAGAATCGGTGAGATAACTGTAAAGAAAGCGCAACACAACGGCTCAGCTTCCGCCGGCCAGCGAGGCCGTATGCCTCCCAACAGGAAGGGCAAGTCGAATGGTAGCAGCCCTCTCTCCCGTACACTCATCTGCGATCCAGATTTCTGACACCACCATAGGACCCAAAACCACCAATGGCCCGGGCATTAACCTCCAGGACGACCCCGTGTTGATGCAACTTTTCCCACCCGTTTCAACAACCCTGACCTCATTATCCGCTGAGAAACGATGCCTAATCCTGCACGCGATGCTCTTGCTTCTGCTCTCAATGGAGAATTATGGGGCTTATGCTCGAGTGTTCCTTCAATATATGGCCTCCGCTCTCCAGGTCCCTCTCCACGTGGTGATCGACGACGAGACGAGGGTCTGCGAAGCCTTGGCTCAGATGGCCACAGACATTCCACCCGAGCTTCTTGTTCGTCCGAAAAACGAGGACGGCAAGCCCGTGAGAAGATGGAGAACCGGACTGATTGCTGCCCCCGCTGGGGTTTCCCCTCGTGGAGGGGGTATAGCGACGGCGCTCGAAGTAGCACGAATCGGATCTGTCTTTGGGGTCAACGGAATCCCGGTCGCGACAGCGGCGTCTCTTCTCGGTATCATGGGCGAAAACAGCCTTTCCGCGGGCTCGCTGTTCGGCATCTACACGTCCAGGCATACGGGCAAGACGATGGAGCACTATCTCAAAGATGTGGGCGATTTTGCTTTCCTCCCGCTTCGAGGATCGACCGGCGAAGGACCAGAGCTCGGCAAAGTGAAGCCCGACAGCCGCCGGCTCCGCGTCGTCCTGGGGATCAGCGGATGGTTGCCCAGTAAAGACAAGGCTACCAGCCCCTGGGAATGCTTGGGGGATCAGAGCGAGGTATATGCCGTCCAGTGGGAAATCGATGCGCTGTGCAAGCTGGGCGGGTCGTTCGATATTTTGGTGCGGAGTGTGGCGTGGTCTATGACGAAGAAGGAAATTATTTCTCGGCCGAATGGGCCTCGTTTCAGCCTTTCCAACCCCCAATGGCCCGCGAGTCTCCTCAGAATCAGCAAGATTATCGACAACAACTGGTGCAATGCGATGGTTCGTGCCGACAAGCTCGGGTCTGCTCTGGCTGACGTCCTTATCAGTAAGGCCCAGGGTGAAAGGGGTGTTTCGTTGATCGGTTTTAGCCTTGGTGCCCGCGCCATTTATTCGTGTCTGATGTGCTTGGCTGAGAAGCGGGCGTTTGGGCTTGTCGAGAACGCTATCATGATGGGTACCCCAGCACCCTCTGACGCGTTCGTGTGGTGCACAATGAAGAGCGTGGTATCGGGTCGACTGGTGAACGTATATTCGGAGGGTGACTATATCCTGGGGTTTTTGTATCGAACCTGCTCCCTCGAGTTTGGTCTCGCGGGCGTGCAACGCATTCCCGAGATAGAGGGTATCGAGAACGTGGATGTCACTGCTGAGGTCAGTATCCACCCGAGATATCAATACCTCGTCGGCAGTATCCTGCGGCACATTGGCTGGGATGACACAGACGGCAATCAGATTTCCCGAGATGAAGCGGACATGTCGTCCTACGAAGATCTCATCCGACAGCACGAGGAACGACGGGATGCAGTGGAAGCCGCTAAGGTGGAGGTCAAGAAAGAGGATGAGAACGACCCGAGCATCATCCGGACAAGGATGCGAAAGAAGAACAGGAAGTGATGGGAAATGGCCCATTTCCAGGATCACGTTTGTCGAGAGTTATGTTTGGAGAAGCCGGCTTTGGTGTGGGGAGACGATGGCTGCCGTGTTGTCTGGTTATGTGTTTTAGTATCCGCCACGAACTCAGTGGTATTATTTCCGGGAACAAACCCATAGATAGTACAATGCTGGTTCTCGGACACCTGATTTACCAACTCGGTGCGTGCGTAGTCACCGTCTGGTTCCATAGTCGTGTCCGTCCTACCGTGATCGGAGAGTCGCCTATCCGGTAAGCCCTCGCGGTGCGTCGTACTCACCCCATTTCCCAACCCCAACCACAAAACAGTTCACTCTCAGCTCTTTCTCTCATATCACCCCCCCTCAATATTTCCCTCCCCACCACTTCTCACAACAAAATACCCACCCACCGTCTCTCCCGCATTCCCCAACACATCCCAATCCTCCACTCCTTTAATCTGCTCCACCGTCCCCGCTTTCCTCTTCTTCCGCTTTATACCACTCCCATCCCGATCCCGATCCCCATTCCCACCCTCCTCGGGCGAAGACGAAGACCCACGCCTCCTCGGCCGTCGACACCGTCCGTAGACTTCCTCGTTCGCCAGCGCGGCTTGGATGGAAGGGTGGGTGAGCGTGATGGCGGATTCATGTCGACCGGCTGGGGTTTCGTCGCGGATGGCGTCGAGGGGGAGAACGGTGGTGGGGTTGTTGAGGGGGATGGATTGCAGGGTGTGGAGGAAGTGTAGTTGGGCGTGGAGGGTTGCGAGGATGGGGGAGGGTGCTTGGGGGTCTTGTGCTTCTTGTGCTGCTGCTTTTGCTTCGGCTTCTTGGGACGGGGGTGAGGGTAATGGTGATGATGAGGGCGATGGGAGAGCAGAGAGCCGAAGGAGATGCGCTAGTTGGGATGGGGGGATGTGGGGGATGGAGGCGTCTTCTTGTTGCTGTTGTTGTTGTCCATCTTGGGGGAGGAGAGAGCGGACGGACCAGGTCGGCTGGGAGAGGATCGCGACGGGGTCGTATTTTGGACGCTCGGCGGTGGAGGAGAGACGGACGTGTGAAGGGGTCTGAAGCTGGATCTGGCGGGCGAGGCGGGAGGCCCGCATTGAGAGGCGTGGACTGGCCATAGTTGTGGTCGAGCCTGGCCGGGTTTTATGTCCTGAAGCTGGGACGAGACGATGGGACCACCGGGGTTGGGGGCCGTGTCTTGAAATTTGGGGTCCGAGCCGGGTGGGTTCATTGATTGAGCTACACTAACTACTTTAGGCAACATTTTGCCCTCCCTCGCCTACCCCACTACCTTCACTTCCCTGTTACACGCCTGGGGAATGATAAATAAGTCATGCGCTAGTCTTATTTTAGATGGTTCTGAAGCTTAGAAGTTGGGCCTTGCCATGCGACTGTTAGCGCTGCTTAGCCCCACACTCTCTCCTGGAGCGGCCTCTTTCCTGCATCATCAATCGTCTACTTAACAACACCAGGGCGCAACGCAACATCAACTGCAGCTCCATCCTCCACACGTACCACTCCGAATCCCAATAAACTACCCAAAAAATCATCGTCACCATGGCTCTCGACCCCCGCGCGCTCGAGGACAAGGTACGGATCTCCGCGACACACCCCGCCATGCGACTAGCGCACCCGTTGACAGGCAAGACACACAGGCTAGAAAGGCTCTCCAGGGCGCGTCCGGAGGCTTCAGTTTCTTCAGCAACAAGGAGGAGAAGTACCAAAACGCTGCCGACCTCTATGTCCAGGCGGCCAACGCCTACCGGATTGAAAGGCTAAGTAGGTCGCCATACACATACACTGTGGCACTGTCCGGCCGGCTGAGGGCGCAAGCTAACCCCTTCGAACAACAGGCAAGGAGGCCGGAGACTGCTTCAAGGCCGCCGCGGAAATTCACCGAAACTATTTGAACGAGCCAGACGATGCCGCGAACCAGATGATCGATGCGTTCAAGGTGTACCGGAAAGACTACCCAGAGGAAGCCATCAAGTGCATTGTGTCGGCCATCGAACGGTACAAGCAGAAAGGCAACTTCCGGCGTGCGGCATCCCACCTCGAAAATGCGGCCGAGCTGCTCGAGGAGACACACGACACTAAGCGCGCTATACAGTTCTACAGCGACGCGGGGACCTTTTACGATGACGATAACGCCAAGGCGTGAGTTCTTGGCCTGGTTCACTTTACCTATGCGGACAATGAGTTGCTGACAACTTTGGGCAGGTTGGGGAACAAAAACTGGCTCAAGGTGGCCGATTTGTCGGGCTTAAACGGTGACTACTTGACTGCGATGAAACTCTACGAGAAGGTGGCCGATGCGTCGCTCGACAACCACCTGATGAAATACTCGATCAAAGACTACTGGTTGAAGGCGGGCATCTGCGCGCTGGCGAGCGGGGACATTGTTACCGCGAAACGAAACTTGGAGACGTACCAGGCGAAGGACCCAACGTTTTCGGGCCAGCGCGAGTGCCGCCTGCTCGTGGACCTAGTCGACGCGCTCGAGCAGAAAGACGAGGTTACGTTTGGTGACAAGCTGTTTGAGTACAACCAAATGAGCCCGCTGGATGCCTGGAAGATGCAGCTCCTTGTGAAGGTCAAGAATGATCTCGACGAGGCGGCCAACGAATTTTCTTAGAAGGTGGCTGGATATGTATTTGGCGTTTGGGGCTCTAGAGCATTGTTGGTTAGGTATATAAGGCTTCGAATCAAGATGAGGAGAATATCTATTTTGGAGCAAGACTTTTTTCCCACTTCGCAACGTACCACCCTCAAACTGCTTTGGGTTCATATATTCCCCTTCATCAAAGTTCTGCCTGATCCATCTCAGTATCACCCAAGGGGCCGAAAGCTAAGTACTCGTTCGACCAATGAGACCACGGATGCCGAACCAACACTCACACTAACACCAACACCAACAACACCCCCTCTGCAGCACGCCGCCCCCACGACCCCTGCACACGAAGAATAACAAGCAATCCGAAGCAAAACTCAAACCATCATGGCGACAGAGATACCAGTCATGGCCACAGAGACACCATCCAACCAGCCCCTCTACGACGAGTACTCCGTCGAAGCAGAAACCGCCGCCTTCTTCCAAAAGACCTCAGCAACCCGCTCGCAATGTCACGCCAAAACAAGGGAGCTCTTCGGAAGAGACGACGTCAACATTGACATCGTCCCCGTCCGGGTCCAGGGCGCGTGCAGTTACTCCGTGTATGCCGGTCCAGCGGGGGGGGATCTGGCGTATGTAGTGCAGTTCCGTCTTGCGTCGCTGGCGTTGAAGATGGAGGTGGTAAGGCGGGCGAGGGAGGTGTATGGGGCTTTGGCGCCGGAGGTGAAGTTTGAGGGGGTTGTTGGGGGGGAAGGGGGGGAGAAGGCGGGAAATGGGGGTGAGGCTGGTGAGGGGAAGAGGAAGGAGGTGCTTTATGTGTATCGGATGAGTCGGGTGAAGGGGGTGACGCGTTTGAATTTTATTTTGAAGAATGGGTTTCCGGAGGATTCGGTGGATAATATGCGGTGGCGGAAGAATCTTATGGCGGGCGTGGCACGGTGAGTCTACTCGGTGGTCATGGGGTTTGTTTTGTTTGGGTCCTTTGGAAGACTGATAAATAACCAGTTTCATGGCCATCTCCTGGAACAACCCCCAACCCGTCACCCCCGAGTACCGAACCAACCTCCACCAAACCTACCTCAACAACCTAAACCGTCTCCTCACCGGCCTCCCCACGCGCTTCCAGCCCATCGTGCAGCGCTGCATCGACTCGCTCGACGCCATCATGGCCCTACCCATGGTCCTCCTCCACCACGACTTCGGCGACTGCAATGTCATCGTCGACGAGACCACCTGCCATCTCGCCGGCGTCGTCGACTGGGCGGAGGCGGCGGTGGGGCCGTTCGGGGTGAACTTGCACTCGCTGCAGGCGTTTACGGGGAAGTTGCATTTAAGGAATGGTTGGACGCGGTATGGGGATTATGGGGGGTTGCAGGAGGTGTTTTGGGAGGAGTTTAAGGCGGAGGTGGTGGGAGGGGTGTCGGATGAGGAGGTGAGGGCGATCAAGATGGCGAGGGTGTTGGGGTTGTTGCGGTCTTCGGGGTTTACGAGTCGGTTGGCGAATGAGCCGGAGCCGGAGCCGGTGCCGATTCGGGATGATGAGCGGGGGCGGTATAGTATGTTGTCACTTGATGGGTTTCTTATCGATGAGAAAACTAGGTTTGATTAACTGTAATGCGACTCTTAAAAAGGAATTGATTAAAAAGGCAACATTTTATGAAGATGGTGTTGAGAAAGCAGTGATGGTGACCCTATCCCCATACCTAACCCTGAATCTTGAGTTCTCCAATTTCCCACCATTAACCCTTATCGGCCAATGCACCAAGGTGGGGTTCATTTTGAAAGCGATAACACCCAACTTTTTGGTGGTTCTCTGAAATTTCTCGATTTCTCAAGACTGAGAGGTGCTTCCTCTTGCATGTAGACTCGGCCACAGACTGCCAAAATGGCTTCTTTGTCGCTGAAAGAGAAGCTGGACAAGATCCGGTCTCCGAACCTGCAAAGTCAGAAGCAGGTAAGCATTGGTTCTTTTTTATTTCATTTTCATTCTTTTTTTTCATCCCGGTTCTTGTTTTATTTCTTCCGTTTCTTCCAGTTTGATAAGTAATTAGTTCTAACCACTTATTTGCAGACCGCCAGCGTTCTCGAAGGCGTCGAGTCCGCCTTCAAAGAACGCAACACTGAGCCGACCCCAACCGCCTACTTCGCCGCACTCCTCAGCCTCCTCGACAACAAGTCCCTCGCCCACCCCGTCGTCTACCTCCTCGATGTTGTAACCCCCTACGCCCCCGAGCCCCTCCTCCGCGCCAAGTTCACCCAGATCCTCACCCTCCTCGCGCCCGTCCTCTCCCAGCCCGACGCCGATGCCCCCCTGATCCGCTCGTCCATCGGCTGTCTCGAGGGCCTGCTTTTGGCCCAAGATGCGGCCGCCTGGGAGATGAGCGCCGCCGTCATCGGCCCGCGCCGTGCCGTCGGCGGCTTGTTGAGTTTCTCGCTTGATCCGCGGCCCAAGGTGCGCAAGCGGGCGCAGGAAGCGCTGCGCAAGATCCTTAAGAGCCCGCCTCCAAGCCCGTCGCTCGACCACCCGGCTGCTGCGATGTGCGCCGAGACGGCTATCATGAGCTTGAACGCCCTGGCGGAGAAGACGGCGCAGCTGCGCAAGGAGAAGAAGGGGTCTGAGGCGGTGCATGATCCGGAGTTGATCCATGCGCTGCAGCTGGTCAAGACAGTTGCGTCGGCGAGCGGGGGGTGGCCGAGTAAGAAGATTGAGTCGCTATGTGAGTTGTTGTTGGGGATTGCGCGGTCTGGGAACGAGCACATGAGCATGGCTGTGTTTGATATCTTTGAGATGATCTTTGAGGGGATGGCGGCGGATGAGGTGGCGTCGTCTAAGCTGCCGCGGCTGCTGGAGATCATCAAGGAGTTGCGTCCTGCGCCTAATGATACCCAGCTGCTTCCGCCGTGGATTGCGATTTTGTCGAGGGCGTACGATGTGTCGGCGCAGATATCGCCCGAGGAGACGTTCCAGGAGCTGTTGGAGCCGTTCAACATGGTGGCGGGGTATCTGGAGTCGCAGGCGAAGAACATCCGGATCTCGGCTTCGGAGTGCTTGGTGTCGTTCATGGCGAATTGTGTACCCAAGCAGGTGCTCGTCGATCCATCAATATACGACGAGAAGGTTATTCAGCAGCTGGTTACCACAGCGGAGAGCCTGCTGACGGTCAAGTTCCAAGCGGCGTGGCTAGAGACGTTCAATGTCATTGGCGCCATGTTTGATGGTCTGCGCTGGAGGGCAGCGCCGTACCTGCTGGCTATTACTAAGAGCATTGGCGAAATGCGCGGGAGCGACTCGTTTACGGGAAAACAGGAGGCCGATGAGGTACTTGGGAAGGCGATTCAGGCTATGGGACCGGAGGCGGTGCTGGAGGTTCTACCCCTGAACCTGGCCAAGCCAGCGAAGGGCCAACCGGGGAGGGCGTGGATGCTCCCGCTCCTGCGTGACTACACATCCAACACCAACCTTGGGCACTTCAAGAGCGAGTTCGTGCCCCTGAGCGCGGCCATGTTCCAGCGTGTGCTAGACCACGGCGCCGCGGCCAAGACGATGGAGGTCAAGATTTTCGAGACGGTTGTGCAGCAAATCTGGTCGATTCTACCAGGATACTGCGATTTGCCACTGGACCTCACGGAGGCGTTCGACAAGGAGTTTGCCGAGATGTTGACCACTCTGCTCTACGAGCAGGTCGAGCTGCGCTTGGATGTCTGCCGCGCCCTCAAGGCACTCGTCGAGTCGAACCAAGCGATCGCCACGGCCACAGAAGAAGAGGACGAGCCCATCTTGCATAGTAGGGTTACTAGGGAGACGGCGCAAAAGAACCTCGAATACCTCGGGGCTACCTTCTCTGCGGATTTTCTAGCTGTGCTCTTCAATGTGTACAGCACGACGCTGCCGCAGAAGCGGGGGCCAGTGCTGCAGACCATCAACTCGTACCTCAGCATCATCCCGCCAGCGCGTCTTATGGAGACGTTTGATCTAGTGTGTGAGAGGCTAGCGGCGGCGCTCCAGGAGCCGGTCGAGAAACCCAAGAACCAGAACGGCGAGCAGGTGCCGTCTACCGCGCACACGCTCATGGACTTGGTTGTTACCATGTCGATTTACCTACCCAGGGAGAGCTTCGAGGCGCTCTTCAAGATCGCGTCGCTCGTTATTTTCAAGGACGACGACCCGCAGCTCCAGAAGAAGGCTTACAAGATGATCCCGAGGTTGGCAGACTCGGACATTGGTAAAGCTGCGCTGGAGCAAAGGCATGCGGAACTTCAAACCCTCATCCTGTCGAGCGCCGAGAAGGTGTCTTCCCCGGCCCGGCGCGAGCGTCTAGCAGCCATCACTGCTCTGCTGCCCTTTATCCCGGACACCTCGCTTCACTTCATCCCTGCGGTCCTTTCCGAAGTAGTCATCAGCTGCAAGGAGAACAACGAGAAGGCCCGGACGACAGCCTTCGACCTGCTCGTGCTAATGGGCCACGTCATGGTGGCCGCAGACGGCGCGGTCATCGACAACAGCAAAATCCCCCACATGTCCAAGGACGCGCCAACGGCCAAGGCCTCGATCGAGGAGTACTTCACCATGGTCAGTGCCGGGCTCGCAGGCAGCACCCCACACATGATTTCGGCCTCCATCACAGCCATCACGCGCGTGCTCTACGAGTTCCGCGAGCTGCTCAGCAAGGAGACCATGTCCGACCTCGTGCAAACAATGGACCTGTTCCTAACCTCCAACAACCGCGAGATTGTAAAAAGCGTGCTGGGCTTCGTGAAAGTGTGCGTCATCAGCCTGCCAGCCGAACTCATGCTCCCACGCCTACCAACCCTAATCCCCAACGTCATGGTCTGGAGCCACGAACACAAGGGCCACTTCCGCTCCAAAGTCAAGCACATCCTGGAGCGCATGGTCCGACGATTTGGCGTCGACCTCGTCAACAAGCACTGTCCCGAAGCCGACCGCAAACTGATCACCAACATCCGCAAGACCAAAGAGCGCAGCAAGCGGAAGAAGGAGGCCGCCAAGGAAGGCGACGGTGAATCCGACGGCGAAGGCGGCCGCCGCAAGAGCCGTTTCGAAAGCGAGTACGACCAGGCACTATACAGCAGCGAAGACGAGGACGACGAAGCTGGCCACGGTGACGACCACTCCGACGACTCCGACGCCGAAATGACAGGCGGCCGCAAACAGCAGAACCGCCGCGGCGGGAGCGGGGGAGGCTCGGCCTACATCCTCGAAGACGAAGACGAACCGCTCGATCTCCTCGACCGTAACGCGCTGGCCAACATCTCCACCACCAGACCGGGGAAACTGAGACAAGTTGGCAGCGACCGTCGCAAGACCAAAGCCAGAACCAACCTTGATGGGAAACTCATCCTTGGCGGGGACGACGAGGATGCTTCTGCCGGGGCGATGGACATTGATAGCGCGCCAGGCGGAGGCGAGGAAGCGAGCGGGGTCGGGGCATATGTGGCTGCGCTAAGGGGGAAGGATGTACCGCGGCGTGGTTTGCGCGGGAAGTTGAAGTGGAATCGGAGTAGGAAGGGTGGGGAAGATGATGATGATGATGATGAGGATAATGGTGGTGGTGGTGGTGGTGGTGGTGATGGGATGGATGTTGATGAGGGTGCTGCGGCTAAGGCGTTCCGGGATAACAGGCCTCGTGGGGGAAGTGGAGGTGGAGGTGGTGGACGCGGGCGAGGTGGTGGTGATGCGAGGGGACGGGGTGGGTTTGGGAGAGGTGGTGGTGGACGAGGTGGACGGGGTGGAAAAGGCGGGATTGCGGCTGCTGCTGGACGGAGAGGGTTGGGACAGGAGAAGAGGAGGGGTGCGGCGACTCATGGGAGTCGGGTGAATAAGGGGGGGAATAGACGGTGATAGTTTTTTTGTTTTGTTTGTGGGGAATCTTTGGTGTTGGGGTCGGTTAAAATAGGTCCAGGTATGGTTGAAATCCAATTTGTTTTTGATAACTAGTCAAGTGTCTAAAGTCAAATGTCTATACCACCAACTCCTACGCTGTGCCGTGACAAAGGAAAGTCGTCGAGACATGACCATTCCGTCGTTAAATCATCCCTCCATGGTAACATATCTATCCTTCTCGTCCCCAATATCCCAGTATCCCAATATCCCAGTATCCCAGTATCCCAATATCCCAGTATCCCAATATCCCAGTATCCCAGTATCCCAATATCCCAATATCCCAGTATCCCAATATCCCAGTATCCCAATATCCCAGTATCCCAATATCCCAGTATCCCAA